ACCCCAACCCCAACCCCAACCCCTGATAAAAAATTTAACTATTTTTTTAAAAAATCTTAAAATTTATTGACTTGTAATTTTAATTTGCTTTGAATTTAATAATTAAATCTCACAATAAATTTTTATTAATGTATATTCATAGTTATTAAAAAATATATTAATTAATTTAAAAATAAATTGCGGTTTTATTTAGATAAAAAATACTAAAGATCAGTTATAAATGCAGTAAAAATTTGATTGATTTTTTCATTAATTATAGGATAGAATTTTATCTTGTTATAAAAATTTTATTTTTTTTATTTATAAATTTATTTTAATTATTCAAAATTTTAAGCTTTAAAAATTTGAATGACTATCAAATTATTTAATATAGATTTTATTTAGTTTGATTTATTTTGGCAATACTTTCTTGATAATTATTGTTTTTAGCATATTGATTAAGATATTTGTAGAATTGAACAACTATACATAAATTTTTTTAAAAAGCAGATACAAATTATAAAATCAAATGTTTTTAAGTAAAGGAGTAACTTCTTGAAGAAGACGAGGATAGTCGTTAACACCTCTCTTAGCTTCAAAGTTAAATACTTTCTTTCTTTCTTCAAAGAGCTTGAGGATAGGTAAAGTCTTTTATTCGTATTCAATCATACGGGCAGAAATGACTTCCTTTGAGTCATCAGCTCTGGTAACAATATCCTTAGAGCCACATTTGTCACAAATACCTTCCTTCTTGGGGAGTAAAGGTTCCATTTCATATCCGTCTCTATGGATTGAGCAGTAGTTGTAAGTAGTTCCACAACCGTTGCAAACTCTTCTACCCATAAGCTTTTCTAATAAGACAGATTGGTTAAGAGTAAGATTAACAACTAAGTGAATAGGTAAATGCTCTTAATCGTATCTATCTAATTGAGATTTAGTACGAGGGAAACCATCCAAAATAACACCATTTTCACTTTCCTTTTCTTTCAACTTTTCCTTAATAATGTTGACAACGATGTCATCTCCTACAAGCTTACCAGCTTCGACAATTTGCTTAATTTCTTTGATGAGAGCAGGAGAGAAAGTGGAAGCAGCTTAACCCTTCAAAATCTTTCTGATTTCATCACCAGTGGAAATGTGGTTGAGCTTCAAATCCTTCTTTAAAAATTTAGCGTAAGTACCCTTACCGACACCAGGAGCACCAAATAAGAATAAGAACTTTTAAGCAAAAGAGTACTTAGAGGTGTAGTTGAGTTGGGTTAAAACCTTGCTAGCTTTATTGGCAATCATGACTTTTTAATATATCTTAATTTAAATTTTTAATAATTTATTTATTTATTATAATTAAAATATTAAGAGATTCTCGGTTGACAAATAATTAAATAATCAATAAATTTTTATTTATTTCTAAAATCTTAATTCTGATGTTTTTTCTTACACCAAAAATATCTAAAAGCTTTAGACAATATGTTTATTTTATGTAAAATAATATGATACTATGCGGCATTGTAAACTAGTAACTATTAACGTGGGTAAAGTAAAACTTCTATTCAAAGTGTATCTTTATTTAAAAATCCTTCTTATATTTATGATGCTCTTATCTTTTCAAAGGGTTTTGACTTTTTTAAAGAACTAAACATGGAAGATTTTAGAAATTTATAAATGTTTTTTAGTTAAACAATCAAAAAAATAAATGATATATTATTAATTTAACAAAAAAGTTATGAGTAAATTATAACTAATTTTAATAAATTAAATTTCTTTAAAATTGATGGTTTTAACAAAAGTGATAATATGAAGTAAATGATTGATAGGAGTCATAATTAAAATAAAGCAAATATATAAAAGTTAGTCTATATAATAAAAGAGTTATCAAAAATAAAAACAATAAATTTTAACAACATGCCAAAAAAAAAATAAATATTAATTTTTAGTAGATAGATTTGTAGATAGAAAATACTAAAATATTAAAATGTTAACTATTTATTATATTAAGTTTCTTTTTACAAAAATATTATAATTAATTAATTTATCAAAAACTTACTTAATTTAAATTTACTTTTAGTAAACTTCTTTCAATTCATAAATAGAGAAAACATATACTAAAAAACTTTTTTTAACTCCTCTACACTTAACTATTACACTTCTTCCTTGCTTAGTTAATTTTAAAGATCTTATACTATTTAATAGAATTCTTACTTATTTAGGCTTTCAAACAAGTTTATATCAATAAATCTTTAACAATTACCAAACTTTCTAGTCTTTCTCATTAAGTCTAGACTATTCTTCTTTTAGGAAGAGTAATTTGATTTTAGTTATCGCAAAATATTTTCTAAGATGAGAATATAACTATTGTATTTTTCAATATCAAAGCTAAAAAGTAAATCACAGTAAACAACTTGGTAAATACTACCTCCTATTCCACAAACATAAAATAATGTTTATCTATTCATATTGTGCAATTTAGGGAGTAGTTTGCAGCTTTCAGATTCTTAGATTTGGTTATTTTTTGCTTCTTGATGATTAATGTATTTTTAGGTTTTTATATACCTATGAAATTTGATAATTTGTCCTGTTTCTCTCAAATTCATTAAAGAGAAGTTATGCAAATTGAAATTCGCATCATGATATACCTTTTAGTCAGTTACTGACCCAAATATTTCTCCGTACTTATCTAATCCTAGCAGATTAGACTTATCAACAAATACACTCTCCTTTAAAGCACGCTAATTAAACTCAGTTTTTTCAAGATTCCATTAGAAAAAGTGTTTTCCTCCTTCAAATTTGTGCTAAATATTATAAAGTAAAACACTATCCTTTAAATCGCCTATTAAAATTAAATTATTTATCGAGTCTAGGCAAATAATTTATTTTTATGGGAGAATCAACTGAGAAATTTTATTGAATTGGAATTTTTCTTCTTCTGAGGTACTTTCAATTTCTTTTTAAAGCTCATAGCAGAAAATAAAGTTTTATCCACATATAAATAGTAAATTAAGAAGACTCATATATGTGACATCAGAAACAAAGTAAATGTCTTATTATTATTGGTTTTATAATATAAATTAATTTATAACCTATAATTTGCTAACTCTTTTTCTTTGATTTTAATTGATATTAAGATTATCTTAAGCAACTTTGTTGCTTTCAAATTAAAGCTAAATCAAAAGAGCTCCATGTTTTTCAGTTGCGATGAAAATATGCTAATCTTTATCAGAAATCATTACTTTTTTCATATTTGCTACTTTCATCATAGGATATAGAGAAGGCAAGTTATCAATCACTTATAAAATATATCCATTCCTACTAACAATATAAATGCAACCCATTTAATCTATAATTAAAAAGGCATCTAATTCTCTGTTAAAAAGGATCCTCTTAAAAAAATAACAATTCATTATTTATTTTTTAAAACTATTTTAGTTATTTATTTATAATTTTTGCTATAATATTTTGTCAGCTGTTTTAAGTGGGATTAAAACTTATTTAAATTCACTTTTTTCTTATACAAGATTAGCCTATTATTTAAATGAATACCAGTTGTCTTGAGATATTAAAATAAACTGATCTTTAGAAACTGGAAGCATAAAATTGATAATAGGATCATTAAGAAAATATTTGTTGTTATGCAGGACAAGATAAAGAGGTTCTGTGTTAATTCCAGATTGTTTATAATAATAAATAGCATGAGATGATTAAAAATAAATTTTGTTATCAAATTTGAAAATTTTAGCAGAATCTCTATCGTCCAAATGTATAGTTTTAACAATTTCTTCTTAGTCTTTTATATCCTTTGAGTAATCTAACTATATAAGATCCTATATAGTTCCGTTTCTGTAAGTAAATATTAAACCTTGTGTTTCTGAATTATTATAAAATAAAACATCGTTTAATATACTTTGAGTATAAAAATGTTAGACTGTTTTCATATTTAAAGCATTATCTTCTAAAGTTACTCTAATAATTTTTATAGTTTTATTATAATATCCTACAATTAAATGTATCTCATCAGACTATTTATAAATGTATAAGGCCGATATTTATTTATTCATAAATAGCATTTATTTATTGTGATGGATTTAAATATAATTTGAAATTAGAGTTTAGTTTGAGTGATTATTATCAGTTGATCCTTTTGGTAGGGAATAAATTGATTATTCTTTTTAATTTAAGATGATATCACTATCTTAAATTATAGATGGAACTTTGTATGATTTAAAATTAATGAAATCTTATTTATATGCATATACTTTGTTGGTTTGAGTTAAAACAAAAATCCATGAATTTTCTAAAATTGTACTTTTAACAACTTGTTCAGATTCTTTTTGATCATTTTAAACTTTTTGTTCACTAATAATTTTCTTACTTTGCTCATCAATTATAATAATTCTTGAATTTAATATCATTAACACTCTACCATTTTCTTAAAATGACATATCTTTTATTATTTCATTTTTATTGATGCATTCAAACAAAGAATTAATTGAGGTCAGCTTTAAATTTTGACTTCCTTCTGATTAAAATATTTGTAAAACAAAGGACTAGTTTAATGAAGATAAATAGATTATCAATTACTACTTTTTACATTCTATATCTTTTTAATTTACAAAAGCATTCACTATTTAGAAAGGAATATTTTACTAAATTAGCTACAATTCTTTTGGCTCAAATCCTTTAATAACTTTTCTTAAATAGTGTATATTCCCATTTATAATTGAATAAATATTTCCATTTCTTTAATCAACTGCTGAATTTACTATACTTGAAAATATTGGCGAATAGGAGATAATTTTGCAGCTGCTTTATTCTGCTTATACTAAGCATAAACTTTTATCTGAAAGGCTTATCCATTCGTTATTATGTTAATTTGGTGGTAGTGCATCTATCACTTCAAACTCATTTTGATCTGCATAAAATAGACTCTTGAATCCTTATTTTTCTAATTTAATAAAATATAATACTTAGTGTGTTTTTAGAGTTAGCTTTCGACATTTAAAAATAAAATTTTCATTTTATTATAAATAAATGAGAATAATAAATATTAATTTTTACTTATTTCCTAAAGATTATCTTAGAAGCTGTCAAAATAAAAACATTTTCCATCATTGAAAAGAATATATATTGTTTACTTAAACTCTTTAATGCAAAGAGGTTATATTTGCTTTCTATCTTTTTAAAATAAATTTTTTAGCAATGTGCTTTCCTCTTTATTTCTAGTAGCTTCTCTGTTTAGCTTTATGTTGATAATTTGAAGATTAGTAAGTATCAAAAAGTTTTAATGTCCTTATTTATCAATAAAAAGGGTGCAATCGATTGGTACTTCTATTTATCTATCTTCATTTTTTAAATTTGGGACATGAATTATTTCTTTTTTTTCCATTAATTATAAATTAGAGCTATTTAGCTTTACATTTACTATTCTAATTTTCAATGATTCTTATGTATCTAATTCTGAACTAAGAATATTAAAGTTCTCGATTTGAGTGTTTTTTTCATCAGAAGCAAATATTTTATGAATATTATCATTTGGTAAACGAATAATGCTTCTTTATATAAAAGTACCATTCACATACTCTAAAGCTAAAATATTCTTCATATATGCTCCTAGCAATACTACCTTTTGTTTATCTCCCAATACACAGATATGCTTGCCTATTTGTTTATAAATTTTAAAAAACTATAATTAAAAATTTTTGTATGCCAATTTACCTATTTGATGGATTGGTGGCTGCTTGTCATTAATATGGCTGTAACAAAAATGAGCTAAAACTTAAAATGACTAATTTAATTTATTATATCCTAGCATTAACAATGAATCTGCTAAAGTTGTCAGTAAAACATAATCTTCATCTTTTTGATTTTTGTATACTTCTGCAGATTTAATGATGCAATTTACTTCATATTTAGATACTTTCTCTATATTCTTGTTCAACACACTATATAAATGAATACTTGTATCGTTAACACATAAAAATTCTCTAGAATTTTATGCCTGTCCGCTAAAGTTTCCTTCAATTACTTGCTTATAAAAAAGAGATTCTGCTATTTTCTTAAAACAGTACATCTACTTGATCTTAATTTTCTAGTACAAATTTTATGATATCAGTCAAAATACAAAAATCTTTCTAAAAAAGTTTATTTAAATTTCCTTAAAATTTTAAAAAGGTATAAAATAGATATATTGATTGATATAGCATTTTCATTTCTAATAAAGTTTATTTTTATTAACTATAAGTAGAAAATATTTATATATATTAATTGATTGTAAAAAATATAAATACTTTAATATTTTGAGTTGAAAAAATGAGTAATCTGCTGAAAACAAACATGAAATCTGATTTATTTTCCAAATTTTTAATAGACCATAAATTAAATTGTAATATTTCAAATTTAATTTGTAAAGAAGAAATCAAAAGAAAGAAATTTATTGCGTTACATCTATAAATGAGGTTTTAGTGTTAATTAAAATCAACTTCAGAAAAAAGCAAGTTAAATATTTTTCTTTACAATTTATGCAATAATTATAGGCAAATTATAAAAATTTGAAAGTAATTTATGATTGTAATGTTATAAGACTTACAATTACAAAGGATTAAATTGATCCGCTTTGTATATAAAAGAATATATTAATAATATTAATTTTTTTTATGATGAATATTTAAAGAAGTTTAGTTCTTCTATATAAGCAGCATATCAATATAAATTTAGAAATTAACCAGCATTTGATTCATAAAAAATAAATTAATAAATTAATTAAAAATAAAAAAAAGAAAAATTTTAAATTAAGCATGCTTATTCCTCCTACCTTTGATTACTTTGGCGATACAGTTAGTATAATTTGCTTAATAGTTGTTATATTTTATAGCAGTTTTTGTTGGATCAATAAGTATATCCCAATTAACTATGGAAAGCAGCTCAAATCTTTCTTCAACTTTAACTTAGGAAAAATGTCATGGTTCTTTTTTGAAGTTCCTAATTTGATTATTGCAGGATGGTTTATGACTTAGTATACAGATAATTTAGTAAATTATGTTATGCTTTTACCTTTTATTATTCACTACATAAATAGAAGCATCATTTATCCTATGACTCTGCAAAATAACACAAAGCCTATACCTATCGAAGTATGTCTATTTGCTACAAGCTTTACTACATGCAACTCGTATCTCTAAGCTAAGAGCATTCTTTCAGTATAAGAAAGTAAATTTAGTGATCTGTTTAAGTGGAATGTTCTCCTAGGATATTTAATTTTTATATTTGGTATGTATATCAACATCAAATCAGATAGATATCTTTAATCCCTCAAAAAGAATTTAAGTACTGCAAATAGCAAAACTGGAGAGAAAAAGAATTATGTTATCCCAAGAGAAGGTTTCTTTGTATATGTTTCCTAAGCTAATTATTTTGGTGAAATAGTAGAATGGGTTGGATTTGCAATACTTTAAACTCATTCATAAATGCCCTGGCTCTTTGCAATCTCCACATTGTCTATTTTATCTTCAAGAGCATTAGAATCACATAAATGGTATCAATAAACATTTAAAGAATACCCTAAAGAAAGAAAAGCTGTTATTCCTTTTATATTATGATTGAAAAATTAGTTCTTAGATATAAATGAATTTATTTATGATTTTTATTAAATTTATTTTTATTTTTAAATTAAATAAAAAGACATTAATTATCTTAGAAAATTAATAATATTAATAAATATTCAGATTATCTATATTTGTAACTAACTAAATATATAGTTGTTTTTAGGTTATCAAATTTTAATTTTTATGAAAAGATATTTTATCTTTGCTTCTTTTTTTTTGCTTATTTCTTGATTCTGATTATTCCAAAAACGAATTTAAATAAGAAATATTAATTAATATTATTATTTATTATCACAAAGTTGAATATTGTAATAACTTAAATTTGTATTGAAATATTCATAAAATCAATATAAATTATTTACTACTTTTATAGTTATTTAAAAAAATTTAATTAAAGGTAATAATCAAAATAAATTTGAGTATATTAGCTAGATTGGGTTTATGAGTAATTAATAAAATTCAGTATTTTATGGGGCAGGAGACAATGCGAATAATTAGCTATAATAGTCTCCAAACAAAAATAACGTACTAATATCTTCAAAGATTATAATAGGCTTTTAATAAATATATTATAGGTTTAAATATAGTAATAATTTGCAAGTAATAACTTGGAAATGAAAGGCGATTTATAAAACTTAATGAATGGCATAGGGCAAGAAGCGCAAATTAAGTTTTAATAACAGCTAGCTCAGTTAGTAGTCAATAAAGTTTATAAGTAAGAAGAAGAAAAGAAGAAAAAAGAGGAAGAAGGAGTTAATGTAGATGGCGATTAAGAATCTTGTTCCCAACTCTTGTTTAAGAGATGTTGCTTCTTCTTAGATATAGAGTAGAAAATATACAAAAACTTTTATTTAACAAAATGTATTCTTAAAATGCCAACTTTCTTTTTAATAAAAAAAGCTTTTATAAGCCTTATTTTTAACATGTAACAACCTCTGCTGTACTTAAAAGAATAGGATATTCATTAATTCCATTCAAAGCTGATTTCTTTTCAGTCGCTGATAACACCCCAGACTTGTAAAATTTTTATTTAAAATATAAAAGCTGCAAGTAATCAATAAATAAAAATTAATACTATTAATTCAATCTTTAGATATGGTCCCTTATGGATTTCCTTTACTTTGGTATTTGCACTAACAGCAGCTGGAAATTTATCTCTATATTTGCAAGCAGATGTAAAAAATAATATTTCGTACTTGTTATAAATACTTATTTTCAAAAATCAATTCTAGAATCCAGGCCACTTTGATTACAAATTTTCTTTTGTATCTCTTGCTTTTAGTGTTGTAAGCTATTAAACTATCGATTTTTATTTGAGAATAAACTAAATTATTTTAAATTTAAAAAAAGGTATTCGGATATATCACAATAGTTCCAATTTTTATAGCATTCATGATGAGGTTATTTGGAAGTAGTTAGACTTACTATTTATAGGTATTCATTCATTTATTTATTAACTAATTCATAAAATATTTAAAATCAAATTGATTAATTAATTTAAATTTAAATAATTAACAGACAATCTGCATTTTTGGATACTCTCTTTTTGTTTTTATTCCTGTCTCCCTTCTCTGCACGATTCCAATAAATTTAGTTTAATACTGCCTCTTTTTGTATGCTGCCTTCAATTCTACATTTTTCCTTCTTAACAATTATTTAAGGTAATTTAAAATAAAATTTACTCACTAAATTTATTTTAATTCTTCATATTTTCAGTAAATTGAACTAACTTAAGACTGAAGATGGATAGACAGATAGAAAAAAAATTATTATTGGTTTGATAGCTGGTATATAAATTTTATTTATGTTTTTATATAAATACTACTTCTTCAAGAGAATCTATGGCTCAGCTACCCAAGATTTATTAGGGGAAGAACAAGATATCCCCGATTTATATTAAGGCATTAACCATTCTCACAAATATAATATGACCTTAGATCACAGCGAAAGACTCTATAAACAACTTCATGGAACTGGCAAACATCTTTTAATTTGATTTGATTTATTAAATAATAAATAAATAAAATATATTAATTAAATTGGTATCTTATATACATAAACTTATTTTGTGTTATATATTAAATTATAAATTTGAAAGTGTGGATTTACTTTATTTGAAAATAATGTTCTATTTTTACTTAATTTGATTCGTATTTATTTGTGTATCTATGAATAAATGTACTCATCTGTTATAGTGTTTAATTATTGATGCAGACAATCAATGAATGAATGAATAAATAAATAATATCTTTAAAAATAAATGGTGATATTTGCAATATATTTTTCTTGCGAATAACTTTTTATCAATAATTTTTTGAAGTATTAAATATTTTGTATTTAATTAAATAAATTATCAAAATAGGTGCTCAAAATAAGAAACTAATTATCAACTAAACCAACAGCTACCTTAAATATAATATTTACTATTAAATAATTCGTTATTGAATAATGATAAACAATTTAGATGTGAGTTAAAGCTAATAAAATCAATATAAGTATAGAAAAAATAGTACATTATATTTTAAATCGAAATTCAAATAACCACCTCAAGGGATATTTGATCAGATAACACCTTCTTATGGTTTAGGAATCGGGATTTATTTTGATCTGATTTAGCAACTATTTGGAATTTTTCTGGTTATTTTTATAGTATCCATTGGATGCTTGTATCTAAACATTAATGCAAATGGAATATATGGGGAGTTTAGGCTAGAGCTTGATGTGCTAACTTTGGCTAATATGCCAATTATTGTAACAAACAACCCTGATAATAAATCTGATACTTAAATGAGGATGAATATATATTATATCATTGATTGTGCTTACACTATAATATTCTTTATTTATCTTATTTATGCAAGAGTAAGCACATACAAAAAGATTGCTAAAATTAAAGAAATTTCAGATTCTATAAAATATTTTACAGTTCAAGTAAGGTTTAACTTTTTTAAAATTATTTTTTAGATAAAATTGTTTTCTTTTATTAAATTGTCTTCTTAAAGTAGAGCTTTGAAATTTGTAAAAACAGATAAAATTTATATATATAAAAAATTAATAATTACAGGTAACTGGTTTTCCAGACAGTATAATTAATGCTTATGAAATTAAAAGCCATTTTGAATAGCTAAATGATCACAAGTTTAGTGTAGTGGAGTGCATTCTTTAAAGAAACTATCAAGATACCTTGAAGTATTAAAGACAAAAGTTAAATTTGCAACAATAATTAGAAATCGAATTAAACAGAAGTGATTTGTTGTAAGAAAAAACTGCTGAAGAAGTATAGATAAGAGATGAAAAATTAGAGTATTTAAAGCAACAAATTTAAGAAGTGGATGAAAAAATAAAAAAATATATTAACACTAATCTCTCTAATGAAGAACTATCTTCTGTGAAAGCTTTTGTTACTTTTTCTGACAGAAAATAAAGAAAATATGCCCTTAATTTGTATGAAAATTGGGGAGGAGTTTAAGATCCTAGCTTAAAATATAAAAATATGCATGCTCTTAATGTTTACAAAGCTGAAGATCCATCTTGCATAATTGTAAATTAAAATCATTTTTTATGAATAACTTTTTTATAATTATTATAAAATAGTGGGAAAATCAGGATTCTACACTCCCTGATATTTATGCTTACAAATGTTTATCTCTAGTAGTTGGAATTGTTATGACTATTTTATTTTTAATAACTTTTCTAATTTTCAGCTCTTACTACAAAGATACTTGGAGAGTAGACTGTTATGATTGTATTTAAAATCTAACTATGAAAAGTTCAGATCCAAGGTATGAATAGTGTGTGTGTATGTCAAATTCTTCTTTCAAGCAAGATCCCAATGTTACTTGCTAGTCTTCGTATTCAGTATCAGTGCCAAATACAATCTTTGGATTAATTATGTCAATCCTTTTATTCTTTACTAGGATATTTATGGAGATTTGTATTATAAGTAAAATTTTAAACATTTTTATTTTAGAAAATAAAATTTTTTTTATAAAAGAGGAGAAACATAATTCTGTAGTTTAAAAAGAAAAGAGCATCTTTTTGAGTCTATTTTTTTGGACAACCCTCAATTCTATACTCTTTATATTTTTTTTCCACTTTACATTTGGTACAGAGCCTGTAAGCTTGCAAAAATACTTTTCTTATGTTACTCCTTTCAAAAATTCCTAAGATATGATGCTAATATTATTTCCTTCTGATGTTGATAGAAATTGGATTATAAATGTGGGTTACAAAATTACTCTCATTAGCTTATTTAACTCCCTCTTTCCATAAATTGTAACATTAGCTATTAATTTATCTGTAGAGTGGTTTAAGGAACAGAAGCAAGAGAAAAAAAGAATTGATTTTATCATAGATAGAAACCCAAATTTAAATCTTAGAAAAGATCATCCTGAATTAAACAAAAATACTGAATTTTCTCTTCCTGATAGATATGCATAAGTTGCATTTACATGCTACCTTGGCTTTATTTTTGCAGGACCAATACCAATCCTTCTCTTGGTGGCTGCATTGTCTTTATCTTTTTAAATATTTTTTGATAGGTAATATATTTTAAAATTTTATTTTCTTTTGAAAACAAGTTTATTTTAAAAAATGAAGGTACATGCTAATCAGATACAATAGTTTTGATGTCATTAAATATTAAAGGCTTGAAGTGGAATACTCAAAATTAGCTATACATTTTCTTAAATGGATGCCTTGGTGTATCGTATTGCATTTATTATTTTCAGTTTACTGTTTTGCTTCGCCTTCTATATTTCCTAATATTTAAGCTCTAAATATTATCTTAACTGACTCCTAAATGCCAAATTAATTTGTACAAAGACTTGCTAAATCAATAATATTATCTGGCTTACTCGGATTAATCTTAATTATACTCTTTTTTACTGACATACTTAAATGTAATAAATGCCTTAAGAAGAAGAAAAAATAAGATACTTAAATTTATGATGAGGAAAAAGTATGTACTCAAGATATCTACATAAACTCTCTTAAAAATATTTAAGATTAAGGTAAACTTATAACATATGATATTTCTGAAAATGAGGACTATGTAGATATAATAGATTTGATAAACTAAGAATTCTAAAAAATTTCACATAAGAATAAACTAGAGGAAATAAGTAAAGACCAAATAGAAATGTATGTGAATCAAATGACTGAAAACCTTAACTAATAGAATTTATAAAATACTAACAGATTACCATAATAAAAAAGCAACATATTTAACACCAAGAGTTAGAGAGATTATAAATAGATTTTTGAAAAAAAATTCCATCCGAACAATTCTCAATTACATGAATCAAACATTAAAATAGAATAACCAGGTCTTGATAATTCAATAGTTAATCCTAATAATTTAAGTTAAATTTAAAACAACGAAGAAGATCCTATAATTAATTAGAATCATAATTAAAGTATAGATTTAGGAAAATCAAAAGAAGCCTTTAATCAAAACGATAGCTAGAAAAATTCTTTAAATAATCAACAAGAATAGAGTTAAATATAAAATCTCAAAAACGTCAGAGAAAGCGAAAATTCTTCACCAAAAAAAGATACTAAAGAAAGAAAAAAGAAGAAGAAACTAAAGTTAGCAGATAATGAAATATAAAATTTAATAAAAGACTATCAATGATAAATAAATCGAAGTAAAATACAGTTTACTAATTAATTTAAGAACTATCATCTTCTTCAGCTATGTATTCACTTACAGATTATTAAAATTAATATTTATTTTGTATATTTTTGGTTAAATCATATTCTTTTATCATCTATTCAATTATTTTTTTACTTAAAAAATATATTTTTAATTTTAGAATTCAGCATGAAATTATTTTTTAATAAAAATTAATCGATCTAGTTCATAATAAATTATTAAAATTTAGCTCTGCTTTTCAATTTTATAATTCAATTAAATTTTTTTAATTTTTTTTAAGTAAAATCTCTAAAAAAATTAAAAACTTATTATCTTGATAATTAATTAAATAATATAAATATTTATATTAAACTTTTTAACTCAAAAAAAAGAAGAAAATAAAAATTCTATTTTAAATACTCAAATTATGAAAGAAATAACTGCTTTTCTAAATTTTAAACAACCTAATTTTTGATTAATATATTTATATAAAATTAAAAAGAGATCTAGTAAATATTTACTTTCATTTAAATAATATTTTTTATTCATCAAAAAAATAAAAATAAATTACTTAAAGCAAACAAATAATTTATAATTTAGCTTGAAAATATGTTATCATAATAATACCACAACTAGCAAATTTATGAATCAGTAATTGATTAAAAAAATGCGCCACAGAACATAAGAAATAACTAAATGTCAAGTTATTGGAATGAATATATACCAGTGAAATATAATTTTTTAGAATATGAAAATGATCCAAAGTATATACCAGGATTTGATTGCAAATTTAAATAAACAAAACCTTATTATAGATAAGAATTAACATTTATGCCTATACCAAGAAATTAAAACAGCTAATCTCATAGGTCTTAAATGATAGAAAATTAGGTTAAGCATGATTATTAGTCAAAAAGATTTGATATTTAGCTTCCTAAAGATTGGAATGACTAGATGTTTGGAAAAAAAATAGAATATAATATTTAAGTAGATTAGCAAAGATAGTAAGCACTCTAACAAGAAATTTAAAAAGTTTGCGATATTTAAAATCAACAGTATAATTAATTAGTTTTAGAAGGATAAGCTAATTAGCCAAAAACAAACTAATTTAAGCTTACATCTCAATAGCACTATGAATGCTAGCAATACTCAAACGGATAAATTAAGTAATTGCCTCCTAGATAATAAAATAATTAATAGAGTTAATACAATTAATTAGTTTCAAATATTTAATAGTAGTAGTAGTTAGCAGAATAATAAACAAATAAATAGTTTTATTAACAAAATGAATAATAACATTTTATGAATTAATCTAAAATAAATAGTTAATATTAAAATATAAAACTTGAAGATGAATATATCCAATAACCTAAGGGATTTGTGTTAAACCCTTTAAAGTATTCCTAAAACCTAGAATAATAACATCATTAATAATATCCATAGTTTTCTTAGGGAGTAAATTTTAATCCTTTAAACAATTCAGAAAGAATCTTTGGATAAACTCAAACTTAAAATGAATCTGCTTTCACATTTAATAAACAATCCTAAGTGAATATAAAACCATAGTAGCATTACTAAACTGCATATAGATTTTTCCCTCAAGAAACATATATTGACTAATATCTTTTTGAAAGTGATCTTGCCAAGAGGAGAATTCATGAAACAAGAATGATGAACAGAGCAATATCTGAAGAACATCTCTTTTTTACTTCTCAAAGTCCTAGATTCAGGGCTCCTTTTCACGAAGCTTAGGGATTAGAGTCTAATAGTTTTTATGCTAAGCCTAATTTATACAAACATTCTACACCAATAATTAATTGAAATTAATTTTTAAATACTTTAAACACAGATTGAGTATACTTAAAATCATATTAAAATTATATAGTACTTATAATTATTTTTATCTTAGCTTTTTTATTCAATTTATTATTAAAAAATTATTTTTTTAATTTAGAAAGCATTCAATCATTTTAAATTTTTGAAAAATTTCTTATTAATTTAATTAATTTATTTTGTTCAAAAAATGTTTTATTTAAGAGATTTAAGAAATTAGTTTTTAAACATTTTTTTTTATTTTTAAGTAAATAATTTTGTGTTGAAAATAAGAAATTTTAAATGATTCATTTAATTATAAATATCTTAGTAAAAAATTAAATCAATTATTAATTAATAATTAAAAAGATACAAAGATTTTATTAAGAAATAAAATAAACTTAAAGGGAGCGATTGAGTGATATTGCAATTGAAAATGCTTTGCTTTTCGATTGTTTGAAAAATAAATTTGCATTGATTTATGCATGCACTTTAACAAAAAGAAAAATTAAAAGGGGAAATTAAAACAAAAAACAAGAAAAAAGATTAAAAAGCAATCAATTTAACAAGAAAAAATTATTTAGTATATTGAAAAGAATTAAAATCACAAAATATAATTAAAAAAGCAATTTAGAAGGAATGTCTCTTTCTCTTTTTGGTGTTAAGAATAACTGGCATAAGAACGGTAATGAATGACTTGCTTATTTTAATAGTTAACTTAAAAGATATTTACAATATGAAGCAATGCTGTGAGCAAATGCTTATTAGCAACATAGAATAGAATTAGCATTATTTAAAGTTTTACTTTGATAGAAATATAAACATTTATTTCGTGTTAAATAGGTATCTGGTGGTTCTCCAAAATTTTAAATAAAACTGTCGGAGAAGAAAGATACGATGCTCTTAGAGTCTAAAGAAGAATCTGGAGTATGAGATTTTACTATGTAAGAATAAAAGCTTTAATTTGAAATATTTAGATAACAAACAAATGCTCATTTATTTATTGAATTAAACATTTAGGCAAGACAATAATGTTTATATGAACTTTTCGTTGATCACCCCGATCTTGCATAATGGGTAAGCTTTTTATTCATTTCAAAAAATTTATAATCGCAGAAACGCATCTATTTAAATAAGATGACATCATCTAAATCATTTTTTCTTAAAATAAAATATAGACTGGTAAATAATATAAGGAAGATATTCATTTGAGTTTTCGAAATTAGCATTTTTAGTAAGATTTATTTATCTGTAGAATATCTGCAGAGAGATACATGCAAAGAATGCAAAAAGCATCATTTTGGGAATTTTAAATTACATATAATTCGATATTTCAAAAAATTAAATGCTTTTTTGAAAAACAACTAAAATGTTTGTTTATTAACTCAAATGTAAATAAATTATTTAGGTACTTATCCCAAGGTTGATTCATCTCACGGTTTCCCCTTCTACAGTAATTTATTAATTTTTTAGTTGCTTAGATCTATATAAATTATAGCTTTAACAGATTTATTTATATAAAATTTTGTTTTGATTTATAACAGGCACCTATGAAATGTACAGAGATTTCTAAGAAAACACATTGAACTCTGATGTAATTCATATTTATTTCATAGTAAAAATAGTTATTAACATTATTTTTGTAATATCAACAAAGGGTTCTTTCGCTTAATGGATTACTCTTGTTTGCGGTATCTACGTCAGTAAGAACAAGATTTATTAGTTATTGCTTTAAAAATATAAAAAAGAATGACAGAAAATTCTTTTTTATTGTTTATTTAACTAATTAATTTATAATATCTTATTTAAATATTAAAAGTTCACGTTATTTACAACTATATGATTCCTTACTATTGGTACTCATTTATTATTTAAATTTTTTAAAAAAACTCACAATAAACTTCTTAACACATTATAGGGTAAGCACTCCTTTAAAGAATGATGAATTCACAAGACTCAGAATGAAGGATTACATAGGTAATAATAATATATAACTATTCTTACTCAAAATTTGTTCTAAATAAAAACTTTTAAAATAGCTTCTACTGTCTTGGAAGAAGTTTATGGTATTTCATATGCTGAATGGGGGTAATAAATAAGCTTTTACATTTTTGTTTTTAGGTTATTAACTTTATCTCTTAACAATTAGTTGGTTACCTCATGATTTTGCATACAACAGAATGAGAGGTCTCGCTGGTTACATGCACCCTGATGATCCTAGAGCTATGTGCACTTCCACTTTCCACAGTAATTACTTTTATTTTTTTAATTTAAACATTTAAATAAAAAAAACTTGAAATAATAGGAAAGCACAAATACATTGAACACGAAGTTGAAAAGGTTGGTGACTACCACCACATGACTTATCCTAAATGATTAATTAAGCTTAATTAGGATAAAGTATGGAAATAAAATTTAATAATATTAATTATTTTATTGTTAATTATGTATTTAATACATAAAATAATAATGTATATTGTTGAGCATTTCTTAGCAATGTTTAAAAGCAACAAAACTTATTATTGGTTCTTAATATTTTAAAGCATATTTTAAAAAATGCATTGTTTTATTTACTTAATTTTTTAGCAAATATAAATACAGATTGTTAATTTTTAATTTATATTTAATTAAATATTTAATTAAGTTTAAATAAAAATAAATGTATGTATGTGTGTATTTCTTATACAAATGACTTCAACGTTAAGCTAATATCCACCTGATGGATTGATTGCAATTAGATCCAAAATAAATTTGATATCCATTAAAAATTTGATTAAAAGAAATGATTAAGATTGTCAAAAAAAAGTTAAATTAAACATCAAAAATTAAATAAATAAAGCTGAATTTTTTATATCTATTTCACTTCTAACTATAGGATTAGCATAATATAAATTTTAGTTGAAAGACATGAATAATGAAATAGAAATTCCTAATTCCATTATGGACAACCTTATGTCTAAGTAAATTAATTGTACAATAACAGTCCATTTACACTATTTCAATATTTTGATAAACTAAATCTAATTGTTTAATTCAATCTGAATTATTAATTTAGGAATAATGAAAAGAGAAATTTAGCGGGCAAGAATATAGAGGATTTAATTCGCTAGATCCTAGAAAAACAGAATCCATAAGATAGTTAGGTTTATAAGATGATCTAGTATTTTACAAAAAATTTAGGAAGCACAAATATAAACGATAAGAGGGGAAGCATTAAAGCAATAACATCTATTGGTATTGCTTTAAAAGAACATGTAAAAGAAAAAATTTAAGTTTACAGATATTCATAGATTTGTTTATAAAATTTAATATAGGAAAAATATGCGAGGTAGTATGTTAAAATGCTAACTAGACCTCTAATAGATCAAATGTAAGATAACGATTCAAAAATTAGATTTGCATGTCTTGAAGGGTTATATCATATTACATTTGCCTTATAAGATATTATCTTACTCAATTTTAAAGATATTTTTGAAACACTTGTCACAAAAGTTACTGATATGGATAATTGTAATTACACTTATAAATTAGAATATCATTATAAATAAAAATATTTTTCCTTCAAAAAGCGGTGAGATCTGCAGCAACAACTCTTGATAATTAGTTGAAGACAATTGTTTAGGCAGCAGATTTTTAAAAGTATTTAAAAATCTATTTATTCTGAAAAATAAAATTTTATTCATTAATATTTTTTTTTGTAGAGGGGACTTAAAAATCGAAGAATTGATGGAATTAATCAACAAAAAAATTGTTGCTTAAAATCCAACTATTAAATCAATGCTTTTAAGTTGGATTAAAACATTAGATTCTATACCTGGAGTAAATATGTTAAGATATCTCCCTAAATTTTTGGAGTAGCTATTTTTAAATATGTCCGATTCGAATAGGTAAAATATATAATAAAACTATTTTACATTCAAGTTATGATTTACAATATCTTTATTTTATTAGAGAAATAAGATAATCAGCAGAGTTATGTTTGAGAGGATTTTTAGAAGAAATAATGTAAAGATCGAACACTATGGATTCATAAAACAATTTAAGCTTTGCAAACGAAGATGACGAAATCGGAAGAGAAACCCATGAATAAATTATTAATGTACTAATAGAAATTATAAGAACTCCAAATCCTGGTGAAAAAACTAAATACAACAACATTTCCCAAATGAATTGTGTTTGGTGGATTCATGAATATCTCTAAATGCTAGAATAGCATTCTTAATATATTGTAGAGGAAGAAGAACATAAATGTGAAAGATAAAATCCTGCAATTTAAGCTTTACTAAACAAAATTCCAGTTATTATACAACAAACTCTTTATCTGCTTTCTAATGAGCAAGTAATTTTTAATCATTTATTATTTACCTTTTTTTGAGCCAGTTAAATTATTGATATTATAAATTTTACATGTTTTAAATCTATTTATTTATTTTAAAATAATTTATTTATCTAGGAAGAAATAAGAAGGTCTGCAGATAAAATTAATTAGTTAATGCTTAGAATTTTGGAAAAATTAAAGGACAAATCAGGGAAATTTAGTGAAGCAATGCCAATGCTGCAGCAAATGCTCGATGAAAAACGAGAGTCAACGGCGCAAAGCGCGCTGGTATGGATGAGATAACTAATTAAATATTATAATAAAAATAAATCTGCTTAAATAAATTAAGTTCTTTCTTAATTAATTGCAAAGTTGTATGATTCTGATTCCATGGTAGAAAATGTCATGGAAGTACTTGGTAATATTCTAAAAGATAAAGAAAATTTTGATCTTGTTATCGGACAAATATTGAAAGCATGCTTTTAGAATCAAAAAATTTTAAACAAATCTGATATTATTATAAAGTAACTTTGTAACATACTTAATCCTGAGTTAGTATTTAAAACTATGGCTTCAGAATTGAGAAAATATGATGATATTAATTTTGTTTCACCTTTTGTTAGATCCCTTGATTTAATCCTTTTAACAGATTCTGTACAAATTTTTTCTTGTTTAAAAAATATCTTGTAAATTTTTTACATTTTAAATTCAGGACCTAAAAGAGTTAAGGAATTTCTTGAAAAATTTGCAATTTTAAAAGAATTTAGTACCAGAAAAAATTTAGCTATTTGTTGATATATTTAAAACATGGTAGATTATTTGCTAAAAATTGATTTTATATCATTTTAACTAATCTTTTATTATTAATAGGAGCTATAATCCAGTCTCAGCCATAACTCTTTGCTTTTTAACTCAAGCTTATGAGTTAGCATATAATATCATCATGAGCTTGTATATTGTTTTTCATTTACTATCATAACATTAAATTTATTATTAAATAATAGCTGTGAGATAGAACTTAATAAATCAAATTTAACTTAAATATGCGAATTGATTTATCTTTTAGAAAAGCCCATTTTTGTTTGTAATCATCTTTTATGAGATTTATATGCTTTAATTTTTTTAAAATAAGATTTAAGACTTTAGTTGTTAGAACATGAGAAATACCCTTATTTGTTGAAATCATTACATGGTTTGATGATGCTCTTACCTTAAGGTGAAACATATAATTTACTAGCTTCTAGAATCAAATTAGTTGGTTAAGGAAGCACAGATTAGTAAACTATGGTATCATAGCCTTGGGATAAATTGTAAATATAATTTTAAATATTTTTTAAAGTAATTTATTGTTAATGCAAGGATTGAGAACAAAATTGATACCTCTAAGATGGTTGAAATATATTTAAAAGTTTAAATAGACGCAAGAATATATAAAGAAAATATAGAAAATTTAAATAAATTAAAAAAATAATGATATTTCTTTTCTATTCATAATCAATCTATTTTATTTACAAAATATGTGTGTGTGTGTGTGTTTGTTTAATTTTTAAAAATAATTTCTAAAATTTGTTTTATTGAAACAAAAATATTTTCTTTTGCTTAATAATATTCATTTCTTGCATAAATTACATCAAATCAAATATTTAAGAGGAAGCAAATATGCTTAATAATATTCATTTCTTGCATACATTACATCAAATCAAATATTTAAGAGGAAACAAATATTTTATATTTTATTATTTTAGCCTAGACATAAATAATTTATAATAAAATAATAAGAAAACACTTTTATTTTAGTATAGACACTTTTAAAGATAGATTAGACACTTTAGTATATTAAGTAATTTTTTTTTCTTTTACAATTTTTTACTTATTAGAATTTATTGGCAAAGGTTTGTGTTAAAAATAGCTTTTCCCATTTCATTTTTTATAATTAATTGTGTAGGAATAAAATTCAATAAAATTTTTATCAACCTCCCTATCTCTTCAAAATTATTACTACTATGGATTAAAAAAAAAAGACAAACAAACTTCATTGTCATTTTTTCCACTTAACTGGAAATTGCAAAAAAGCTGATAAATGTCCTTTCTTACATGGCAAAAAGCTCAATGGATGTCCTAATGGGGATAAATGTCCCATCCAGATTCTTCACATTTCTCTTGAAGAAAATAAATTTATTACCCCTAATAAATAAAAATCTCTTCAAAGAGATTAAAATTCTCTTAATAATAGTTCTTCTGATACAAAAAGCTTATCTCCTGAACAATCATCATCTGATAAAAAATAATGTAAATAGATTACTGTACCAAAGGAATTAGAAGATGAAGAAGTTAAACATAACTTCTAAGTTTAACCACCTAAAGATGTTCTTATAAATCCACAACTTCCTATCAAAATCTAAGATCTCATAAAATCTCATTACAATCATTGTTAGGAATCTGCAAATTTTATTTCTAACTTTTATCAACTAAGTGAAGATATGAAATAATTTTTACCTATCTACTAAAATATATTGCCAAGAATGGAACTAGATTTAATGTTTATAATGGATTGTACTGGATCTATGAGTGGTTGGATATAAGCTGTCAAAGATGAAATTCTAAGTATAATTGCAGCTATTAAAGATATAAATAAAGGGAATACGTCGATTAGAATTAGTTTTATTGGTTATAGAGATTATGGATCCATCTAAAGATTTAGCATATTCGATTTTTCATCAGAAATTGATTCATTTCAAAATTTTCTTAATTAAATTTAAGCCGAAGGAGGAAATGATTCAGAAGAAGATGTTGCAGGTGGCTTTAAGCATGCAAATCTCTAATAATGGAAGTCTTAAGCAAAATATGCAGTTTTTATTGCAGATTGTCCTGCTCACGGTAGAGAGTATAGTGACGGTCACGATGATAGATACCCTGATGGAGATCCTGATGGTGTTGATTTAAAATAGGAGTTTAAGAATCTTATAAAAAAAGGAGTTTAGTTATATACTATTTAGATAACAGATCAAACTAAAAAAATGTTTGAGTTATTCAAGCAGTTTAACAATGAAGTTTGTGGCTAAGACTTATAAATTCTTGATTTAGGGTATAGCACATAAGGGTTTGGATAAATGGTCACTCAAACTGCTACTTAAACTCTTTCCATGTCTTATACTCGCCACAACAAAGAAAACCCTGAAAGTGCTTTTTACAAAGCACTCAAAATTTGCCAGGCATAAGATACTCAGTAAAAAGACTCTTTTTTCAAAAGATTTAACATTAAAGAGGCTAATGAAAGTGAAGAATCAGATTAAGAAGAAACAAAAAGTGATATAGAAGTTATCAATCTTAAAATATATCCTTAGAAATAATTTCCTGAAGCTATTTTTTCTCATAATTTTGAAGCTACTTGTCACAGCTACTTTATTGTATAAGATGTTGGGGTACCTATCAATTGGAAAAAACCTCTCGTCTAACACTCTGAAATTAAAACCAAACTCCAAATTTCAAGAATTCCTTTTGCTGAAGGAGCTATGAGATACGCTTTCTATGCGAAAGATACTTTGCTAAACTAAAAATTAGTTGTAAAGCTTAACAAAAAGTAGCACAAGTCTGACCCTACACTAAATAAAGCTGATATGATAAAAGATCTTGAAAGTCAATTTATATGCTAGCATATTGTAAACCAATTTAATGACAGAGTTTCAGAACATGTCAACACAACAGAAAATTTGAAAAATTTCGTACATTGTTATATCTACGAATTCACTGATCCATCCCATCCATTTAAGTTTTATCAAGCAGAAAATTATATACCTGGTGAATATGTAAAGTTTAACAATAACTCAGGTTGGTGCGATTTAAAATTTGATGAGCCAGGGTTACTATCGTAGGCACTTTCACATTTTTCATATCAAGTCACAGAAGGATATTTGATGATTGTTGACTTGTAAGGAGTTGGCGGAATGCTTACAGATCCTCAAATTCACTGTTTAGATCAAAATCGTTTCGGTCTTGGTAATCTGGGTTATTCTGGATTTTTCAAATTTTTTATGACTCATTAGTGTAATAAATTCTGTAAGTAACTCTAATTAGTTCATCCACAAATAAAAGAAATACCTACTGATATGAAATTCTTTAAATATGAGATAGTAAAACCTGATAATCCAAATAAGAAGGTTTGCACAATTTGTGATGTCTGCAAAAAGGGATTCAAAATAAATGCTGGATTCTTGTATGAAAGAAGAATATAATGTAGAGAAAAATATTGTCCAGCATGCAATTCAATGAGAGTATCAACACTAAAAACGGATTCTTGTAAATCTTGTAATGAACCATTTTGTTATTCAGTTTATTGGACTTTAATGAAGCGAACACAAGCTTCTGAGCTATGCATTAATTGCAGAAAATTAGAAAGAGATAAACTGAGAGAGTAACTTGAGAAATAATGATAATAATATTTAACTCCAATACTTTTTTCCCATATCTTAAAAACCCTTATCCTATTTAATTTTATTTATTTATTTATTAATTTATTTATTTATCAAATTTCATTCACTAATTCTCTTGTAGTACTGTCTATTTATCTAATTATTTATCAATAATTGATAATTAAAATGCAGCTAAATTAACATTTTGATGTAAAAAAATATATAAAAAAAAACTATTTTTTAATTCATTCAAATAGAAAAATTATTATTTTTTGATTTTCATTTAATTAAAAAATATGTGTTATTTAAAAAATTAAATTATTGTGTAAAAAATTGAATTCTATAGATCAGGAAGATAGTTAACACAAAATTAAATAAATAATGAAATATAAATACAATTTAGAAATGAATGATCTACCATGAAATTTAAATAACATGAGAATTTAATAAACAATAATAAATAATGATGCAATTTTAATCTAATTTAAATATGTATTATAGAGTAATAAATTATTTTACAGTATTAAAATAAAATTAATTTCCATTTTTTCTTCTAATGCTTTTTATCAGTAATTTAAATAATATTGTTTTTTACAAATGTTGAATTAAATATTTTTATATGTTAAGCTTAATAAAAATATATTTTAAATTTTATTGATAATGCTTAAATACTCAATACTTTTATCAAATATTTTAAAATTTTATAAGTGATAGTATTTTATCATTAAATATTAAATTCATGAAAGATTTATTTATAAACTGATACCCTTGAATATATCTAAGTTTTGAATCAATTTTAAACAGCATAGATATAAAATGACATAATATCAAATTATGCTAATGTTAGTAGCATTCATCAGAAAATTAAAACAGATATTTTATTTAAATACTAAAATTTCATATCAGAATTAAAAGATAATTAAAAAAATAAAAAATAATAAATCAATAAAAAAGCAATAGTTCCATATTTTAAGCCAAGTTAACAAAATCTATTTCGATTCCAATATGATTAGAAAAATATTCTCTACTTTACCAGTCTCTTTATATAAAAAGCTTAAGTTTAATGTCGGATTAGATCACAATAAGTTTCTTGTTGTTTAGAAATTTGACAAAAGAATAGGAAATTCTACTTTTCTTAACATCACAAAGTTTGTCTAACCTAGAAATAAATCACAGAATTTGAAGGATACCTTGAATCTATCCAAAATAGAAGAAATCCTACGCCAGGAAGAAACCAATATAGAACTTTTAAAAGAATGTATATAGTTTGAAATCCATGAAAAGGAGACTAAGCCAGTTTTTTAGGAGCAGCATTCTAAAAAGGCTGAATAGCTATAAAATACTCTAGACTAAGAGACTCTAGATTTGGTTTCTCTACTCAATAACTGTGGGTGTGTTTTAGCCAATCTAGGTCATTACCAATTTGCTCTAGATTTTCATAAAAGAGCTCTAAAGTTGAAAGAAAATATATATTCAGAAGAAGAGTATCATCCTGAAATAGCTATTTCCCTTTCAAATATAGCTTCTGTTTATTACCATTTAGGAGAGTATCATAAAGCTTAAGAATATTGTAACAAGGCCATAACAATGTAGGAATAGATTTACTAAATGGGATCTTTAGATTTAGCTTACTCCCTAAATTTAATGGGTATAATCTTATTGGCTGAAAAGAATTACAGAAAAGGGTTTAAATTTTAGAGGAGATCTTTAGAAATTCACGAAATTCTTATCAAAGGAATGAGTCCAGTTTTAGCTAATACTTTATCAAACTTAGGTTTCTCCTACTTTTAATATTAATAATATAAAGATGCTTACTTATATTTTGAGAGGTCTATAAAAATGAAAGAAAGATTACTAATCTAAGAGGAAAAAGAGTTAGCTTTAACTCATTATGGAGCAGGTATTTGTCTTAGAGAAATGGGACAAGTTAAAAATGGAGTTAACCATCTTAATACTGCCTATAAAATGTTTAATGGAGCTTTTAAGGAAGAAGGAAGATATATACAAATGAGTTTATTAGAATTAGGTAATACATATGCCAAAATGTAAGACTACTAAAATGCTTTAACATAATACTAATTAGCCTTATAAGAAGAATATGAAGATTAAGATTAAAACATCTTGTTCTCTTTACACAAAGAAGCAGCCTTAGCTAGCTACTACATTTAAAAATATTAAGACTCTCTTTAACACTCTTAAGAAGCTAAACAAATTTAACAATCTGAATAACCTCTAGATTAAACAGTTGCTTCAAAATATGACTAAGTAATTAATTTAACTCTTTTAGCATTAAGTCAAGAAAGATAACAAAAACTTTAAGAATGCAGTTCAACAATAAAAGAATTAATTAATTTATAAGATTAATTTGAGATATAGTAATCTAATTCTTTGTAGTTAGATACTTTAGATTAAAATAGTAACAATATTAGATAAATCCTTGATAACCATTTATAAAATCTTCTCAGTGCTTAAAAAGTTGCAATTGAAAAATCAAAAATAGTTTTGTGAAACTACTAGTTAAATATCTCATTATTTAATAAGTTTTTAAATTGTTGTAGTTTGTTTTTTTATGTTTATTTCAACTAGCTTACTTAATTGTAATCCAAAAAAAAAACCTTTTATTTTTCAGTAATAATTAAATATCTTTAAAAAAAATTAAATATTTTGGTAAAAAAAAGTGATATTTTAATATTTTTTTTGTAACGAGTTTGTTTATTTAAGCTTATTACTTTAGAAAAATTACATATTTATCATTTCTTACTATCTTAAAAAAATAATAATATTGAACTCTTAAGTATCAAATTTAAATTTTCAATTTAAATAATAAATAATAAATAAAAAATAAAAATTAGAATTTATGGGTTTCGTTAATTTAACCCTCTTAAAAATTTGAAAAAAGATATTATTAACTAGAATAAATACCTATATTATGAAAATCAAAAAAAAAATTAAAATATTTATTTTATTTTATAAAAATATTTTGTTAATTAAATACTCTAATGTTGATAGTTATGCTAAAAACACTCAATCAATAACAGAATTTAAGAAAATTTTTAATTTCATATGATTTTTTTATTGAGGCAAATTAAAGTCTACTTTAAATAATAAAAAAAAAAAAATTATAGTTACAGTTCTTTATATTCTTTTATAAAAGAATATAAAAAAATTAGAATTTAGTATATTAGACAGAAATATTATAAAATTTTAGTGAAAGAATTGTTTATATCTGATACAGAGTAGACACTTTGATTAATAAGACTCTTTAATATTATTCAGATTATTGTATATCAGAATTTTTTTGCTAAATATGTTTTATAATAAATTTATATGCTTATTATGACGATGCCTGATATATTCTTATAAGTTAAAATTTGTTTTTATTATGTAGACACAATGAATTTATATTCAAATGAGAAATAAAATTTAAATTATTATAATATTTATTATTCTGATAGAATCATAATAATAAAGATATGGATTTTAGAAAAAAAGCTAACAACAAATTACACTGTCATTTTTTCCACTTAACAGGGAATTGTAAAAAAGCTGATAAATGCCCTTTCTTACATGGTAAAAAGCTGAACGGATGCCCAAATGGAGATAAATGCCCCATTCAGATTCTTCACATCTCACTTGAAGAAAATAAATTTATTACACCTAATAAATAGTAATCTCTTCAAACAGATAAAAAATCTCTAGATAATTCTGTTACAAAAAACTAAACTCCTGAATAGTTGTAATCTGATAAAAAATAAAATAATTTAATTACTGTACCAAAGGAATTAGAAGATGAAGAAGTTAAACAAAATTTATAAGTTTAGCCACCTAAAGATGTCGTTATCAACTCATAGCTTCCAGTTAAAATCTAAGATCTCATTAAGTCGCATTACAATCAATGCTAAGAATCTGCAAATTTTATCTCTAACTTTTATCAACTAAGTGAAGATATGAAATAATTTTTACCTATCTACTAAAATATATTACCAAGAATGGAACTAGATTTAATGTTTATAATGGACTGTACTGGATCTATGTCTAGTTGGATATAAGCTGTTAAAGATGAAATTTTATGTATAATTGCTACCATAAAAGATGTAAATAAAGGTAATACATCCATTAGAATTAGCTTTATAGGGTACAGAGATTATGGGGTAAGCTAAAGATATAGCATTTTTAATTTCTCTGATGATATGGATGAATTTGAAAAATTCTTAATTAATGTTAATGCTATTGCTAATTCAGATACACCAGAAGATGTTGCAGGTGGTTTTAAGCATGCAAACCTCTAATAGTGGAAGTCTTAAGCAAAATATGCAGTTTTTATTGCAGATTGTCCTGCTCATGGAAAAGAATATAATAATGACTATAGCGATAGATATCCAGATGGTGACCCAGATGGAATTGATTTAAAATAGGAGTTTAAGAATCTTATAAAAAAAGGAGTTAAGTTATATGCTATTTAGATAACAAATCAAACCAAATAAATGTTTGAGTTATTTAAGTAGTATAACAAAGAAGTTTGTGGCTAAGATTTAGAAATCCTTGATCTAGGGTATAGCACATAAGGGTTTGGATAAATAGTCACTCAAACAGCTACTTAAACTCTTTCCATGTCTTATACTCGCCACAACAAAGAAAACCCTGAAAGTGCTTTTTACAAAGCACTCAAAATTTGCCAGGCATAAGATACTCAGTAAAAAGACTCTTTTTTCAAAAGATTTAATATTAAAGAGGCTAATGAAAGTGAAGAATCTGATTAAGAAGAAACAAAAAGTGATATAGAAGTTATCAATCTTAAAGTCTATCCATAGAAACAATTTCCTGAGGCTATTTTTTCTCAGAATTTTGAAGCTACTTGTCACAGCTACTTTATTGTATAAGATGTTGGGGTACCTATCAATTGGAAAAAACCTCTCGTCTAACACTCTGAAATTAAAACCAAACTTTAAATCTCAAGAATTCCTTTTGCTGAAGGAGCTATGAGATACGCTTTCTATGCGAAAGATACTTTGCTTAACTAAAAATTAGTTGTAAAGCTTAACAAAAAGTAGCACAAGTCTGACCCTACACTAAATAAAGCTGATATGATAAAAGATCTTGAAAGTCAATTTATATGCTAGCATATTGTAAACCAATTTAATGACAGAGTTTCAGAACATGTCAACACAACAGAAAATTTGAAAAATTTCGTACATTGCTATATCTACGAATTCACTGATCCAGCCCATCCATTTAAGTTTTATCAAGCAGAAAATTATATACCTGGTGAATATGTAAAGTTTAACAATAACTCAGGTTGGTGCGATTTAAAATTTGATGAACCAGGGTTACTATCGTAGGCACTTTCACATTTTTCATATCAAGTCACAGAAGGATATTTGATGATTGTTGACTTGTAAGGAGTTGGTGGAATGCTTACAGATCCTCAAATTCACTGTTTAGATCAAAATCGTTTCGGTCTTGGTAATCTGGGTTATTCTGGATTTTTCAAATTTTTTATGACTCATTAGTGTAATAAATTCTGTAAGTAACTCTAATTAGTTCATCCACAAATAAAAGAAATACCTACCGATATGAAATTCTTTAAGTATGAGATAGTGAAACCTGATAATCCAAATAAGAAGGTTTGCACAATTTGTGATGTCTGCAAAAAGGGATTCAAAATAAATGCTGGATTCTTGTATGAAAGAAGAATACAATGTAGAGAAAAATATTGTCCTGCATGTAATTCGATGAGAGTATCAACACTAAAAACGGATTCTTGTAAATCTTGTAATGAACCATTTTGTTATTCAGTTTATTGGACTTTAATGAAGCGAACATAAGCTTCTGAGCTATGCATTAATTGCAGAAAATTAGAAAGAGATAAAATGAGAGAGGAATTAGAAAAAAATTGAGAAATAAAATTCTCTTAACCAAAATTATTAAAATATTATTAAATTTACAACAAATTATTTATTTATTTAAAAAATTCAACTTCTTCATATTTTACATGAAATTTTGTCAAATAACTCAAGTAAAATAATTCTAAAATTCAAAAACCTCTCTAAATTTATTTATGAAAATTTTTTTAAATTTAAAAGTATTTATTTAATGTGTTGAAATTTACCTTTAGGTTTAAATATAAAACATAAAAATAATTTAATTAAATTTATTATAAAGATTACTTTGTTAAAATGAAAGAGCGTACTAAGTTCATTTATTTCTTCTATTTATTTTTCTAATATGACAGATAAAAAATTAAAAATTTTAAAATTATCATAGTTAAAGAATTTTATTGCTTTTATTTAAATTATGCTTTAACAATTTACTTCAGCGCTTTTTTAAAAAAACTTTTATTTTCAATAATTAGAATTAGATAATTTATTGCATAAAATTTAAGGAATAGGTGAGTTTGAAAAGTATAAAAGATGAAAATTCCAAAGATAGCTTGCGTTGTTATTTCATTAATAATAATATTTAATTCTATATTAGCTTTATGGATATGCTATTCATAAGCTTACAATACAAATATTAAAACCATAGCTTCACAACTTTAGCAGTTAAAGCATAATCTACAGAAGAATTACATTCATAATTTAAGAGTGATTGATCATCAAAGCATCTGCAATTAAAATGAACAAGTAGTAGAAGGATTAATTTCAGATAATAAAAAGGAATATAAATTATAATATCTAGTTGTTGAAGATTAAAATAATTAAAATTAAGTTATCCAAATATGTTAAGAAATCCACTTTAATAATAGCTTTGCATCATCTTTAAAGAATCCGAGTAATAAAGATTAAGAAAAGTAACATCAATGTGAATATAAAGGAATAAAATTATCACCAAACAATTAAAATTTATGCCCTATTTCGAATATTTTATTTTCTTTAGAAGAATCTATTGAAGGTTATGAAAAAATTCCAATAGATGGTAATACAAAAACAAAACTTTTTGTTCAAAGAAACAGAATAGACTCTTCACCTCTAGTAGGAATAACTTTGGTAAAGTAAGGGGATTTGCCATTTTTACACTCATCTGGTAATTTATCTTATAATATGGAAAGTATTTGCAAAGAAAAGTATATGAGCTACGAAGGTTTATGCCAATTTGAATCTAATCCAAACCTTTTTAAACTTTAAATAATTTAAGAAAATTAGTACCCGATGGACTAGGAATGCTCTTAATTAGAAGTTCTAAACTTTAATTAAGTTAATCTATATTTCACTAGTTATAATTTAAAAATGATTGATTTTACTTTAGCAATGTTAATATTTGGGTTTAATGTTATACTTGTAATAACACCATTGGTAATTGTGTTTAATAAAGTAATATATCTAGATTCTCTCACTTAATATGTAAAGTGGTCTTTAGTGAATTTACTATACTACTATTTAATAAGGCATGATTATGGTCATATAAACTCTGTAATAGAAAATAATTGCTTTTATACAGAGGATTTATTTGACAAATTTTACAACTAATCAAAAGAACTTTATAATTATCTGGATTTTTACTTTTTATTGTAAGCTTTCCTTATACTATTGACTATTGTATTAGGTTTGTGCTCTAGCAAATAAAAGGAGGAACAAAAAGAAAGTGGAAATAAGTTTACCAGGATTGGCGAAGAAGAAATGACTTTTACTAATTGACTCAAAAATATTAAATAAAAAACAATTTTTAAATAACTTTGATAAAAAATAGTCATTTTTTATATTCTTATTAGTAAAATTATTAACAATTTATTTTTTGAAATATTTTAAAAAAATAGTTTTATCTACTAATTAATAAATAAAAAATTAAATTTATGATAAAACTTTTCTAGAAAGAAGGGTTAAAATATATTGATTTTTTCATTTTTATTTTGATTTTAAAACAGTTATTTTTTAAATAATTCTTTATTAATTTTAAGAATTGTATGAAGATTAAAATATTTTATAAGATTGTAATACAACATTTAATTAATTCAAATAATATGTATTTTCCATTTATAAACATTGATTGTAGTTATGCAATTTTATCTATATAAGATTCTAAAAAGATTTAATTTTTATAGTCCTATCTTATATTTACAAAATAAAAAAACAAACTTTTAGAAATGAGCGCATAAAATGATGATAGTATAAATCTATAAGTAAATCAATAATAAAATAATCAAGCAAGCAGTTAAATTAAAGAAGTAGAAAATGGGATAATTAATTAGGGCTTTGCTTAAGAGAATTAAGTGTTTGAACAAGTGCAAATTCCATCAAATGCAAGATTATAAAGTTAATAAAGACAAAAATTATAAAAATGATATTTCTTTGTTTTAAAATTAAAATTACTAAAGTTTTGTTAATCTAACTTAACTTTTAAAAAATATGAATTAGAATTAAAGAAAGAAATAAATTGGCCTCACTCCTATTCGAATTAAATTCTAAAAATAGATTTGAAAAAGAAGTTAATGGTGATGGTAGAAGATTTAAAATTACCAATATAAAATGAATTAAAAGAGATTTTTATACTTATATTTTTAATAAAATAGCAATCAAAAGTTTCTGCAAATTTGAGCATGTATGAGCAATATAAAAATGGTTAAATTCAATCTAACTTATATGGAAATATTGGTTTAACAGCAAGTTTGTGGAAATTTGAAGCAGATATAACAAACTTTACTAAAAATTGTTTAAGAGCAAAATATACATAAAAAGTATAATTAATTAATTGAATTGTTAATAAATATATTATTTAAAAAATTATTTTAAATTTTATGAATAGGATATTGTATCAAGTCAGTATTTTAAGATTAAAAAATTTTCTTTCAACTTTTAGCTGAAAAATTTAAATGAAATTAAGATGAAACCATCTATTGAGTTTAGCTAAAATAATATTGATTTCAGAGTAAAATATTCCATAGAAATTTGAAAAAACAATTATTAATTTTAATATTTGTTAATATCAAAGTTAGAAGGTACAATTTAGTAAAAAGATTCTAAATAAAAAACTGCCTTGCATGAATTTTCTGCAGACATAACTCATGTTATAAATCCTTTTGATTAACTATATTTTGAAGTAATTTATTAATTAAATATCTGGAATTCAATTTATGAGCTAACATCTTAAACAAAAAACATAGACTGTGTTTGGAAAGAGGAACAATAAAAATGTAGACTTGCAGTTTAATACTTATTATTTAAAAAATAGCCACATTTTAAATTCTAGGCAATCTTTTGTATTGTAAGAAAAATCTATTAAATTTAAAGAGCTATCATTTAAGTATTAAAATGAAGATGTCTTTGAGTTATGCAGTGGATAGTAAGTTAGTTTGTTAAAAAATTGAGTAAATAAAACAATATTTTTAAGTAATCATTTAGAAAATACTATTTGGTATTCGAGCATCCAAAGATTTAAAAATTATGACATTGGTTTGAATATATAAAAGTAAAATAGGCAATGCAAAGCAAAAAAAGAATCAAGTGCTAACGAAGACGACTATTCTTTTTATTAAACAAATGGAACTTCTATAAATTTCATGTGTAAGTTCAAAAAACTGTAATTTGCTCCAAATCTAACTGCTTAGTTTCACCTTGAAAATTTCAATTACTTTTCATTATAATGTAAGTACAAGCTAAGCAATAAAAATATGCTTGAAACAGTATTTAAGGTAGCTATTTTTTTACTATTTAAAGTTTAATAATTAAAAAATTTTTGAGTTTTTTATAACATATAAAAATTCTATCTAAATTTAATATCTTTAAATGTAAGACCCTCTAAATACTAAGTTAACTTATTACTGATTGCAAAAATCTTTCTAAGTTATAAGCTAAAAAAAAATATTTAACATTTATTTATTAACAATAAAAAATAGCTTCCTTTGTTAAGTGAGGGTAACCATAGCAAATTTAATGGAGATAATAATTCCAGAATGCTTCCATTTTTCTTAACTTTAAAGTTATCAGAATGAAATACAGCACATCAAATTTACATATAATAAATGAACGATAGAATGAATTAATGGATAAATAAATAAGTAAGTTAGTAACTCAGATAGATAGCTAGCTAAACTATATTTAGATTACTAAACTAAATTATTTAATCTAGTTAAAATTTTAAATATTTTATATTTGGTTTTTATTAATAGTTTCTACTACAAATTAATCAATCAATTAATAAATAAATGAGTGTATGTATAGCCTAATATAATATTATTTGCTCACTTTCTATAACTTTTTTGTTACTACTATTTAGTTGATTCACTTTTTTTAGGAGATCTAGATCTACTTCTTGATTATCTTCTTTTACGTTGAGGAGTTGATGATAATGAGGAAGCGGAAGATTATTAACCACTCTCCTATTCGGAGGATTGCTATTTAGATTAGCCGGATAGAGATTCGTTAGAAGATGATTTTGATCTGCCTGATGATTAGGATGATTCCTTTCTTTTTCTCTCAGGTTTATTTTTATCTTTAATCTCCTTTGGAGAGTTTGAAGACTATCTTCTTTATCTCAAAGGTTTATCATTATTTTTCTCTTCATCAGATAAAGATGCTTTACGTCTCATGCTTTCATTTTTATTTCTTCTCTTATCATAGTCAGATGAAGGGCTTCTTCTATTTCTTCCTGATTATTTATTCTTATCTGATGACTTATAGTCTCTTTGTCTTGAATCTTAATATTTACTTTCTTTTCCTTTTTTATCTGATGAAACCTCTCCACTACTTAAAGAACTATTTGATCTTGCTTAACGATTATATTCTCTAGAATCTTTTTTTTATCTATTTTTTGATTCATTTTGTCTCTTTGGTGAACTACTTTCACTTTGATATCTCTTTGATTATATTTTTTATTGTTTTTAATCTTCTTTTTCTTCATCACTACTACCTTCGCTTCCACTACTGCTTGATGATTTACTACGTTTTTTTATAAGATTTTTTTTCTCTTTTTTTTCAGCTTTAAGTCTTTTCTTCTCTTCTTTCCTTTTTTCTTTTTCTTCTCTTTTTTTCTGTCTTTTCTCTTCAATTTTTTTCTCAATATAATCTCTAATTCTTTCAGTTTTCTTTACTTCTTTTTCATATTCTCTCTCCATTTTCTCTCTCTTTTATCCATCAAAGTCTAATTAATTTTTGTAATATTAGTTAATATTCAAATATATAAAATCTTTAAATAGTCCTTACCAAATGCTTTTCCTGAAGTGTATTTTTCCTCAATTTAAAATGCATTTTTCATTTTTTCATATTCATTTTATTTTGCTACTGTTTTCGAGTGATCATTCTTTGTTCTTTTTCAAATTAAAAATCGAATATTAATAATGTTAACCTTTTTAAAAAATATTTTACAAATCTATTTCGCCCTTTTCCATTTTAGTTCTTAGCTTTTCTTCCAACTTATTTAATTTTTCTTATATTTTATCTTCACTTTCTCTAATAATTAATTCAAAAATGGCTCATCTATAAATGATTATATTTGTTTTATTAAAAAATTACCCTAGTTCTTCTAATTTATCTCTTAACTCCATTAACTTTACTTAAATTTCTCTCTTTTTTTCATGTTCTATAATTTCAGGATTAGCCTTTCTGATTTCAATTGGTTTTTCCTATTGATAAAATTAAAAAATGAATATCCCTAAACTAGAATATAATATATTTTACATGAATTTCTTTCAGTTTTTTAAGGAAATCATCTCTACTTCTCAGATCTTTTTTAAAGTGACTGAGATTTCTCTAAATATAGCCAGAAGTACCAGAACCTCTGGGAGTTTATAAGCCAATTCCGTTATACATATTATTTTAAAACTATCCTAAAAAGAGTAAATTAATATATGACTAATATTATTATTAATTTTTGATCGTAAAATTAAAATATAAAAGCTTTCGTCTACTTATAAATACAATCTTAATTATTGATACATTTTTAACTAACTAAATCACATAATAAATAATTAATAAATCAAATGATAAATTATATAAATTAAGAGAGCACATTGATTTATTTATATATTAAATTCAACCAAAAACAACCCCCAATAAAATAGTTGATAATGCTAAAAAAAATTCTTAAGATACTACTAACTATTTATCAAAAAGAAATTTTTGAAATAAGAAAAAAGAGGAAAATAAATTATAAATAAATAATTAATTCAAAAATATCTAAAAGAAAAAAATTCAAAAAAAAAAAGCAAAATCAAATAAAAACAAGAGAAATTGAAGCAAATATCTTAAAATAATATTTTGGAAAAGTTTTTAAATCCTATGTGTTTGTTTGAAAAATCAAACGCTCTATGGCCATTTTAAATGTAGAAATAAATACTCACTTTTACTTTTATCCATCTTTGGTAAAATAGTATTTCAATTCTACAAAATAAATGCTATAATTAATTCATTCCAACCCTAAGTTTTTAAAATAAATTATTTTAAGATTTTTTCAATTCATAAATTTTTTTCACCAAAATGCTGAATAAATTGAACTGGAATTTGCTTTGAACTAGTTTTTAATGCAATAATCTTTTAAAAAGTTTTTAAATATTAAATACTTACAGTATAACTCGAGCTAACAGAATGTAAATAAATACTGTAAAAAAAGATTAAGTAATTCAAAGCAAATTAAAATCCTTGCCCGCCTAAAACTCTCCAGTTCAATAATTTTTGCAATCATATATTAACATATATAAAAAGTATTTTTTAAGATAAAATTAGATGACATGATAGAGACTCAATAAAAAGAAAATAAATAAAAAAATACAAAAATAAAATAAACAAATAATTCAAAAATAAGAAATAAAAAATTTAAAAAATTTAAAAAAAAGATTATAAATAAATCATCTTGCATCTAATAACAAATAAAAAATCAAGAAAATTAAGCAAACAAATTACTAACAAATCATTAAAAAAATTAAAATAAAAAGAAATGAAAATTAAAAAATAAAACACTATTAGAGCATAAAGCTCAAATAAAATTACAAACAAAATCGATATTGATCACATTTTTTCAGTATTTATGATTAATATTTACAGTATAAAATTTAATTTCATAATTATTTTTATTTTATTTTTAAAACTAACTAAATTTTAATTTATGTAGCAATGGACATTTTTAAGTTTGTAAATATTTTTTTTAATTGTAAAAATACTTTGTTTTAGTTTATAAAATGAATATTGTTTTAAATTTAAAAAAATTAAATAAAAATAAATATTCATAAAGTTTGATCACTTAAAATTTATACTAGCTTGAAAAAATTGTAGGGTAATAATAGCTAATATAGATTAATTTACTTATTTGCAAAAAAATGTGTGATTATTATGGATGGTGAAATTTAAAATGATAAAAAAGTAAAATGCTTGAATTTAATATTAATAGATTCATATAAAAAATGATATAAATTGAATAAAAATTATGTTTAATTTGATCTTTTGCTAATTTAAGAATCAAGTAAACATAGTTAGTTTTTTTTTTTACAAATTAGCGATCTAATTTAGCACATAAGTAATCAACTGACTAACATTTTAAGTTTTGAACTAGGAATTAATAAATACACTACTAAAATATCGAAATCATATCAGCTTAATTAATATTATTTAGAGATTAGTTTAAGTAAAATGAATGGAGAAAAAAAATTATCATTTGATATGTGATATTATTTATATTATTTTGTTTAATTTTTGCTGACTAAAGCAGATTTTTGAAATAAACTTTACATAAAATAAAAGCACTTTATAATTTTATATAAATTAAGGTGAAAAACTAATATTTTATAGAATGTAAGAAAAAAATAGCTTAAGGGGATATCATATCTTAGAGCATAAAGGAAAAGGAACTCTTTTTTAAAATTTCCTTGTTGAAAGAGATGGAAGGAAGTACATTTTGAAAGTTTTTAACAAGAATGACAATGACGATACTGAAAGCAAAGTTGAGTGGATTTTAGATAAGTTTTAAAAAAATGATGGAGTTTACAATAATCACTTATAGAAAATTATTGATGTGTTCCATAATTTATAGCAAAAATATTTTGTAGTTGAATATTTTGAAGAAGGAAATATTTTAGAATACATGCTTAATAATAACTTAAGCAGACTTGACTTGAAATTAGCAGTGAAGGTATTGGGTGATGTTTTTAGAGGTATTAGCCGCCTCCACGAAAAGAGATAGTATCATATGAATTTAAGACTTGAAAATATTTATTTTAGAAATAACATGCAAAGTTTGGCAGTTTGCGATTACAGGATACTTTATATAGATAAAATAATTAATTATTATTTTGCTAATGAATATCTACCTCCTGAAATGATAGGAAAGGGAACAATTGATTTAAAAAGTGAAATTTGGACACTCGGTGTAATATTTTTTGTCCTAGTTTTTGGCTAATTCCCTTTTGTTGATTTGTAAGAGATCGAAGAATATACGCTTAAAAATAACTTTAATCTAAAGAAGTTGTTAAAAGATAAGCAAATTCTTGATCTTGACTCTGATCCCAAACAAGTACCTAACAAAGAATTTTACTTATAGATTTAAGAGCATTATGAAAAATTGAATAACTTCTTCTCAAAAATCTTTGAATTTATGCAAGCTAAAAGAATGTCTTATATTTAACTTTCATAAGATCCTATTTTTACAAGTAAGCTCAAGAAGAAACTTTTTACCTCAATTTTTATTTCAATAATGAACGATATTTATCATATAGCTTTATCAAAAATAATTTTATTTATATAACTTTCTAATAAAAAAATATAGTTGGATACCTATAAAACTTACAAAAGGAGAGAGAAATTTACGAGTAGCTTGGTACTGATAGCTTCCGTGAATCAAAGCGTAAGGAAAGCTCTGAAGTTGGTGATGATTAGCAAGACGATAGTACTGAAGAATCAGTTTAAGATAAAAAATATATTTATGACATGGAACTAGAAGGAGCTAAAAAAGGTGTAGAGTTTAAAAATTCATCTAAAGGAAGTATAGGTGAAGAAGTTGATCAAAAAACAATAGCAAACTATATGAATCAGTATCCAAAAAATTAGTCTATTTACGTTTATAACTAACAAAGTTAATAAGCAATAGAAAATTCACAATTAGAAGTATCTATGCTGATTTCATATTACGATCGTTCCAAGCTGATAAAAGATAACATAAATAGTATAAATCAATTGCAGTATTATTACTCAGTTCATTTTTCTAGGTAAAAATTTATTTATTTATTAATTTTTTTTATACACTATAATTACATCTAATGTCTATTTAATTGAATTTCATTTAAAATATTTAATCTGATTAGGCATGAATTTATTATGCAAACTCTTGAATTGATTTTGGACTCTCAAAATTTTAAATACAAACAAAAAATTATCTTAAAATATTTCTTGACTAAATGCGCCCTTCACTTTGGATAGGATAGTTTATAATCAGAAGATACAAACTTATTTTATTCTGACATATGGCATTTATGGAAGATTTCAGAACATAAAAAGGTAAACTTTACTTAAATTGCAATTCAATCATCAAACTTATTAAATTTTTATCTAAAGAATCAAAAATAGTATTTGAGTAACTTTGTTAAAAAGATGAAAGTAGACTTGCTCCATAGCTATCTTTAAATACTTGGTGTTAAAAATTCCTAGCTTGCACAAAGCGATTAAGTAGAAGTGGTACGCACTCTTAGTGGAAATGAGGATTTTAAAAATAATATCAAAAAAACATTTAGAAAAGTGCTTTCAAGTTTCTAATCATCTATTGATAAAATTATTTAAGAAAAAAAAAACCTATCAGAGGACACAGTGGCTGAGTTAAAGAGATTCTAACTTAGATTAATTATTTGCTCAAGCGCCAATAGGTGTTTTATTCATGATAGGCTATAAGATATATTCCCACAATATATGAATGAATATAAGAGCTATTAACTTAGTTCTTTTAATGATTGGATTGAAAATATGAATATCAACGAATTAGATTTGCAAATTAAAAATATTCCATAGCACTTTTACAAAAATAAAAACTGATTTATTGATATTAAGTTAGGATTTAGCTTAAGTTATGCAAATTAGTTTACAAAATTTAAACTTACTTGGATCATATTATATTTTTCAATAAATCTAGTTATCTATCTATCTATTTTAATTTTTATACTTACAATTTATTTTATATTCTAACTTATGTGAAATTATAAAAAGATCAGTTTTAACAAATCTATTTTTTTTTTACAAATGATTGAATTGATAAGAAAAAAATTCGCTCATTTTAAATTGAATATCTTATTTACAAAATTATTTTTTTAAATCATTTATGTAAGTGAGTAATTTTCATTATATTTCTTCTGTTTTTTTTTTATTTTATGTTTAAGGTGAAGAAATAATATTTATTTAATACATTAATATATTATTTGCATATTAAGTAATTAGATTTCGAGTATTAAGAATTAGATTTAGTATTTTTTTTATCAAACATAATTTTCTAATAATATTAATAAATTTATATTGTCCAGAAAAAAAATTTGTAAAAAATATTATTAAAACTTAAAAAATAAAAAGGAGTGTAGAAGAAAAATAGTTAGATTCCAAAATAGTTGATCATACTTTCAAAGCTGTACTGAGAAATATAAAAACTTAATTTAATACATAATAGTCAATATACTTTTTTACATGTAAGTTTTAAAAATAATAAAGCTATTTTATAGTTAATTATTGTATGATTTTAACTGAAACAGATTAAAATGAGCGCCGCAAGAAGTAAGACATTAGAAAAATCTAAAATAAAAGTTGAAGAATTCTCTCAGAAATCTAAGTTTTTATGTTTGTTTTGTGGTGGAAAGAGCTGTTCTAAGGAAAATTATCTAAAAAATCCTCATAAAAATGCAATACATGGTCTTAATTCAGATTGGATAACACCTGAAATTTTAGCTATGCAAAGACCTTCTTCAAGAATTATAAAAGAATATGGAATTATTGAACAATTTTAGCATGCTCATATCAAGGCAGTATTTAATTTGTAATTACCTGGTGAAGTAATTCTATCTACATATTTGAAACTGCAGCAAATTTATTTTTTTAAATAAAACTTACTATAAATAGCATCCTTATTGTGGTGATAAAATAATAAAAGAAAGTGGTTTTACTTACAGGCCAGAAGAATTTACAGATCGTAAGCAATATCAATCAATTCAATATTTTGTTTTTCATAGAATTAGTTGCACTTTTTAAAATATAAATTTTTATTAAATGGAATAGATGGTATTTTCTATTTTAATTTTGGATGGACTGATATGGAAGTTACAAGTTTAGACCATATGATCAAAATATTAACGCATATAGATTTTATAATTAGTTAAGGAATGAAGGTAATTAAAGAATTATTTATTATTTTTAAGATAAAACGGTTGTTTTTCTAAATAGATTTCAGTTCATTGCCATGCTGGTACTGGAAGAACAGGTCTTTTAATAGCATCCTGGTTAATACTTAAATTTAATATGACAGCTGTTGAGTCTAGAGATTTATTTAGATCAAAGAGAGCTGGTGGGTTAACCAAATCCAAACAACTTGTTTTTTTAAAGAAGTTTGAAGAATGTAATTAATTAGGAACATACATTAATATATTAATTTATAAAATTTTAAAAGTTATAATTAGCAGTAGGATAAGTTTTTAGTAAAAAAATTTCATTAAAATTGAACAATTAATTTAAGCTCAAGAAAAGTTAGTTTTTGGTAAGACAAAAACATTATCAAGGTATCAACCTCACATAATGTATTAAATTCTTAATAGATTAGAATTTTTGATGGAAAATAACAAAATAAATGCTACCCAACTTTGTCATAGTTTCTATGATATAGACAACAAAGATATATTTGGTAATCAATAATGGAGCAATGTTCAGGAATAGTAAATATCATTGTTGAAAGTAAATTATTTCTCAATCAAGTTAAATTAAATTAAATTAAAAAATATAAGCTTAACAGATTTTTTATACAAGTAAATAAAATTATTATTTTAATAATTTTTAGGAATAAATAAATACTTTTTAGTGGTAATTTTCTCATTTTAGTGATGTTAGAGTTTTATCACAAGTTTTGCTAGATTTTTTTGACTAGAAAAACCTTTAGGTTATTAAGAATGAATCGGCGATAAAATTAAATGAATATCTTTAGGAGTCAAAGAGTATAGAAATAGTTTTTGCTGATGAAAGTATCGTTTAATTACTAGGAAGATATGAATACTCTATTCTCTCTAAGTTTTTAGAATTTATTTTGAGGAATTTACATAAAAACAATTTAACGATATAGATTATAAATTAATTTATACTCAGAATATGTATATCAGTACTTGGAAAGAGATAAGAATTAGATCATTTATTTATCTAAAGATCTTTTCTCAGTACAGAGTGTGCTAATTAAGTAGTTTTTAATCTTTATTAATTCCTAAATGCTTGGCTAAATGAAATGGTATTACATGATATGATTGATAATTCATATTTTAACAGAATATTTAATCGAACTGCATGTATTATAGAAGGAAAGGAAAAATAATTTTCAGACAAAAAGAATTCTTAAATATCATATAGTAGCACAATAAAAAAGAGTCTCTAAACAAAACCAGAGCATATATTAGTAGGATAGCATATAAAAAATGATTAGTCGGAGTATTAAAGCAGGAGATAAATAAAATCTGAAATTAATTTTATAGACATAAGTTCATCATCAAACAAAAACATTTAATGATTAACTTATTTTAATAAATAACAAAATTATTTCTAATAAATGTATTTATAAAAAAGAATATTTTTTATATATTAAATGTTTATTGCATCTTGGGATACGAAAACTCTATAATAGCTATATAAATTACAATTTACTTTATTCCTTAAAATAAATTTAAATAAATATTTCTAAATTGAAGGATAAAATTATATTTAAGTATTTAAAACTAAATTTATCAAGCCAAAAAATATTTAAATAAAATTTAAAATTCAATTTCTATCTGATCAGAAAAGTTTATGTATCTATTAATGATTTTTCTATACTAAAGTAATTATTATTGTATTTTTAACTAACTTTATCTAAAATGATAAAAATAAATTACTCAAGAGCTAACTCATATCAATAATTATTTCGAAAATATTTACGTTCAGTTATTGGTTGTTTTAAGAATTTTTACATGATATATATACAGAAAATAAATTAAATTTTATAATATAATTAATTTTGATTTGAAAATAATTGTAAATTTATTTGATTATGTTATTGTTAAGTGAGTGAGTTAGTTAGTTTTTAATTAGTGACTTTACCTTTGATTAATTCTGTAAATTATATTTATTTTGAATGAATCAAATGTTATTGAATGAATTAAAAGGCATAATTTAAAAAAATTTAAATTCCTTAATAATCAATCAATTTGAGTTGTAGATCTTTTAGTAATTACTATCATTATTTTATTAAGTTTTCTAATTTTCTGTTGCAAATGGGCCGCGTAGTTCATTATCAAGCCCATCATCTACTTGCTTTATGATGTTATCAAATAAATTTGTTTTTTATTGATGGGATTCTTTATTTTGAATTGTTGATACTCTTTTTAATGTTTCAGCATGTTCTTAAATTTTATCTTTCAGGTTAGTGATTAAAATGTTTTCGCAATCTTATTCTTCTATCAATTGCTTTTCTTATGCCTCAAGCTTTTCATCGATGTTATCAACATATTCTGAAAGGAATGCAAATTAAGAAAGGGCATTTATTTTTTAATTTTTTTAATTTTCCCCTTATTCGAAGTTATTAGAATATTATTTTTTTTAAATCTTATCATCATTATTTATTCTAACTTAATGTTTCATAGATTAAGTTAATAGTTATATGCTTTGATTAAATTAATTAAAAATATTTTCAAAGCTTTACTTTAAATTCTATTATGAAGAAGTTATTGATGCATTAAATTCTTCAAATATATCAGCTCCTTCCAGTTTTTTAATTTTGAGTTGTGTATTGTTTAAAAACGATCCATCTTAATTACACACACTTTCATAAATATTATCATTTTATGTACTCTAATGAGTAGAATTTTATAATTCATTTTAATTTATTTCTTAATTTTGTTGTTGTTATTAATATTAATATTTGGATTAGCGGATTCTAAGGATCTTTTATTTTAAAAGAGCTGCTATGTACATTAGAGAAGAATATTTTATTTAGATTTCTTCTTGTGATTGAGAAATAGAGTCAGCTATCTAATTCAAAATCTTATCACTATCAGGATCATTGAGTCCCTTTTCTAGAATGGTTTATAATTCTAATTATTTATAAAATGATATATTAATGTGATGCCATAAAAAAAAGAATAATTTAATTTAAAATATAATAAGTACCTTCTTTGGTAAATTCAATATTATTAGAGTCCCCTTATTTACTAACAGATTCTTATATTTTATAATCAAAAACTTAACTTTGACTGAGTTGGGTTTCAGCGGGCACAGTAGAAATTTTAAATGAGATAGATTTTTATTTGTTATTATGAATATTAGCATTCACTGCAAGAGCAAAATCGACTTCATTTCTTATGATGAGTTGCTTGTCATTTTCCTTTATTAAAAATAATGTAATTAATTATTTAAAAATCAAGAAAAGAAAATATCTTCTTACATAAAAATTAACTAAAATAGTCTAGTCTGCTTATATATTGAAAATTCTTATGCACTTATCACAAAATTCCTTAAAATTAGTATTTGAGGCGTTTAAAGAAAATCTTTTAAATTAGTCTTCGTAACTAACTTTATAATTGATCATCTATTCCAATTTCATTTAGCTTGTTGTGTATTTTAAATAGTTGAACTTTAGAATATTTCTATTATATTTGAATTATTTTAAATAAATTATGTTTGCTTTCGTAGGGTATTCTTTTTTCTTTTTAAACAAATTGCCAATTTAAATGAAATCAAATAATTATATGAAAAAGCAGCTATTTCTTTATTTTAATTTTTGTCGATTTGAATTATCAGAGAAGAATTTTATTTAATAGAGGACTATTATTTTATTCAGATTTCATAGGTTCAAATATTGCGTCTACATAAAAAAAAAAATTTGATCATCATTTATTAAGAAAAGAGCTGAAGTTAAATAATAGAAAGAAAGCTAATCATTTCAGCTACTTGTTTTAAGTTTCTACTTTAAAATTAGTTACATTAAATGGATTTTCATCTTCCACCATTTTAACTTTAAATATTATTTAAATTTCATCAAATTCTATTCAGTTTTATCAAGAGCGTTTTATTTTTAATAATCATTATAAAAACTTTTAATTAAATTAGTATAAAATATTCTTTTAAACGAATTTCAATATAATTTGTTTTATTTACTTACTTATAAAATAAATAAATACTCATTTTTCAATCATATCTTAATTTATTTTTTCCAAAAAAAAACTTAATCAAAGTTTTTGATTAAATTATTTGAAATAAAATTATTTATCTATACCAAATAATTTTTAATCTCATAAATAAAATCCCATTATTTTTTTTACTTAAAAATATTACGACATATTTGATAAGAAATTAATTAAATTAGGTCATATTTATTTTGAAGAAATTAGATTGTCTATAGTTAACTAGCTACATAAATAATTTATTATTTGTTTTATTTTTGAAAAGGGAAAAAATATAGATAGAAAATAAATACATTATATAAACATAATTAATAATTATAACAAGGATTTTTTTATTCATTTTTCTTCTTCTCCTAACTAAAACTCATCATAATTTTCGCTACATTTTTTTTAATTTGGCTTCTCTCCATTTTATTTAGAGGCTAAGTCATCTTAATTGTAAATATTAATTAGATAATTTATAAACTTAAATTAATCTTATTTACTTCTATGTGCATTAAACTATTACATTTTTTTATTAATTTTTGAATCTCCTTCTTGAGTATCTAAATCTCCCATGTAATCAGGATTTTCAGTAGATTCTGTGAAATCCCATCTATTAGGAAATTAATATAAATTAACACATATTCTCTAAATTAGAACATTAAAATTTTCAAATAAAATATTTAAGTTTTGATTTTTTTAAATAGCTTTATTATTTTAATGATAGATAATTTGAAATTTATTTTTCTTGTGTTAATTCTCAATTTAAAATTTTTAAATTTGTGCAATCAATTCTTTCTAGATTCTTAATATTAAATTACTATATTTTGTTTTGAGATACTGATTTACTAGTCTTTAATTCCTATTCTGCCATTGTCTTTACTTATGGATCAATCTATTTTTCAAAAAATGATTTTTACAAAACTATCTTTAACTAAATTTGCTAAATAATAATCTACTCTTTTATCTAATGGATCTAATTTTTTGATTATCTTTTCTTTAATATATTCTTTGTTTTTTGCTAGCTTAAAGAACTTCATTTAGAGTAATTCTGTAGCAGTTTTTCTATTTTTTAGTTGAAAATTAAATAATTTGATAATTTTTAAAGAATATTTGCAATATTATTTATAAATAGTTAAATTACCTGTGAGCTGGTTCCTTTTGTAAGCAAGCCTCAATAAACTCCTAAAAAGAATCTTCCCAACCGTCTTCTTTATTTAACCTAGGTGGATCTTCATTCAAAATATTCAAAACAGCCTTTTTTTAAGAAAAATTGTATTAGAATAAAATACATATTCTATATTAAATGCTTTTATAAAAGATTTCTACCTTTATTGTAGGGCATTCTGAATGGGGAGGTTTTCCATAAGCTAATTCATATGCAGTAATACCTAAAGACCAAATATCAGCTTTGGTATCGTAAAATATATTGTCATCGAGGACTTCTGGAGCCATCCAACAAACTGATCCTACAGCTGTGTTGTGTTTTTTATTTTTTTTTAGCTTAGTAGTTAGACCAAAGTCTGAAAGAGCTATTTTTCCTTCAGAATCAAGTAGTATATTCGCTGACTTAATATCTCTATGAATTTAATTGTTTTAATGCAAATATTCAATTCCTAATAATGTTTCCTTTATTATAGTTGCTAATAAATTGATATCCTTTATGCCTTAAGTATACATGTTCTTTAGTAGAAGCTCCATAGAGCCTCCATCCATTATGCTAAAAACAACCCAAAGTTCTTTTCCTGTAACGAATGCTATTTTATATGGTAATAAACTAGGATGATTAAGTACATTAAGAAGCAACATTTTTTTCTTTTGGATATTTATGAATAGAATATTAATATCATTTTTAAACTGTGTATATTAACAAATATAAAATATCTATTTTTACTCTGATTTCATCCATTTTGCTATCTGTTTGCTTATCCATATCTATTTTTTTGACAGCAACAAACTCACCCTTATGGGGTCCTGTCAGAACCTATACTTTCCAAACCTTTTATTTTTTAAATAGTTAACAGTTTATATTAGCTAATGTGATAAATAAGAGATAATTCTAGTGCTTTATTGCAGGAATATTAATTAACAGTCTTGCAAATAATCATATTGGGCTACAGAAAAATAAATAAAATATTGAATTGATAGATTCTTCGAATTACAATACCAAAATATCCGCTGCCAAGACCTGAAATGAGCTTATAATCTATTGTTTAAATAAAATAAATGATTTAAAAAATAAAACTCATAGATAAGATTCTTTTGGTAATAGAATTTTTACCGCTTGCTGAAGATGGATATTAAGAATCTTATTTTTAATTCATCAGAAATGGAGATTATACCTATTAATTTTATGTAAATTATTGTTATTTGTCAACTATCGATATTTAATTATTTATTTATTTATTTTCCTCAATATTTTAACAATACATAAAATCTCTAAAAATAACTTCAGCTAATAGATGAATTATAAAAAGATTATATTCAAGTGGAGATTAATGATTTAATTAACTTCTTAAGACTCAAAATGTAATAAAGAATTAATTTACATACAACTAGGTATTATTTTATGCTCAATAGTGTCCTATTTTTTTATTTACGAAATTAAAGCTGATATTCATATTTTCTAAAAAACTCTCAATTAATTTTAGCCATTTAGAAAATACAAGAATTTGTTTATTTTATTCAAACTAGCTCTTTTAATTTTAAAAATTATTAATTATTACAAAATATTCAGTCATTTTTATTTTAATTAAATCTATAAGAATACATACTAATTCACTAGTGTTGATTGATTTATTTGATTAATTATTTTCATTAAATAAAAAATAAACTAAAAGCTGATAAATATTAAATTAACAAAATTTATCAAGATTCTTAAATATTAAAAATTAATAATTGTTAGATAGATTAAAGGTATTACTTAAGTAAATCAATGATCAGAAAGATATCAAATTTAGTTTATAAGCAGTAAAAGATCTTAGCTAATTCATATGTCTTAGCCAACCTGACATAATAAGTCTAAATAACTTCTGCACATAAAAATTTATGCCGAATTCCTTACTACTCTTTTTGTCTTTCAAAGTAGTTGTCAGAAATCAGCAAGAATATTTATAATAGAAAACAAATAGAATATGAAGATGTTCTAAACTTGTACACAAAAGAAAATTTAGAAAAATTGTCATGGGAATAAATAGTTGAAAGTGTTGTAGTCATTTCTTAGTACACTAAAGTTGTAGAGTCCCTAGACTTAGCACATCACTCATAAATAAAACTAGGGTTGTAAATATTTTTGAAAGCTATTGCTGAAAAAAATTATAAAATACAAGATTATTTTGAGTTAATCGCTTCAAACTACCGTGTAATAAGTCATAAAGAATTTAGAAAATATATTGAGCCAATATGGAAATCTGTAGAATCATAAATAGATTCATTAGACATCAATGAAGTAATTAAGATAGGATACTTGTATTTAGTGCCATTCTTGACTGAAGAAAGCAAATAAGATGGATTAAATCCTCATTTAGATCTTAATTTTTAAATTCTTTCTAGAAACGCATAAAAATATAAATAATAGCTCGAAATACTTCATCCAGATTTATCAGCATATTTCTGTGTTCTTCTAAAGTTTGCTTTTTTACATGCTAAAGACTAAAAACTACAAATGAGTGAAGACTTAGAACAGCTAATTAATCTTTTGACTGAGAAAATTACAGAGGACATCAACTATTACTGCCCTTAAAAAGTAATAAAATATCTTTGCAAATTCTATTAATAGAAATTTATTATTCTTATTTTTAAGAGTTTGATTGAGTATTTTTTTTATTTTAAAAAATAACTTTTTTTAAATAAAAAAGTTGTATCAAATAATGGATCATGTTATATTTTTGTCTGGATCAGAATATTTTGAATAAGTATGCATCTACTTTGAAAAAAGATTAATTGAGTAAGATAAAGAAATCTAAAAATAGATAGAAAGTAAAAATTCTACTGATAAAAAAGATGTAATTGATTTTTCAAAGGATGTAGAAAATAGATAACCCTTGTACATGAATTAATGGCTTGATATGTGCCTTGATGTTTACAATTAAGGAAGATAAAACTTAGAATTATATGAATACGCTCTATAAAAACTTAAAGACTTGTCAGAAAGTGATATGATCTCTTTGAAGAGGGATTATATCCCTTAAATTTTCTTTATTTTTTCGAAATCTAAATGCTTAGATGCTCACATTCTTGAAAAATACAAACAATATTTGCTTAGTTATCTTCCTAACTATAATTAAGAATAAATTGCCAAGATTTACTTTGCTTATTCTTACTCTGATGCTCTTGATAAACTTACTTTTGAAAACATATTATATTACTTTGAAACAAATCCTTTGGATTTAAATAGTTTAGGAATAATTTTCTTCACTTTGGCGACTAAAAGTGGTAAATAATATTTAAAAAATCCTAATTTTAGAATTACCTTTAAATTTTTTGATTATTTTAATAATTTTACTATCCATCCTGAATTAAATTTTCTAAATTAATTTATCTAAATATTTTCTATTTAATTTAGATGATGAATTTTCAGATAGAATTATGGACTTACTGCGCGAAGAAAAAATAATTTATGTTTTACAAGCAGATGAATAGAATTGCGACTCACAATTTTTGTTGAGTTTCCTTTATTTCATAATTAAAAAGAGCCAACTTGAAAATTAGATTTATTAAAGCTATATTTTAGAGAAATTAAAACATTAGAAAGGGTCTTCAGAAGAAATATAAACTCTACTGGTCAATATTTTAAAAATTTTAAATGAAAATGTTATTGAAGTAAAAGAAAATCTCCATCAAGACTTCAAAGATTATATTTTAAAAACTTATGAAGAAAATAAAGGTGAGATGCATGAGGATGTTTCTTAACTTTTGCAACAATATTTTACATCTTTAGGTTTAAATCCAAAATGAATACTTTATTTATAAAGTATTTAAAATATTGATTTAATTTCGAAGTTCCTTTTAAAATATAATTTATATCGTGTTTTTTATATAAATTTTCTGAGACTTATTTTATTAAAATTTTTTTAAAATAGAGTTTGATTCTTCTTCATTTTCTATCAATCTTTAGTAGTAAAAATCTATAAAAAAAGCAAAATTTTTAGTGGAATTTTTTAACATTTTTATTTATTACGTATTCTGTCTGTCTGTGTCTGATTGATTGATTGATAGATTCCAATTTATTCTTAAAGTGATTTTTACTTGTAGATAAATACACACTTGAAACTCTCACATAATTATGGAGGAAATAAAAGTGTTTATTAATTATAAAAATAAAACAATGTATGTATGTACATACATACTCTATATTTCGGATTCAAGGTAGTTCTAATTAATTAGCTTAAATTGAGTAGATGATTGAAATATAATTAAAATATATCATATATTAAAAGAAAAATAAAATCAAAAAAATTAAAGTTAACAATTTTATAAATAGATTTCAAAAATAATATCTATTTATTTATTTACTAGGCAAAAAGCAGAAAGAACAAGTTATATCCAATCAAAGAAATGGATTAAAAGTAAGGTAAAGGCCCTGAACAAGGTTCAAGCAAAGAGCCAATTATTGAAGGATATTAAATTGTAGAAAGATTAGGAAAAGGCTCGTTTGGTAGTGTCTATAAAGCTGAAAAGGATGGTAAAACTTATGCATTGAAGATGATTAGTAAGTCATATATGAAAGATAGACCATTCTTAAGAAAGTATATTCAAAATGAAATAGAATCTATGAAAAGCATTAACTGTGTGAATTGTGTTAAATTATATGATTATTTTGAAACTAATCTTGCTCATTTCTTTGTTATGGAATATTGTGCTGAAGGAAATCTATTTAATTTATTACACTCCAAAAATGGGTAGGGTTTACCAGAAAATGAAGCATTAGTCTACTTTTCTTAAATCTTAAATGGACTCAAAACAATCCATGAAAAAGGGTATATGCATAGAGATTTAAAGCCAGAAAATATACTAATTCACAACAATGTTGCTAAAATCTGTGATTTTGGGTTTGCTAGACCTCTAGGATTTAATGAATTAACTACTACAGTCTGTGGAACAGCAGAGTATATGCCTCCAGAACTTCATTAGCAATAGCCCTACGATTATAAAGTAGCCAATTTATTACTTAAGAATTGATTCAGCATTTAATAAATTTTTTTGAATAGCTATAATTTAGTTTTTAAAAATATTTATTTTAAAACAAAATAAATTCTTAAATTTTTTTTTTTTTTTAGGCAGATATATGGGCACTAGGAGTTTTGCTTTATGTTATGGTTTTTGGACACTTACCTTTTTATGGGTAATTTATATTTTAAATGATTGAAAGGTAGTGTAAAGATAAAGTTTATGACACAGATAGATGGGTGCAAAAATTCCCTAAATCTAAAGAAAAGGCTGACAAGCTCTCACCTGAAATCAAAGATTTTTTCTCCAAAGTGTTTGTTTATGATTAAAAATAACGTATAAACTTTTTCTAAATAATGAGTCATCCTCTGATAGAAAAAATGGATGGGCCTTAGTTCTCACACTTGAATAAGAATTAATCTAAGCTATTTTATTCTACAAGATTCGAAGAAAATTAAAAAAGTCTTAAAGACACATACGATTAGATTGACGGAGAAGAGCTTTTATCATCCGTAAGACAAAATAGCTAAAATTTAATTAGAAGAATGAAAATAATTATTTTCAATTTGTTCAAAATTAAATTCTTTCAGAACCATTAATTTTATTTAATTTTTCGTTTATAATATAGTAATAAACTAAAGATACAAAGAAATAAAGCGAAAACAAAAGCTTAAAAACTGTGATTGAGACAAATGAAAGGACCGATCTATCAAATTAAGATGATAATGCAGTGAGTATAAATTTTAAAGATGAGGAAAATATACATTATATAGACTCCGATATTAGATCCTCTTCAGCAGTTAAACTTGTAATTTTATTTATTTATGCATTAATTGATAGTTTTAATTGTAGAAAAATAATTTAGGCGAAGCAAAATTTGTATGTATGTTTATTTGATGATTGAATTTATAATTTAGATTAAGTTTAGATCAATTAAATCTAACTTAAATTAAATATTTTATAAAATAGAAACAAAGCATCTACAAAAAATCATTAGAACTTTATAATTATGAGATTGAAAAGTATTAGTTCCTATTTCATACTTTAGAACTTCTTTCTAGAGAATTATCAAGTCAAGATGGACTCACTTGCTATTTTATAAATAAAGCTTGGAATTTTTATGCTAAAAGACTTAAATATTCTTTAGAATAAAAAGAAAATATTTTTTTACTTCCCTAAAATGATTGGGAAAGTTTTGTTGTGAGTAATGAGTATGCTTAGTTGTTAAAAAAAGTAGTAAGTGATGAAAAGCAAGCTGCTATTCATTTACATAAAAATTATATGAAGTTAGGTAGTGAAATGCAAAATTAGGATGGAGTTCTTATGTAAATAAATGAAAATTCATTTGAAGAATTTAAGTTACCATATAGGAAGGCATTAATGGAAACATTTAATACCTTAGCTGATTTACACAAAAAATTATATAATTTAAATAAGGAACATGGTACTAAAGTTTATAGAATAGCTATGAAAATATTGTTATGCTATTTCATTAATAGAATATTTAACACTGAAGAAGTTAAAACAAATTTAGCTGTATATTTTGAACTTACTCAATATAGTACATTTGATTTCAATCAATTCTACAATTGGAGCAACACTGTAGGTAGGGTATAAGCCAATAAATTAGTTAAGAATATTTTAGAAGTTCTTATCTAGCAAAATCAGTGAAAATTTTATCAATTTTGCTATTATTTTAAATTAAGAAAAATAATAATATTAAAAGGGAGATATTTACGTTAATATATCATTTTTTTCTCTCGCCTATTAGTTATCAAATTAAATAAATAAATTAATATATATGTCTACCTACTTACCATCTATCTAAAATGCTACTGTAAAATTTAAGAAATAGTTTTACTTATTAAAAAATTATAAAAGTAATTCATCAAAATTAAACTTTATCATTCAATAATAAATATTTATTATTTGTACAAAAATCAATTTCTTAACCTTCCATTAAAAAAATAAAAAATGGATATTAATTTTATTTATTTGGGTTAAAATAATTTTGTTTTTTATTAACAAATTTAAAAATTCCAATACATATTTTTATAATTGTTTCTTTATAGACTGATTTAAACATATTTGTAATAATTTTTAAAAAAATGTTGTTGATAAAATAAAAACATTTATTCAATGAATTTTTTGAAATTCTTTTATTGTTTGGAAACTTTGCATAACTTTTAAAAGTTATGGTAAAGAAAAAAAATACTCGCATTATATTTTTTTTTTTGAATATATTTCATTAACTTAATTTAGTAAAAGATTAGGAAATATTTGACACAAAAACAAGCCTTTAATTGTGCTTAATTAAATAGAGTTTTTGTATTTTAATAAAATCAATAAATGAAATAAATTACTTATTTATTATGTAGTATTGATATAAGCAAGCAAAAAAAATAAATAAATGAAATCAATCATACTAAATCAAGCAATTATAATTTTACTTGCATTCAAAATTCTCTAACTAAAAGGTAAGTAAAATATAAAGTGCTTGGAGTATTTGTTTGATCTTGCAAGAAGAGACTATTAAAGTGAAAAAACAAAGTCAAGCAAAGTTAAATTGAAAACAATTGATTGATTGAATGAATGAATCAATAAAGAAATGGATTATGGAATAAATGATTGATAGATTGATTGATTTTTAGTGTTTGAAATAAAAGATTAATAATCAAAGATATTAATTAAAAGAAGACTGTTTGATATTTATTGGAATTGGCGATTAAGCAAAAAATCATTAATAATTGAATCTAAATATTTAATACAAAAAAGAAAGCATACATAAGAATAAATAATTTACAAAGAGGAATCCAAAAAGAAATTAAAAGTCATATATAATAAACTTAAATTATAAAAGAATATCTAAAACTCAATTGAGGGAAGGAGGGGGATATGTGAGAATTCAATATATATAATTAATATAAATCAAAGATAAATTAAAAGCAATAATTGAAGAGAAATGAAACAATAAGCTTTGTTTATTACATTAGCCATCTTCGTCTGCTTTGCCGCAGCCTAAGAATTCGAAGTTAAGGAAGGTCTTTTAAATAATATCCTCCCCTTACACGACGACTACGTCTTATCTCTTGCTAGATTATACAGACCTCATTTAAATGTTGAACATTTAGAATTCTAACACTTCAAGGAATCTGTTAGAAGAGTTAGAGAACACAACAAAAAGGTAAATGCTACCTATACTTTATCTATCGATTCACCTTTTGCTTTCATGTCCGATGAATAATTCGTTACTGAATATCTTGGTTCTTAAGATTGCTCTGCTACTGCTGAACTCACCCTTAAGAAGCCTATGAAGATCCAAAATAAGAAGAACGTTTAAGTCCCTGAAAGCATTAACTGGAAAGACCTTAACAAGGTTAGCCCTGTCAAGGATCAACAAAATTGCGGTTCTTGCTGGACCTTCTCCACTACCGGAGCTATTGAATCTCACTATGCCATTTTTGAAGGTATAAAATTTTTTAATTTTTGGTATTTAATATTAATTAATTTATATTTTTAATTTAAATAGACGTCGAACCTACTTCTCTCTCTGAATAACAATTGATTGACTGCGCTGGTGCTTTTAATAACAATGGTTGCAGTGGTGGTTTACCCTCTTAAGCTTTCGAATATATCAAATACAATGGTGGTATTTCTTATGAAAACTCATATTACTATATTGCTCAAGATCAAGAATGTTAATTCAGCCCTGAAACTGTTGGTGCTAGAGTTAGGGGTGGTTCTTTCAACATTACTTAAGGTGATGAAGATTAATTGAAGCAAGCTGTTGGTACCGTTGGTCCTGTATCTATTGCTTTCTAGGTTATGGGTGATTTCAAGCTTTACAAGTCTGGTGTCTACTCCAATCCTGACTGTTCAAGCTCTCCTCAAACTGTTAACCACGCTGTCTTAGCTGTCGGATACGGTTCTGAAAATGGTGTTGATTACTGGTACGTTAAAAACTCTTGGAGTGAATTCTGGGGTGACGAAGGTTACTTCAAGATCCAAAGAGGTGTTAACATGTGTGGTGTCGCCACTTGTGCTTCTTATCCTCTTCTTGAAGAATAAACCGAAGTTTCTGCTGAATCCTTCTGATGCTTCTATTTGATAAAACTTCTTAATAAATTATAATATCCTTGATTAGCTACTCAAAAATTAATAAATGAGTTTACAAATGAATTATGATGCACTCCATATTGTTAAAATTGAAAAAAAAAAGTAATTGGGAATAGAATAATATTTGAATTACTATGTGAACTCTATATTAGTTTGAGTAAAATAAATAATTTACTATGGGTATGATTATAAATTTCTTTAAAAAATTTAGTAAATTCACAAATTTTATATAAAGTATCCGTTTAAAAAAGTTATGAAATATTATTAAAATATCTGAACAAATTAATCATTTAAAATATTTCTTGAAGTTAATTAATTTTACTATCTTAGTAAGCTAGCTACTAAAGCTAGAATTAAATGAATATATTTTTTTCTAATTACTTTATGAAATTTTGATTAAATTATTATTTTTTTTTAAAAATTCTTTTCAACATTTTAATGTTTTTTTTCAAAAAATTAAAAAATATAATTTGTTTTGAATATTTTATGATAAAAAGAGATATAATTTGTGCAATAAGCAATCTTTGATCTATGGAATTATTTGTTACTTACATTTTTTAACTTTATTAGAATATGTTTTGAACAGATTTTGCATGAAATTCAAAAATTCTTTTGTTTTTCAATTAAATAAATATACAATAAGTGTAAGAAAAACTGGACGAGAATAAATTTAATTAAAAATTTAAAGAAATGTATCTTATAAAATGGTAGAAGAAAGAATTTTTATTGGTTTGGACATCAATTAAAAATAAAAAAATAGCATGAATTATAAATCAAATGCATTCACATATGTTTTTTTTATATTTTATTAGAATTATTTAAATTCATTTTAAGTTTTTTAAAAATTGTTATGATCAAGCAGAGGGAGGGAGTAATGGCTTGGTTTCTCTGTGAAGATTGTATGAAAGAGTTTCTAAAAGTTGACCGTTAAGAAGAGGGACTTCGTGTCTATCACTCATAGAACAAACTTCACCCCACTTGAATTTGAAAATGTTTTGAATAATTTTTCTGATACTGCAATTGATGTATTAATAGAAAGCACCAATGTGATATTCAAAGGGGATCAATTTAGCATCAACTGTGAAAAGAAGTTGTAAAGCCTTTCTGTCAAGTTAAAGAAGGAAGTCAACATAAGTATTGGCTACGTTTCCTCTAGCAAAAACACCACCTTCTGCAACCTTCCAGACACTAACAGCACCAGTGACTTCAAATGAAGGATTAACATAAGGCTTGAATTCGATGTTACAGTTAACACCACTTGCACCAACAGTAAAGTTCCAGCCAAAGTCAACTTGAACGTAAGCACTGATAGGAATGTTAAGGACACCACCAAGAAGAGGATAAATAACTTCGAATACTTTAAGGTGTTCGTTTCTGTTGTCACCTCTGTTGAAATCAGCACAAGCATACCAAGGATGGTCGATGTTAGTAGAATATATAGTGTAGATATGAAGACCATTCAACCAGATACTGGAAGAAATTTCAGAGTAGTCAATGAAGTTCTTGTAATCAATACTTAAGGATATTTCATTACCAACAATAGCGTGTCTGAAAACATCGTAGCTCTTTTGGATGATGGGTTCAGCATCAGCTAAGAGGGAGCTACCTTATTCACCACCCTTAAGGACGTCAATCTTACCACTGTTTTAACTCAAGTCAATTTGAACAAATCCTCTGTTGAATTCGTAGATGATGAGATCAGAAACTAATTCAGGGTTGTGAGTAGTGCTTAGGATTTCTAAGTGACTTTCAATCTTGGAATTAGATTAACCGATTAATTCAATATATTCAGTAGAATTGTTAATGGGGATGCTGTCTGATTCTCTTAATTTAATCTTTTCTTATTTGTTAACTCTGAAAGTCATGACTTCCTTGTTTACTTCAACTTAACCGTTCTTAATGGTGAAGTCAGATTAGAAATTAATAGAGGGGATATCGCCACCGAGGGAGTATTAGAAGTGAACAAAATTCTTATCAGTGTATTGCTTTGAAAGAATGACGTGATCATCTTCAACAAGTTAGTATGAGAATGTAGGAGCAACGAGACCGAGGTAGTTATTTTCAACGTACTATTCGGAAGCACCCAAAAGCATTGAAGGTCCTTGAGGATAAAGAGTAGCATTCAATTAGGGGAAGTACTATTCAATAAGTCTTTCAGTTAATCTGACAACAAGTTCAGAGTAAGTGAAGTTTTTAGGAGCATATAATCCCAAAAGAGTACCATCGTTAGTAAGAGTAGCTTTGAAAACAAGATCTACTTCATCTTCAAGGAAAGGCTTGAATTCAGATTGGTCTGGAATATAGTTACCGGTTGAGTTAAATTCAGTGTTATAGCTAATATCCTTGTAAGCAATGAAGACATTAATCATGTTGGTTCCTTCAACTTTTTGTGCGACTATATCTTAGATGGAGTTATAGGCAGTACATTATTAATGAGTATCAGGAATTCCATCACCTCCTTGGCTGCTGCAGACAGTCATGTTTCTAGAAGTAGTAATTACTAAATCGTTGTTTTGAGAATCCATGTAGAGCATGTTGGGGACAACTACAGTTTTGTTAGGTTCGCTAAAGTAAAGAATAGCTCCAAACATACCAACGATAAGTAAAGAAAGAAGAGCAACGCGAGTAATCTTCTTATTTCTTCTAGAAGATTGATTTTCAATGTTTTCCAAGTTGAAATAATTCATTTTTATCAATTTTTTATTGAGTTAAACTACTTTTTTTTTTAATTTATTTATTATTTTGTTAATCACAGCTTAACCGCATTTAAAAGTTTTACTCCACAGATTTGTTTAATGTAAATGAAGAATTAAGTAATATATCTTAAAAGTAGTGATATCAAATAAATTTATGACTTAAAAAGTCTGTTCCTTAAGGTGGGTGATCAAAAATTTATTAATAGAAGCAAAAATACATTTCCAAAACACAAAACCTATGATTTCTCATCACATTATTTAATTAAAAATCTTTAATTATTTTCCAGTCTCTTAAAAATTTTTTGCGCTAAATGACGATGACAAAGAGATATTTTTGATTTCATTTATATCACAGAAATTATTTTTAGAAACTAATTTATGAAAGGAAGAGTAATTTTTTAGTTGTGCTGTGGTATACACAAATTCTTTTCCTCTTAATGCTATCTAGTGTCATGTAAAGTATTTAAAGTATTATCTACTATTTATTTATCAAGAATACAAAAGTAATCTCAAAAAGTTAATCACTCAAGAATATTATTTATTTATGTTTACACATTTTGTGTTGATTTGAGTTGAGGACAATTTTATTTAGTTATAAAAGAATTTTTCTAAATTTATTTTCTCCTTAAAGTAATAATAATTAATATGTTTGCATATTAAATAAATTTAACAAAATTGTTTCCCTGCTAAGATTTAATTATTTATTTGTAGCATAATCTGAAAATTAAAAACTATTTTTAAAGTTAAAAAATATGCATTATCTTATTTATAAATCTAAGCTATTTTTCATTTTCGTCAAATTTTATGGATTTTAAGGTTCATTAAATTGAGTTTTCAATCTATTTTTGTTATGGCATAAATTAATGAATCCAATTTCTTCTAAAGAAATCTAACTTCAATTACTTCTTTTAGATATCAATTATTACAAAATTAAGAATTTAAATTTCCTAAAATAAAAATCTGTAAGATTTTTTATGGTACGATTTATTTTTGCGTATTATGACCAATATTTAACTATTTGCTAAATGTTGATTCTTTTTTTAAGTGTAATTCATAAAAATTACAAATTTATAAAGGCAGAGTTTAGTAGACATTTTTACTTAAATTATCATAAGAAATGTTTATTGTTAGAATTGCTTCATGTATTAAAGTGAGTAATATAAATATATTTATATTTATTATTTAAGCATTGCTTAGCTTAACTATATCATTTCATAATTTTATTTTCAAATCAAGGAGGTTGGAATTCAATGTATGTAACACCCTATTTTAATTACAATTAATCTTTGGTAATAGTACTCTATTTGATGTTATAATGTAATCTTGAGTAAATCACTCAAATCAAATTTTAAATAATTAAAAAATGTTGTGAATATTATAAAAGTTTTTAAACGAATATTACTTATTTTAATAATAAAACTAATTAGTACAAAGTTTTTTATTTTATTTTGGTGTTTTACCTAGGATAATTAATTTACTAATTTATATCACAATTTAAAGTATTTAAAATTATTTTTAAGTCAAATAATTTACATAGAATTCAAATTATTCCTAATTTTTTCTTTTTCTATTTCAAATAAGTTATGGTTAATTAATATTATTTTTAGGATCAACATGTATAATTTCATACTTTTCATTTTTGTGTTTTATCAAATTCATTGTTAAATAAGATTTAGAAATTGAGAATTTAATCAGGACTCGCTTCACTTTGGTCTTGAATTTAATTTTAGCTATCATTTTATTCGTCCTTTTTACTTCAAATAATATTTAAAGATTCCTATTTAATTATTTGTTGATGTTCCTATTTCTTTTTGGAAAGCAAATCCTGATTTAAAAATTTTAATTATTGTTTAAAAGCTATTATCTGTTATTTAAATATCATCTTTAAATTTTTTTGATCTTAATTATTAAATGTTTATTATCTTAGATAATTTAAAAAAAAACAATCTTTGTTGATAATTTGACTTATTTATTTAAAAAATTTAATGTATGCTATCTAAATTTTATTATCTTCTTCTATTTTTTAAAGTTTTATTTATTATTTTTTTAATTTTTTTCTAGAGGTTTTTGTTCAGCTATACTATCCTGAATAAGTCAGTAGATCTGAAGAAACACTACAATCATATTTAAGGGTAACAGTGAATTCTAGATTATGTTTTTTATTATTTATTACCTATTTCAGCAGAAACTTATAAATCTAGAATTTAATATTTAGAGGTGTTTAATGTTTTTTATATTTAATTAAAACTCCTAATTAGTGAACTAATTACTATTTTTTGTTAGAATAGGTAAAATATTTTATTTAAATTCTCTTTTAAGTGGTTCTAGGTAATAATAAAATCCATTTCTTTCCATTTTCTTGTAAAAAATTTACCTGAAGAATATTATCCAAACAAGCTACCGAAAAATAATTCTTGATAAATAGCAGCTGATTTTGAGGGAAATTTCCTTGAATTTATTCAACTTCCATTTAGCTTATATAATTTATTTTTAAATATTATCTTTCTCATAATAAATTTATTATATTTACAAAGAAAATAATTAAATAACAAAAAAAAATTATTTAATTATTATATTTTATAAATATTTTATTTAATATTAGTAAGCAAAATTAATTTATTGCAAATTTTTATAAATATAATGAATTAGAATTGACCCAAAATTAAAAATATTGTTATGGAAAAAAAAATATATAATTATATAAGAATTTAATATTAAACAAATATTATTGTAGTCCTTGAAAAATAGAATAAAAATAAGTGTGATATCAATAAGGCTAATATGTATTTAATTTAATTGTTTATATTTGATTGAAATTCGTAATAGTAAGGAAAAAGCGAAATAAAATTGAAAGTTAAGTTTATAAAAACAAAAAATTAAAAATATTTTGTAAAAATAAACAATTTTATTTGATTAAAAAATAAACAAAAACTTTTATTTTTTAGTTTGAGAAAATTACTCTCTTAATAAAATTAAAAAAAAACTTTCAATTATCAATGTGTAAATCCCAATGAGAGAAAGATTATTAGAAATGCAAATTATTCTAGATTATATTTTTATAAGCTATTAAAGACAGTAATTATTATGAAATCATTAATTCTTTTTATATTAAAATATGTGCCAACTTTTGAACAGGAACTATCTTTGTTTATTCTTCTCCATTATCTTCCATTAATTATTATTCTATCATAAATTTTTTTAACTCAATTAAAGAAATTATATCTTCCCTTCTAAATTCTGAAACAATTTATTCAAACAAGTCTATATGTTTAAGTTGTATAGAATGTTGAATTGATAAAATCTATATGTGTAAAAAAATGATAAACTGATACTAATTATTTGCTTCTATTTTAATTAAAATTAATAAACCTTAGCAAACTTCTTTAAATATCTAATCAATATTTTCAATTCCTAGCATATTAAATTGATTTAAGAGCAGAATTAAATATTATTATAAAACAAAATTAAATTTTAACTTTTTAAAACACATTTTTATTATTTAAAAACTTTAATCATAATGGCCAACATCTTATAACACAGAAGATAAATTGCAAAGTGTATGGTGATCTTCTGGAATAATATTCAGAGCTTTATAAAAACATTAAATAGATTTTATTATGGTTTCTTGAGTTCCTATTATATGATATTAGACTCCTAAATTTGTAATATTCATTTAAGATCTTGGTTATAGTTCTATAGCTTTTTCATAAAAAAATATAGATTTTTATACATCTTCTTTTTTTACATCATCTCTACTATCTGTAATACTTTAGGAGATATCTCCGAGTTGATGATAAAACCAAATTTAGACCATAGGTTAATCATCATAATCATTTAATTTTGAAATTAAAATTTGGTAAGATTTTTCATTACCTTTTTAAATGCGATAAATTAATGCTAAGCAAATATAATAGAAGCCATTTTTTTCTCCTTAGTAATCATAATATTATTTGAAAATAGTTTAAACCAAACTTCTACCTTTATTTTAGAAATTACAGAAAATGTTATCTAACAAATATGAAGTGTTTTCAAAGTAGTATGGATCTTCTTGATAAACTTACAATTACTATTTAAGAGATTCGCTTAAATCATCATACATTAAAAAGAATCCGTAGTACGTTCTAACTTAATACAAATAAGGTTTTTATTAAAGAATGATTTTACACCTCTCCTAACATTTTGCATATTCAGAGTTAAAATGTAATAATCTTACTTCTTCTATATCTAAAATATCTTACTATACTTACATTACTTATATTTATTCCATACTTTTTGAAAATATTTATTAGGATATTTATTCATTTATATAAGATATTAAATCAATAAGTAGAGTTAAATGCCTTTTTAATTCAATAGGTTATACTAATGATCTTTGAAAATTTGTTTAAATTCGAATTAATATTTCATTTACTTATGAATTAAAGTAAATAAATGCTTAGAAATTTCTTGAACGAAAAATTCAAAATGTTTAATCAAAGTTAAAACATTCCCCCAAAAAGTTTGTAAATTATCTTACTTAAATCGAAATGGCATTTTACTCTTTATCAAAAATTGAGCTAAATAAATACCAGGGATAGGTCTTATAATCATATTATGATTTATATTATATATTATAAATTAATCTTTTTGAAAACATTTATTAGGATATTTATTCATTTATATAAGATATTAAATCAATTAATAGAGTTAAATGTCTTTTAAATTCAATAGGTTATACTAATGATCTTTAAAAATTTTTTTAAATTCGAATAAATATTTCATTTACTTATTTAGAAAATTCTTGAAACAAAAATGCAAAATGTTTAATTAAAATTAGAATATTCCACAAAAAGCTTTACTTAAATCGAAATGACATTTTACTCTATATCAAAAATATCATATTGAGCTAAATAAATATCAGGGTTAGGCCAGATAATTATATTATATATTATGAATTTTAAGTATTTTTTTGAATTATTTAAAATAAAAAATCAAAGACTGAAGAATTTTGCAATTTAAAGTAATTTTATATATTAAAAAAAAAACTAAAAAAGTTTTAAACTTTTAATATTTTAAAAAAATTTTAAATTAATACTTTTTAAAAACAAACTATCAATATTTAAATAAATCCTAAGAAAATATTTTAGGATTAGCCATCCAAAAAGGTGCTATCTAAAAATACTTTTATTCTCATCATTAAAATACTAAAAATTAAGATTTTTAAGATTTCAAATTATTATAAATTATTTCCATCAATATTAATTAAAGGAAAAACATAAAATTCTATTATCATTTATACTTAAATAAAATTAAAAATTTTAAATAGAATCTAAAACAATTAAAGAATCAATAAAAATACTAATATTTGCAGAATATTTTACTGTTTTTATAGATAATAACTTTCAGTCATTAAACCTTAAACACTGTTTTTACATAACCAAACAAACTAATGTATATTATTTATTGAATTTCTATTACCTATAAAAATTACTCAAATGAGAAACCATAAAGTGGTCAAAGTATTTAAAATAATTTTTCAAGCATCTTTAAGATTAATTTGATTAATTTATAAAATCTTATAAATTTTCCCTTTCTAATGTTTTGTAATAAAAAAGGTATTTAAAAATTTGATTTTTTCAAAGGTCATATCTAATCATAGCCAAACTAAAAACATTATTAAAGAATATTACAATTAAAATTATATTTTTAAAGTATTTATAGTATATATCATTATATAAAGCTAATAAGTTGATAGGAAAAATGTATAATTTTAAAAATAAAAAGCATATTATCTTATATTTTATATCTGATTAAATCAAATATTTTGTAAATATTTTCATTTAAATATTTTATATTAGCGTAAGTACAAGTTATTATATTTAATTTTAGAGATAGATAAATCAAAATCTTATCTCCCACTTATAGACATATTTTCATAAATCTTTAGAATTGGTAAAGCAAAGATAACATCAGTAAAAATAACAAGAAAAATATGAATAAGAGTAATTTTACTTAAGAGAGTTTAAATAAAAAGTTTAAAAAATGTTCTTAAATGAATAACTTTGTTTATTTCTTTCTGATAAAAAATATTTTTTGAAAAGTGAAAAGCTATGAAGTTATTAATTAAAAATCTTTTAATAAAAAGCATATTAGCTATTAAAAAAAATAAATTGTGATAGTAGTTACTAATATGAAGTTTATTTGATAGTATGATTTCTAAAATACATATTTTATTATAATTAATTAAGAGATATATCTAAAATACTAATTATATATAGCAACTTCTTGTTGAATTTTCGAAATTATAAATATGTTATTTATCAAATTTAAAAAACTTAATTATATCGATGAGCAAAAAAGAATACAAAAATTGCATTAATACTCTTTACAATCAAGAAAAAGAATTTTAGTGAAAGCTTTTTAATTCAACTAAGTATTTTTACATAAATTATGACTCTCTTTTTTTTCAAAATTTTGTTTGTTTCTACAATCAAGAGAAAGGACTTTCATCCTATAATAATATGTGTTTGGAATATAGGTGACGTTTTCTCATAAAAGGAAAATAGCGTTCAGTAAGACATCTCTAATATTACTATATTTCAACATATTTATCATGAATAAAGATAATAGATTTACCCTTTAGGCTAATAAAAGCCTAAATTTTATTAATATATTCATTTATAATTATAATCTGAGAGATTCTGAGGGATATATTTTTGAATTTATTCAACTTGGATTTAAGTAATAAAAATTAATTTAAAATATTATCTTTCACTTAATTTAATATATTTACAAAAAAATATAGGCTCGAAAATACTTTAATTCTCATCAGTAAAATATTAAAAATTAAGATTTTTAAGATTTCATATTATTATAAATTATTGACATCAATATTAATTAATTAAAGGACAAACTAATTGAATTTTTATTTATATTTGAAATAAAATTATTTGAATGGTAAATAAAATTTTCTATTTTAAATAGAATATAAAATAATAGAATAATCATCAATAAAAATACTAATTTATGAAGAATGTTTTACTATTTTAAAAATAATAACTTTCAGTAATTTACCCGTTGACACTGATTTTTACATAACATAACAAACTAATGTATACTAATTATTGAATTTCTTTAACTTATAAAAATTACTCTATTGAGAATATCATAAAGTGGTCAAAGTATTTAAAATAATTTTTCAAGTATCTTTAATATTAATTTGATTAATTTATTAAATCTTATAAATTATCCCTTACTAAAGTTTTGGAATAAAAAAGGTATTTACAAATTTGATTTTTTAAAAGGTCATATCCAATCATAACCAAACTTAAAATATTGTTAAAGAACATCACAATTAAAATTATATTTTTAAAGTATTTATAGTATATCTTATGATATAAAGCTAATAAGTAGATGGGAAAAATATAAATTTTAAAAATAAAAAAGCTTAGTTCATCTTATATTTTATGTCTGATTCAATAATATATTTTGTAAATATTTTATATTAATGTAAGTAAGAGTTATTATATTAAATTTTAGAGATAGATAAATCAAAGTCTTATCTCCCACTTATAGATATCTACTGATAAATCTTTGGTAAATTGGTAAAGCAAAGATAATATCAGTAAAATAGCAAAAGAAAATATTAATAATAGTAATTTTACTATCAAGAGATTAAAAAAAAGTTTATAAAATGTTATAAAATTATTAAATTTGTTTATTTCAGATAAAAACATTATTAGAAGTGAAAAGCTATGAAGCTTTTAATTAAAAATCTTTTAACAAAAGCACATAAGCTACTAAAAAAAATAAATGGTTATAGGAGTTACTAATATGAAGTTTATTTGATTGTATCATTTCTAAAATATACTTTTTATTATAATTAAATAGAGAGGGATATCTAAAATACTAATTATATGTAACCACTTATTGTTAGATTTATGAAATTAAAAAACTGTTATTTATCAAAATAAAATAAAATTCATCAATTTTTTGTGTTAAATTTAAAAAAGATGATTAAAATTTATAACTAACTTGTAAAGATCTTAAAACTTACTTATATCGAATTTGAGTAAAAAAGAATAATAAAATTGACACTAACACTCTTGACAGGAAAATAATTGTTTTACAAATAAAGTTTATAATATATTTTAAATTATTTAAATTTGACAAAATAAAACTCAAAAAACTTAAATTAAGATGATGACAGATATTTCATTCAATCATACAAATCATAATAAACAATGTGAGGATTTATGATCATTTAAGGAAAAATAAATTTTTAAAATATTATTAGTTAGGAAATAGCAGATTACATTTACTATTTGATATTATTTATTAATTAGTAATATATATAGTCGTAATTTGAGTAGAGACTAATTTCTATGTAGTTATCTATCCAAAATTTATATAAATCATATAAATATTCATCATTTTATAGATTTAAATAAACACTTTATATCTATGATATCACTTTTTATGTTTAAATAACATCTAAAATTTATTTTGCTTTCACAATAAACTCAATTTTAACATAGTAAAAATATTTATTGTTTTCTATTTTTTTCTTATTAAAGTCTCTTCCTATTATTTCTATGCTTTCATACTCAAATAAAATATCCTTAATTATGTTTATTCCATAAGTCTCTTAGTTATAAAAAGTATCAAATATTTAAATTTATTTTATATTTTTATTTTTAATATCCTTACTATTCTTATCTAGCTAAATAAATTCTAGCATAGAATCTAATTCTATATATTTTTTATAAATATACTGTTTCATTATCACTTGAGATATACTTTAAAAAAGTAGGATTAAAAAACTTATTACTAACAATATTAAAATAGTAACTTTAAATGAATATAGTTACTAATTATTATTATTATTTGTTGTTTAAAATACAATCCAAAATGCTATTAGAAGATAAAGCTTAATCAATAACTCAAAAATAATCATAGAATTATATATTTTATAGCCAATTTTATTTAAAATGTCAAATACTTAATTCTTTTTTTTTCTATAACTGAGTACTATATGTAATAGTTATTTGATAATGATTATAATCAAAAACATATATTTTTCTCTAGTTTAGAAGTTATTTTTCAAACGGAGCCATAAATGCTTAATTAGTAAAACAATAAGCACACTTAAAATTGCCAAGACATAGTATTAAAGATTATAATGATTCCATATTAAGCAAAGTGACCAAAAGTAAGTAAAAAATTAAAAATAGGAATACGAATATTAAAAAAACCAAATCTTTAACTTTGACAATTTATCAATATTAAACATGGGATCCATAAATTTAAAAAAAGCTATTGTAAATGGCGCAATGTATATCAATATTAAAATAATTGAAATGAAAACCACGTTTAGAAGAATATATTAAACTTTTAAAACCCAAACTATACTCATCAAGTACAAAGGAATGTTAAATAAGAATATAATTGCACCCTATGCTACTATACCTTCTTCTAAATACATACTATGCATTTTATAGGTAATCATGAAGTAAAACTCGTCCAACTAAGCCAAATTAAGTATTAAAATTAAAATGGACTCTAATTTATTTGTTTTTAGAGAAGATATTTCTATAATCCAACTAAATAATCTTTCTATAATATAAAAGCTAATAAAGCAGTAGATGTAGCTTTTTTAATCTTCCTTTAAATATTTTAAAAATTAGAATAAGATAATTTAATGATAGAATTTTACGTTTATATATTGATAAAAGAAATAGAATTGAATTCCTGTATTTAGCTTAACTATAGTGAAAATGAATCCTTTAATAATATTTTTTTCCATTTTTATGTTTGTTTATTTTAAAGTTTCAATAATAATTTGTTTGTTTTTTCTATTTATAGTTAATATTCAAATTAAAAAATATATGGCTATGATTTTAGAATTATTAAAAACAAAATTTGATTAATATCATAGCTGATTAAAAGAGACAAATAAGGTTTGATAGATACTTTAACTTAGTTTATATAATAATGGAAGATATTTATTTTTATTAATTAAACTTTAATAAATTAAAAACTCTAGCTGAGATATTTTTTAAATTAAAAATAAAAGTTCAATTTATAAAAAATAAAAAAAAATATTTTAGAAATTTGTGATTAAATATAAATATAAAAAATTAATATAATCTAAATTCTTATTAATTAATATTTATCCCTAATAATTTTTTTCTTAAAACAATTAAAATCTTGAAAAAAAAGAATAAAAATAAGTATGATATTTATAAGGCTTAAATGTATTTTTAATACAGTTTATTTGATTGTTTATGCTTGTTTGAAATTGATAATAGTAAGGAAAAAAGACAAATAATATTGAAAGTTAAATTATAAAAATAAAACAAACTGAAAATATTTTGTAAAACTAAACAATTTATTTTACTTACTTAAAAAACCAATATAAACTCTTATTTTTTAGTTTGAAAAAATTACTTGAATGCCTTAATAAAATAAAAAAAAACTTTCAATAATCAATGTGTAAATCCCAATGAGAGAAAGATTATTAGAAATGTAAATTATTCTAGATTATATTTTTATATGCTATTAAAGACAGCAATTATTATGAAATCATTAATTCTTTTTATATTAAAATGTTTGTCAACTTTTGAACAGGAACTATCTTTGTTTATTCTTCTCCATTATCTTCCATTAATTATTATTCTATCATAAATTTGTTGAGCTAAATTAAAGAAATTATATCTTCCCTTCTAAATGCTGAAACAATTTATTCAAATAAGTCTATATGTTTAAGTTGTATAGAATGTTGAATTGATAAAATTTATATGTATAAAAAAATGAAAAACTGAGACTAATTATTTGCTTCTATTTCAATTAAAGTTTATATCCCTTAGCAAACTTCTCTAAATATCTAATCAATATTTTCAATTCCTAGCATATTAAATTGATTTACGAGCAGACTCAAATATTATTATAAAACAAAATTAAATTTTAACTTTTTAAAACACATTTCTATTATTTAAAAACTTTAAGCATGATAACCAAGATCGACTAACACACAAGATAAATTGCAAAGTGCATAGTGATCTTCTGGATTAATATTTAGGGCTTCATTGTAATATTAAACAGATAATATGTAGGCTTCTTAAGTTCCTATTCTATTGTATTAGACTCCTAAATTTTAAAGATTCATTGTAGATCTTGGTTATAATTCTAACCCTTTTTTAAAAAAATTCAGAGATTTTTATACATTTTCATTTTCTTCATCTTCTCCATGATTTGTCATATTTAAGAAGTGACATCCAAGTTGATGATAAAACCAAGTTTAGACCATAGGTTAATCATCATAATCATTCACTTTAGAAAATAAAATTTCGTAAGATTTTTCATTATCTTTTTAAATGCGATAAATTAATGCTAAGCAGATATAATAGAAGCCATTTTTTTCTCCTTAGTAATCATTATATTATTTGAAAATAGTTTAAACCAAACTTCTACCTTTATTTTAGAAATTACTGAAAATGTTATCTAACAAATATGAAGTGTTTTCAAAGTAGTATGGAGCTTCTTGATAAACTTACAATTACTACTTGAGAGATTCATTTAAATCATCATATATTAAAAAGAATCCGTAGTATGTTCTAACTTAAAACAAATAAGGTTTTTCTTCAAGAATGACTTTACACCTCTCCTAACATTTTGCATAGTCAAAGTTAAAATGTAATTATCTTACTTCTTCTATATATAAATTATCTTAATCTACTTACATTACTTATATTTATTCTAATCTTTTTGAAAATATTTATTAGGATATTTATTTATATAAATATTAATTAAATCATTTAGATTATCAAAAATCTAATGTTTAGCTAAATAAATATTAGGGATATGCCTGATAATTAAATTAGATATTAAAATTTTAAGTATGTTTTTGAATTATTTAAAATACAAAATCAGAGTCTGAAGATTTAGTTTTCATTTAAAATAATTTTATTTATTAAAATATAATAAAAAAGTAATAAACTTTGAATATTTTTTTAAAATTTTTATTTAATACTTTTTAAAAAGTATCAATAATTCTAATAAATCGTAAAAAATTATTTTAGGATTAGCTATCTAATAAGGAAGGTGCTATCTAGAAAATATTTTATTTTCATCATTAAAATACTAAAAACTAAGAATTTTAAGATTTCAATTTATTATTAATTATTGATATCAAAATTAACTAAAAGACAAACATACAATTGAATTTTAATTTATATTTAAATAAAATTATTAGAATTGCAAATAAAATTTTCTATTTTATATAGAATCTTAAATAATAGAAGAATCAATAAAAATACTAATGTTGACAGAATATTTTATTATTTTTATTAATAACAATTTTCAGAAATTAAACCATTAACACTACTTTTTAAATAACTAAAGTAATTAATGTATGTTAGTTATTAATTTCTTTAACTTATAAAATTACTCTATTGAAAGTACCATAAAGTGGTCAAAATATTAAAAATAATCATTCAAGCATCTTTAAGATTAATTTGATTAATCTAAATAAAATCTAATAAATTATTCTACTCTAAGATTTTGGAATTTTATATTAGTGTAAGTATGAGTTATTATATTTAATTTTAGAGATAGATAAAACAAAATCATATCTCGCACTTTTAGATATCTATTGATAAATCTTTGGTGAGTAGATAAAGCAATGATAAAATCAGTAAAAGTAATTTTGAAAATATTAATAATTTTAATTTTACTATTGAGAGCTTAAATAATAATGTTGTAAAATGAATAATTTTTTTTATTTCTTAAAAAAAATATTTTTAAGAGAAGTGTAAAGCTATGAAGCTTTTAATTAAAAACATTTTAATCGGAAGCATATAAGTTACTAAAAAAAATAAATTGAGATAGGAGTTACTAATATGAAATATATTTGATTGTATCATTTCTAAAATACACATTTTTTATTATAAATTTAACAAAAAAAAGATGATTAAAATTTAATACATGTAAAGATTAAAACTTGCAATATCGAATCGAGCAAAAAAGAATAATAAATTGTGCTAATTTTCACAACAAAGAAAAATATTTTTAAGTAGAAGCTTTTTAATTTAACTAACTATTTTTACAGAAATTATAATTAATAATATTTTTTTTCAATCATACAAATCATAATACGTTTAACAGGGATTTACAATCATATGAGGAAAAATGTGCTTTTAATATGTAATAAGTTAGCAAATAGTAGAACAAGTTTATTATTTGATTCCAGTTATTAATCCTAAATATTGAATATCATAGTTTGTATGAAGACTAATTTAAATGTTGTTATTTATCCAAACTTTATATAAATCATATAATTATTAGTCATTTTAAAGATTTAGATAAACACTTTATATTTCTGATACTACTTTCTTTGTTTAAATTATATCTAAAATTTATTATATTTTCACTTTAAATTAAGTTTGCACTGAGTAATAATATTTATCATTTTATATCTTTTACTTACTAAAGTCTCTTCCAATTATTTCTATGCTTTCATACTCAAATAAAATATTTTTGATAATATTTACTCCATGAGCTTCTTAATTATAAAAAATATCAAATATTTAAATATATTTTACATTTTTATTTGTAATGTCCTTATTATTCTAATCAAGCTAAATAAACTCTTAAACAGAATCCATTTCTAAAAATTCTCTTTGAAAATACTATTTGATTAATACTTAAATTATGGTTTAGTAAAATAGGATGAAAAAACTAATTATCAGCATTATTAATAAGGCAACTTAAAATGAGTATAGATGGTCCTAATTGTTGATTGTTTAAAAAGAAATACAAAATGCTATTAGAAGATATAGCTTTATCAAGAATTCAAAAATAATCATAGAATTATACATTTTTTAACCAGTTTTATTTAAAACATTTATCACTTAATTCTTATTCTATCTTTATCCTATCACTATATGCAATAATTGTTTGATAATGATTATTAAGAAAAGCATTTATTTATTGCAAGCTTAAAAGTTATTTTATAATCGGAGCCATAAACAATTTATTAGTAGAGCAATAAGCACACTGTATACTACCAAGAAATAGTATTAAAAGTTATAATAATTCCATATATAATAGAGGGACCAGAAAAAAGTAAAAAATTGAAAGTATGAATATAAATATAAAGGCCAAAGCTTTATCTTTAAGAAATTATCAATATTAAATCTTTAGTCATCTATAATCATAACAAAAGCTACAGAAAATGGACCAACATATAGCAACATGATAACAATTGAAATCAATGCCACGTTTAGAGGTATAAATTAGACTTTTAAAACCCAAATAATGCTCATTAAGTACAAAGGTATGTTAAATAAGTATATTATTATACTTTAAGCTATTATACCTTAATTTAAATACTTACTTTGTGTTTCGTCTTTAATCATGAAGTAAAACTCCTCCAATTATACCAAATTAAGTATTAAAATTAAAATGGAATCAAATTTGTCTATTTTGAGAGCTAAAATTTCAATAGCCCAACTAAATAGTCTTTCTATAACATAAAAACTAATGAAACTGTAGATGTAGCTTTTTTAATCTTACTTTTTTATTTTTAAGAATTAGAATAAGTAAACAGTAACTTAATAAAACAAAAATGTTACATTGATATATTGATAAAAGAAATAAAATTAAATTCCTGTATTTAGCTTAATAAAAGTGAATATGAATCCTTTAATTATACTTCTTTCCATATCTGTGCTTATCATTTTGCTTAAATAATAACTTTTTAGTTTGTTGTGTTAATAATCAATAATTTGTTTCAAAATAAATATTAAGAAATTAGTTTTATGATTTTTTAATTTATAATAGCAGAAAAATAAATTATCACTAATATTTATTGATAAATAGACTAAGAATGTGAAAAAAAGAGAAATTTGAAGAAAGACTAAATTATAATTATCATAAAAGATATTTTGTTCCAGTATTTAGTTATTTTGAAACAATAGAAAAGCTTAACATGAAATAAATCCTACTAAATTAATGCTTACATCAAAAATATTCTATTAACTAAAAGCAAAAAATAAATAACTTTATAAATTTGATTTAAAAAATTTTTATATTTCTAAATTTCATTTAAAAAATCTAAATATTAAATTCTCATTATCTTTTGCAAATCCTGAAAATAAAAATTCATTTTTAAATACAAAAAATAAAATTTTTTTATTTTTGAGATACATACTCTACATCTAAATAAAAATTTCGTTATTTGGAAAAATAGTTATTTTGTAATTAATGTAATATTTTTTAATTATTATAATTTAACAAAATAAAACTCAAAAAACATAAATTAGGATTTTAAAAAGTATTTCATTCAATCATATAAATCATAATAAACAAAGTGAGGATTTACGATCATTTAAGGAAAAATAAATTTTTAATATATTATTAGTTAGGAAATAGCAGATTACATTTATTATTTGATATTATTTATTAATTAGTAAAATCTATAGTCGTAATTTGAGTAGAGACTAATTTCTATGTAGTTATCTATCCAAAATTTATATAAATCATATAAATATCCATCATTTTATAGTTTTAAATAAACACTTTATATCTATGATATCACTTTTTATGTTTAAATAACATCTAAAATTTATTAAGCTTTCATAATAAACTCTATTTCAACAGAGTAAAAATATTTATTGTTTAATATCTTTTTCTTATTAAAATCTCTTCCTATTATTTCTATGCTTTCATACTCAAATAAAATATCCTTAATTATGCTTATTCCATAAGTCTCTTCATTATAAAAAATATCAAATATTTAAATGTATTTTACATAATTATTTTTAATATCCTTACTATTCTTATCGAATTTAATAAATTCTTGAATAGATTCTAATTCAATATAATCTTTATATTTATACTGGTTTATTATTACTTGATCAATACTTTAAAAAAGAAGGATTAAAAAACTTATTACTATCATTATTAAAACGGTAATTTTAAATGAATATAGCTGCTAATTGTTATTGTTATTATTATTATTTGTTTTTTAAAAAACAATCCAAAATGCTATTAAAAGATAAAGCTTAATCAATAATTCAAAAATAATCATAGAATTAAAGATTTTGTAGCCAAATTTATTTTAAATGCTAAATGATGAATGTTTCTTTTTTCTATATCTGAATACTATATGTAACAATTATTTGATAATGATTATAATAAGAATGGTATATTTTTCCATAGTTTATAAGTTATTTTATAAACGGAGCCATACATGCTTTATTAATAAAACAAGAAGCACGCTGTATACTGCCAAGAAATAATATTACAAATTATAATAATTCCATATTAAGCAAAGCGACCAAAAGTAAGTAAAAAATTAAAAATAAGAGTACAAATATTAAAAAAACCAACACTTAAACCTAAACAATTTATAAATATTTAACTCAAGGCTACCTATTATAGATAAAGCTGTAGTAAATAGCCCAATGTATATCAATAATAAAAGAATAGAAACGAATACCATATTTAAAGGCATAAATTAAACTTTTAAAACCCAAACTATACTCATTAGGTACAAAGGAATATCAAATAAGAATGTAATTACACTCTTTTCTAATATTCCTTCTTCTAAATACTCTCTACGCCTATCTTAGCTAATCATGAAGTAAAACTCATCCAATTAAGCCAAATTAAGTATTAAAATTAAAATAGACTCTAAATTATTTCTTTTTATAAAAAACATATCAGTAATCCAACTAAATAACCTTTCTATAATATAAAAGCTAATGAAGCAATAGATGTAGCTCTTTTAATCTTACTTTTTTTATTTTAAAAATTAGAATAAGAAAATTTAATGATAGAATTTTACATTTATATATTGATAAAAGAAGTAGAATTGAATTCCTGAATTTAGCTTTACCATAGTAAAAAAGAACCCGTGTATTATTTCTATTTCCATTTTTATGTTTATTGAAAGTTTAAATAATTATTTGTTTGTTTGTTTCTTTTTTTGTTTGTTTGTTCTATAAATAATTTATATTAAAATTTAAAAAATACAGCAAAATGTCATTCAAAAATTTCGTCATTTGGAAACGACTAGATAAGTGAATGGCATTTATTATTTTAAAATTAAATTTTATTAAATAAAAATGTATAATAGAAAATTACACAACTGCCCACGTGGCATACATTAAATTTTTTAGATTGGGTCTGGGGCCGGCCAATTTTAAGATTTAAAGTAGATTAAAGTTAATTTAATAAAATCTTTAATTTCTATTTAAAAATATATATTTAAAAAAAATCAATTTATTTATTTAATGCAAAATTGGTGTTATTTATATTTGAAAAATTACATAATATTTATTTCGATGATTATTGAGAATCAAATTGGTTAATGACAATAGTAGTATTTTATAGATATGATAATTCCTTATTTTGCCTTATCTGAGGGATTTAGAGGGAGATATCTTTGAATTTATTCAACTTGCATAAAAGTTATAAAAATTAATTTTAAATATTCTCTTTCTCTTAATTAATTTATTATATTTACAATTAAAAAATTTAAATAACAAAAAGATTGTTTAATTATTACACTTTATTAGTACTTATTTAATAATAGTTTGCAAATTATACTAACTAATTTATTTGAAATCTTATAAAAATTATGAATTAGAACTTAGTGAAAATTTGAAATTTTGTGATATAAAAAAAAGTATAATTATATCAGAATTTAATACTAAACATGTATTGTAGCCATTGAAAAATAGAATAAAAATAAGTTTGATATTTATAAGCCTTATATTTTTTTTAAATACAATTCAATTTTTAAATTTGTTTGAGATTAATAATAGAAAGGAAAAAAGACAAATAAAATTGAAAGTTGAATTTATAAAAAAACTTAAAATATTTTATAAAAATAAATAATCTTATTTGAATAAAATTAAAACTTTTATTTTTTAATTTGAAAAAATTATTTCAATGTTTTAATAAAATAAAAATAAACAAACATTCAATTATCTATGTGTAAATCCCAATTAGAAAAGGATTATTAGAAATTTAAATGATTCTAGATTATTTTTTTATAAGCTATTAAAGAAAGAAATTATTATGAAATCATCAATTATTTTTATATTAAAATATGTTACAACTTTTGAACAGGAACTATTTTTGTTTATTCTTCTCCATTTCCTTCCTTAATTAATTAATTATCTGTTTATCATAAATTGTTTTAATTCAATTAAAGAAATTATATCTTCCCCTCTAAAGGCTGAAATAATTTATTCAGACAAGTCTATATGTTCAAGTTGAAAAGAATGTTGAATTGATAAAATTAATAAATATTAAAAATTATAAAAGAGAAACTAACTATTTGCTTCTATTTCAATTAAAGTTAATATTCCTTAGCAAACTTCTCTAAATATCTAATCAATATTTTGAATTCCTAGTTAATTAAATCGATTAATGAGCAAACGTAAATATAATTACAAACCAGAATTATATTTTTACTTTTTAAGACACTTTTCTAATATTTAAAAACTTTAATTAAACTAACCAAGATCAGCTAACACACAAGAATGATTGCAAAGTGTTAAGTTATCTTCTGGATTAAAATTCTCTACTTTTTTATATTATTAAATAGATTTTTGGTAGGCTTCTTGAGTTCCTATTCTATGATATTAGACTCCTATATTTGAAAGATTCATTGTATTTCTTGGTTATAATTCTAATGCTTTTTCAAAAAAAAACAGAGTTTTTTGTACATTTTCATGTTTTTGAATTAATTTAAAATAAAAAATCAAAGACTGAAGAATTAGATATTATTTCAAGATATTTTATTTATTAAAAATATAATAAAAAGTAATAGAATGCTAAACTTTAAAAATTTAAAAAAAATTTTTTATATAAATTAATACTTTATTACAAATTTTTGTAAAAATAATGAATTAGAACTTTGGCAAAATTTGAAATTTTGTGATAGAAAAAAAAAGTATAATTATGTCAGAATTTAATACTAAATGTATATTCTTGTAGCCCTTGAAAAATAGAATAAAAATAAGTATGATATTTATAAGGTTTATTTGTACTTTATAATCAATTTATTTGATTGTTTATGTTTGTTTAAAAATGGTAATAGTAAGGAAAAAGGACAAATAAAATGAAAGTTAAATTTATAAAAACAAAACTGAAAATATTTTGTAAAACTAAACAATTTATTTTTCTTACTTAAAGAATATATATAAACTATTATTTTTTAGTATGAGAAAATTACTTGAATGCCTTAATAAAATAAAAAAAATTTCAATAATCAACGTATAAATCCCAATGAGAGAAAGATTATTAAAAATGCAAATTATTCTAGATTATATTTTTATAAGCTATGAAAGGAAGTAATTTATATGAAATCTCCAATTCTTTTTATATTAAAATGTTTGTCATCTTTAGAACAGGATATTTCTTTGTTTCTTCTTCTCCATCTAAATATGTTGATTATTATTCTATAATAAATTTATTGAGCTAAATTAATGAAATTATATCTTTCTTTCTAAAGGCTGAAACAATTTATTCAAACAAGTCCATATGTTCAAGTTGTATAGAATATTTAATTGAGAGAATTTATATGTGTTAAAAATTCTCAAAGAGAGACTAATTATTTGGTTCTATTTCAATTAAAGTTAATATCCCTTAGCAAACTTCTCTATAGATCTAATCAAAATTTTGAATGTCTATCATATCAAATTCATTTAAGAGCAGACTCAAAAATATTTCAAAAAAAGAAGAATTAAGTTTTAAGTTTTTAAGACACTTTTCAAATATTTAAAAACTTTAATCATAATAACCAAGATCAACTAATGCACTAGAAAAATTGCAAAGTGCATACTGATTTTCTGGAAAAATATCCAGTGCTTTTTTATAATATTAAAGAGATTTTTCTCTGGCTTCTTGAGTTGCTATACAGTTGTATTAGACTCCTAAATTTTAAAGATTCATTGTATTTCTTGGTTATAATTCTAATGCTTTTTCAAAAAAAAACAGAGTTTTTTATACATTTTCATTTTCTTCATCATCTCCATGATTTGTCTTATGTTAGAAGTGACACCCTAGTTGATGATAAAACCAAGTTTAGACCATTGGTTAATCATCATAATCATTTAATTTTGAAATTAAAATTTCATAAGATTTCTCATGATCTTATTAAATGAGATAAAGTAAAGCTATGCAAATATAATAAAAGCCATTTTTTTCTCCTTAGTAATCATTATATTATTTGAAAATCCTTTATGCCAAACTTCTGCCTTTATTTTCGAAATAGATAAAGTTATCCAACATATATGAAGTGTTTTCAAAGTAGTATGGAGCTTCTTGGTAAACTTACAATTACTACTTGAGAGATTCATTTAAATCATCATACATTAAAAAGAATCCGTAGTATGTCCTAACTTAAAACAAATAAGGCTTTTTTTAAAGAATGACTTAACACTTCTCCTAGCATTTTGCATTTTCAAAGTTAAAATGTAATTATCTTACTTCTTCTATATCTTAAATGTCTTAATATACTTACATTTCTTTTATTTATTAGGATATTTATTTATATAAAATATTAGTTAAATCAATTAGAATATCAAAAACCTAATGTTTAACTAAATAAAGATCAGTAACAGGTCTGATAATTAAATTTTGATTTTTATTAGAATATTATCAATTTTAAATATGCTTTTGAATAATTTAAAATAAAAAAATTAAAGACAAAAAGAATTAGAAGATGCTTTTTCAAATAATTTTATTTATTAAAAAATGTTATAAAAAAGTAATAGAAATATTAAACTTTAAATCTTTTTTAAAAAAATTTTATATAAATTAATACTTTTTAAAAACAGTTAATATACAAATCAGAATCAATAATTACTAAAATTAATTAATAAACAAAATTTGTTCCAGTTTTTAGTTACTTTAATACAATAGGAAAGATCAACATTAAATAAATCTTACTAAATTAATACTTTCATTTAAAAATATTCTATTAACTAACAGTAAAAAAATCATTTTATTAAATTGATAAAATTTCATTTTCAAAATATTAAATTTTCATTATCAAAAGCAAATCCTAAAATCCTGATATAGTATTTTGATGTCTATCTCAAAAATAAAAAGTTTTTTATTTTTTGTTTTTAAAAATGAATTTTTATATTTTAATTATTTGGCAAAATTATATTTTTAAATTATTTAAATTTGATAAAATAAAACTCAAAAACTGATTTAAAGAAATATTTCATTCAATCATACAAATCATAATAAATATAGTGAGGATTTGTGATCATTTAAGGAAGAATAAATTTATAATATATGGCAAATTAGGAAAAGGCAGATTACATTGACTAATTGATTTTAATTAATAATTATTAATATTTATTGTCGTAGTTTGTATGAAGACTTATTTAAATATTGTGATCTATCCAAATTTTATATAAATCAGATAAATATTCGTCATTTTATAGATTTAAATAAACACTTTATATATCTGAAGTCACTTTCTATGTTTAAATAACATCTAAAAGTTATTATGCTTTCACAATAAACTCAGCTTAAACATAGTAAAAATATTTATTGTTTTCTATTTTTTTCTTATTAAAGTCTCTTCCTATTATTTCTATGCTTTCATACTCAAATAAAATATCCTTAATTATGTTTATTCCATAAGTCTCTTAGTTATAAAAAATATCAAATATTTAAATGTATTTTACATTTTTATTTTTTATATCCTTACTATTCTTATCTAGCTAAATAAATTCTTGAATAGAATGTAATTCTATATATTCTTTATAAATATACTGTTTTATTAGTACATTGCTTATACTTTAGTAAAGTAGGATTAAAAAACTTATTACTAACATTACTAAAATGGTAACTTTAAATGAACATAGCTACTAATTAATATTATTATTTGGTATTAATAAAAGAATCCAAAATGTTATTAAAAGATAAAACTTAATCAAAAATTCAAAAATAATCATAGAATTATTGATTTTGTTTCCAATTTAATTTAATAAGATAAATTCTAGATTTTATTTTCTAAGCTTGAGTACAATATGTAACAATTATTTGATAATCATTATAATAAGAATGAAATATTTTTCGCAAGTATAGAAGTTATTGTTTAAACATAACCTTAAATAATGTATTAGTAAAACTATAAGCTCGCTTTATACTACCAAGACATAGTATTAAAGATTATAATAATTCCATATTAAGTAAAGTGACCAAAAGTAAGTAAAAAAGTGAAAATAGGAATACAAATATTAAAAAAAAAACTTAAATGACCATTTATCAATATTAAACTACTAGTAACTCATAAACATAATAAAAGCTAGAGTGAATGGCCCAATGTATATCAATAATAAAATAATTGAAACGAGCACCACGTTTAAAAGCATATATTAAGCTTTTAAAGCCCAAAATATACTCACAAAAGACAAAGGAATGTTAAATAAGTATGTAATTATACTCTATGTTACTATACCTTTTTCTAAATACTTATAAAATATATCATAGTCTTTGATGAAGTAAAACTCGTCCAATTATGCTAAGCTAAGTATTAAAATTAAAATGGACTCTTATTTAGTTTTAAGATAACTTAATTTATAAGCCCAGCTAAAAAATCTTTCGCTAATATAAAAGCTAATGAAGCAGTAGATGTAGCCTTCTTAATATTACTTTATACATTTTAAGAATTAGAATAAGTAAATTTAAAGATAGAATTTTACATTTATATATTGATAAAAGAAATAGAAGTGAATTCCTGTATTTATCTTAACTAAAATGAAAATTAATCCTTTAATTATATCTTTTTCCATTTTTATATTTATTTTAAAGTTTCAATAATAATTTGTTTGTTTGTTTGTCTGTTCTATAAATAATTAATACTTTAATTAAAAAACATAAAGCTAAATGATTTTAGAATTATTAAAAAGAGATTTGATTAATATGATAACCGATTAATAGAGACAAATAAGATTAGATAGATACTTTAACTTAATTTATATAATAAAGGAAGATATTTTTTAAATTTCAATTTATGTTTATTAATGAAAACTTTATTAAATTAAAAGCTCATATATTTTTTATTTTAAAAATAGTTTAATTAATAAAACATTAAATAAAATATTTTAGAAACTAGTGATTAAATTTATATTTAACAAATTTATATAATCTAAATCATTATTAATTAATACTCATCCCTGATCATTTATTTCTTAAAACCCTTAAAATACTTTAATTATTAGTTTGATAAGCAATAAATATCCTACAATTTATTTTTAAAATGTTACAGTATTTATTTTAAAATTAATATTTTAATACATGATAACCATATTTAATTTATATGATTGCACCTTAATTAAATCAAAACAATCAATATTCTAATAATAAAATAAAACTCTAGGTTTTATGTTTTATAAAAAAATATATTTATGTATTCAAAATGTAAATTTAATTAATTAAATTTATATTTTGGTTTACAAAATATATATACTTTCATTAAATTAAAAAAAAATATTTACAATCAAAAATATGTATTTATTTTAAATACCTTTATTTTTTAATAATTTTTTATTGGATGAAATTATTTATTGTAAAAAATAAACAAAAAATCCATTACAAAATAAATATAATTATCATAGAAAGTAAATATAAAATGTTTTCGAAAATGTGTAAAAAAATTTTTTTAAGCTCAAAATTTGAGAAAAAGGCATTAATTAATTAAATGGTATCAATAATTTAATAAAAACAAAATAATAAAACAATTATAAAAAAGAATGAGTAAAATTAGCAAAATAAATAATAAATATCATATGAAATATCATTATTTTGTTATATTTTAATTTATTGATTAATAATGTAAATAAATAAATAAAAATGTTATTTATTAATTCAGAAATGTATAAACAAACATCTTTTCCGGCAGGTCTCTCCAATACAATTCTTTAAATAAAATTTATCTGTTTATTAATTTTAATAAAATATAATCGCTCAAGTTAGAGTCAATTTAATTCTTTGAGTTTAGGTTAATTATTTAACCAAAATATTTATTATTATATCACTTATCATTTTCAAATAAGTCATAAAGGATTTATTTGGGATCAGAAATCATTGAACTCATCAAGAAATTTTAAAATGCAATTATTTATGCTACAAAAGTTTTAGTTTTGAGCTGTATTTTATTTTTAAATTGGCATAGATTTTCATAACCTTCATCAAGATTTGTAAATACTTATATGTCTATATGGTTTTAAATAAAATATCTATAAAAGTTATAAAGATTGCAATCTTTAATTCTAAAGTGTATTCTTTTGATTTAAGGTAATATCTTCCTATTTTAAATGATTTTGAAAATAGTTTGAGCTGTTAGTAAATACTCAAAAATCACTATTTGATCTTAAAGAACATACACCAACTTCTCTCTGTTAGCATAAAGACTAAAGATTTCGCTATTTTTAAATTCAAATAGAAAGAGCTAAAGCATAATTTCTTGACGTCTAGTATCATTTTGATCAAATTAAATACTAAATATTTTTATATACTAAATTTTCTTGTCTTTGTATATGTATTATTTATTGAGTGTATCTTCAAATTAAACCATTTCATCAAATTCAACTACTTCATTGTTCAAATAGTATTTAATTATATTTACAATAACTGAGTATCCTAAAACAACTGTGTTGATTAGGAGCAGTAAATAGATAAAATATAAAAAGTATTTGATGGACATCTTCTCAAATGCTCCTTAGCAAAAAGCAACAGTGAAGAATATAGATAGTAAAAATTTATTAAAAAGCTCCTATAAAGTCATCTAATTAAATACTTTTATACCATATTGTTTAATTCCTAATCTAAGGTCAGTCTAATCCACAAGCTATATATCAAAAGTTACTTAAAGCATTTATTTCAAAAATATTGTGAATGCTAGATAGTATTTATTTTAACCGTGCAATTCTTGTATATTGGTCATTCTTCTCCATAAAGTCTGAATTGCAATTATAGTAGTAAGGAAATTAATAGGTAGTATATAAAATCCATATTACCTGTATTTGAATAGCAAAGCAACTGACCAAAAATAAGTGTAAAAATTGAAAAATGAGAAGATATATTGATTTTTGAGATAACTAAATAACTAACTATCATTAATACTCTGTTAATAATAGGGTATTATCATCTAGAAATTAATGTAGAAAGGAAAGTTAAGGAATCCAAGCGCTAGAATAGATATTAAAATAACATTTGATATAGTAAATGAGTTATTTAAAACCCAAACAAATGACAATATATATAGAGGAATATGAAATGTGCATTATATCAAAGCTTAAGCTAAAATTCCTTCTTAAATATAAGCTTAATACTATTCATGATTAATAAGGAAGTATATTTCTTCAAGGTATACTAAATTTAGTGGTAGGATTATTAGTGATTATTTTAAGTTTGTTTAGAGACTAATTATTTCAGCTACATAGCTAAAAAGCCTTTCTATCAAATAAAAGCTTATAAAAGTGTACAAATAAAAGCCTTTGTTTTACTAATTTTATAAAATAAAAGTTATTAAATTCGTTTGATAACTAATACTACCTCTATAAACTAATAAAAAAAGAAAAACAGAATGGCTGTAAGCAACTTCACAATTATAAATGATAGGCACTTAAAATCAAATTCTCTCATTTAAATAGTTTTTTTAATTTGTTCTTTTCTAAGATTTTATTAAAAAATTAATTAATTATTTTTTAAAATACCATCTTCATTATTATCTTGCTCATAAATTGAGAAATTAAAAGTTTTTCTAATCAAATCTTTTTTTTGTTCGTAATAATTAGAGATTATTAGTAAAGACTGACATCATTTGACTTCATAGATTCTGATCAAAATTTTGATAATATCAAATATTCTTAATTCAATATCTAAATAAATTAGAACTAAATATTGTAATCTAATTTTATAAATTAAGAACTAAAACCCTTTGGCATTTTATAATAGCCATGAATAAAATACTAGCTTTATAAGTTAAAAGTAATTTTTTAATTGAAATTCAAAAATAAAATAATTTACATTTATTCAATTAATTTTCTAATTGTACTTTTTTTTTAAACTTTTTAGGAGGCAGTAATTAAAGCAAAATTAAAAATTTTTGAAAGTAGATGGGGATAATAAGAATTGTATTTCAAACATTTCTAAAATGTATTATTCTAGAAGAATAGTAAAATTCTGTAAAGTCGATGAAATATGACCCAATTAAAAATACATTCTAAACTTTGGAATAATTATGTAATTGATTTGATTAACCCAAAAATATTTTATCTTTTACAATTTATTAAAAAATATTTGATATGGGTTAGAAATTATAAAAAGAAACAATAAAAAGTTTAAGCTTTGAGAAGTAAATAGATTTAATATATTTTGTAAATATTTAATATCAGATAATGAAAAAAAAACTTATTAGTTTTATTTCAAAATAATTATGTTTTTTTTACTCTTTATGATTTTAAAAGTTTAGTACAATTTTATCAATTTTATAGAAAGAGCTTAATAAGAAAAAAAACTTTTAAAAATTTTAATAATCAAAGTGGTAAAAAATGACTTAGTAGATAGATAGATTATTGATAAAAATAACTTAACTAAAATAAAAAAAATTATTTAGCTATTTATTTGATATTTAAAAATAAATATTATGCTATTAAAATAATAATTTCTAAATATTCCTTTAATAAAATAAAACTCAAAAAACTAACATTAATATTTTTAAAAAAAATATTTATTTCAATCATACAAATCATAATAAATGTAATAAGGATTTACAATCATCTTAGGAAAAATTAATTTTTAATATGTAACCAGTTAAGAAATAGTAGATTACATTTATTATTTAATTTCAGTAACTAATTTGTAATATTTATTGTCAAAGTTTGTATGGAGACTTATTTCAATGTAGTGATTTATCCAAAATTTATATAAATCATATAACTGTTCGTCATTTTAAAAATTTAAATGAACACTTTATATTTATGATACCACTTTCTTTGTTTAAATGGCATCTAAAATTTATTATGTTTTCACTAGAAATTAAGCTTATACAATGTAATAATATTTATCGTTTTGTATCTTTTTCTTATTAAAATCTTTTCCTGTTATTTCTATACCTTCATACTCAAATAAAATATCTTTAATTATATTTATTCCATGAGTCTCTTAATTATAAAAATTATCAAATATTTAAATGTGTTTTATACTTTTATTTTTAATCTCCTTACTATTCTTATCTAGCTAAATAAACTCTTGAATAGAATCCAATTCTATAAATTCTTTATAAATATACTATCTTATTAATACATTAATTATACTTTAGTAAAGTAGGATTAAAAAACTTATTATCAGCATCACTAAAACGGTAACTTAAAATGAATATAACTGCTAATTATTAGTTTTTGTTTTAAAAACAATCCAAAATGCTATTAAAAGATATAGTTTAATCAAAGATTCAAAAATAATCATAGAATTATACATTTTATAGCCAGTTTTATTTAAAATGTTAATCACTTGATTCCTTTTCTTACTATATCTAAGCACAATATGTAGTAATTATTTGATAATGATTAAAATAAAAAAGATATATTTATCGCAAGCTTAGAAGTTATTTTTAAAACGGAGCCATAAATAATTTATTTGTAGAACAATAAGCACACAGTAAACTACTAAGACATAGTATTAAAAGTTATAATAATTCCATATATAGCAAAGGGACCAGAAAAAAGTAAAAAATTGAAAGTAAGAATATAAATATTAAAAAACCCATAGTTTTATCTTTGAGAAATTATCAATATTAAACTATTAAGCATCTATAAACATGATAAAAGCTACAGAAAATGGCCCTACGTATAGCAATACGAGAACAATTGAAATAAAAGCCACATTTAGAAGTGTATATTGGATTTTTAAAACCCAAACTAAACTCATTATGTACAAAGGAATGTTAAATAAGCATATAATTACACCTTACCCTATTATACCTTATTCTAAATACTTACTATGCCTGTTATAGTTAATCATGAAATAGAACTCCTCCAATTATACCAAATTAAGAATTAGTATTAAAAGGGATTCTAATTTCTTTGTATTTAGAGCACTTATTTCAATAGTCCAACTAAATATTCTTTCTATAACATAAAAGCTAACGAAGCTGTAGATGTAGCTTTTTTAATCTTACTTTTTTTATTTTAAGAATTAGAATTAGTAAAAAGGAAGTTTAACCAAAGAAGTTTACATTTATGTATTGATAAAAGAAATAGAATTGAATTCCTGTATTTAATTTAACTAAAGTGAATATTAGACCCTTAATTATATTTTTTTCCATTTTTATGTTTATCTTAAAGTTTAAATAATAATTGATTTGTTTGTTTTTTGTAAAAATAATTAATAATTTGTTTCAAATCAAAAAATATAAAGCAATTGGTTTGTTTTATGATTTTAGAATTATTAAAAACAGATTTAATTAATATAAAAACTGGTTCATAGAGACAAAAAAATTGAAAAAAATACTTAATAGATGCTTTAACTTAGTTGGTATATAATAGAAGATATTTTTTTAATGTTATTTATCTTAGTAAAAACAAATAACCAAAATTAAATAAAATTTTACTAAATTATAACTTCAATAAAAGATATTTTATAAATTAAAAGCAATAAATCAATTAATAAATTTGGAACTAAAACAATTTGGATTAATTGTTTTAATTTTAGTAGATAAATTAATATATTAAGATCTCATTTACCTACCTCTTTTCTTATGATAAAATTCTTTTGTAGTTTCAATTTTTAAGTTTTCAATAAATTGATTCTACATTTATTACCAGTTTTTAAATAATAAAAAATTATTAATTATTTTTTTATTGATTTTTAAAAAAATAAATTTAACTTTAGAAGGGATTTAAATATAACTTATTTTTTAATGTCAGAAGCCAGATTAAATCTAATATTATTAAATTTTCTTCAAATTTTTAAAATAATATTTACTATTTTACCCAGTAAGAGATAGAGTAAAATAAGAATATAGTGAATATTAATTTCCTACTATCGAAATAATTATCTGAGAATAGCAATATTTAAAAATTTAAATATTAAGAGATTTTAAAGTAAAAAATATTGAAGTGAATGAATTAAAATATTCTTTATTATCAACTTACTTTTCTACGAAATTTAAATTAATAAATTAGATAAGAAAAAAAATAATTCACCAATAAACCCAATTTAACTTTTGATCAGCCTACTTGTTATTATTTTTATTTTAAAAAAAACTATTTACATAAAAAACTTTGGTTAATTATTTATTCAATAAGTATATAGCATTCTTAAAATCTATATATGGAATAAAAAATAAATAGTACCTAAAGTTTTACATTGTTTAAACTGACGATCTTTTAAAAAGAAGTCTAAAAAATTTATATAGATTTTCTTTGTAATCAAACAAAGAGATTTAGTTTAGAGAATAAATAAAAAAAGAAACAAAAATTAATACGTTTTTGGTTTAATAAATAAATTTTTCTTAAAAATATGTTTTCATTCTTAGATTTATTTGGGATACCTGTTTAGATGATGCTCTCAAAAAATTAAAAGCATAAAACAGCTTTTGGAAGCTTAGTTACTATAATTATTGTTAGTATTGTTTGCATTTACTCATTTTATATTCTTGATTAGTGCTTTTAATATTCAAACCCAAATATTGTAAGTTAAGATTATTTAGTTTAGCAACCTGATGAAGTAGTCTTTGATTAAAAGAAATACACTTTAGCTATGGGTATATAGGATTAGAACTTAGCTCACTTTTTAGATGAGTCAATTTATTATTTAGAAGTTTAACTTTTGGAAACCACCAAAACTTATAATGAAACAACCAATTTATACGATCAAAAAACAGTAGCCGAATCAATAAAAATGGAACGTTGTACATTAGATCACTTTTAAGTAAATCAAACTGTAGATTACTTCAAATAGCTCAAGTTTAGTAATATCTACTGTTTTCCATTAAATTTCAAAATGAATTTAGCTGGTTAGTTTGGGGCTATGCAATATAAAAGGCTTTATATTTAAGTTAAAAGTTGTGAAATTAATTGCCAAAACTAAACTGTAATTCAATAAAAATTAAGTGATGTAGCCTTTTAGCTATATTATGTCAATTATATTATATCCCCTAATGATTTAAATAACCCATTTAAGCCAATAGGATAAAATACATTCTGGTAATCTGGTTATTCTTTGTTCAAAAACATTAATGTTTATTTTAGAAAAAATACAATAAGGACAGATTATGGTCTGATTAGCTAAGAGTTTTAGGATGATTATCGCATGATTTACAGTAATGATAGAGAAACTTTAATAAAAAAAACAGATAACAAGCTGTATGAAATATATATAGGTCTAGAGAAAAATAAGTAATCAGAATACATAAGAACTTACCTAAAATTATTTAGTGCTATTTCTTAAATCGGTGGTATCTATAATATATTTTTCCTTCTAGGTGCATTAATTTGTTTTCCAATTTAAAAGATATCGTTATATTACAAGCTGATAAAGAGCTTATATGATTTTAAAAAAAACAGAGAAGAAATCAGATTTTAATTTTTATCTGATCAAGACAGCATTTCAGGTGATAACCAATCTTTAAATTAGAAACTTATTTATCCAACATTTTAAAATATTCAATCGTTTAACTTAGAAAAAAAAATAATTGAAAACGATTATGCTATTTTAAATTCATTTAAAGCCTCCAGTAATAAAAAATAAAAAATAAACATTCCTTATGTAAGTAAGAATAAAATTAAGCATAAAATTCAACTTGAAAATTCTGAAGTCACTATTTAACAGCCTCATTCGTGTCTAATAAATGCATTAAATATTGAAGGTTTTTAGGAAAAAAATTGTAATTTAAGATAAAAATAATATTAACAATAATAAAAATTCATAAAAGAAAATCAATAAAATATAAATTATTCTTCATCTATTAAATATTAATTAGAACGTATTTTTGCTTTTTTGTTTTAATCATCTCCCAATATTTCATTTAGTATTTTTAAAATGGTGAAATCTTAAATTCAAAGAAAAATAAATTTAGAAAATCCTTACTCCAAAATGATAAACTTAAGTATAGAAAGTCTAAAAGAATAACTTGATTTAAGCAGTATCTTAAAAAAAATACAAGATATAGAAAAGCTTAAATATTTATTGCTAAATCAAAATCAAATTAAGCTTTTTGATAGTATTTCTAAACAGACTTTATATCTCTCAGACTTTAATAATAAAAACAACGAATCAGATTAAAAGAATAATAATGATAAGAGAATAATAGGATGTGAATCTTTAAGTTAATAAGAATAAAATTAATTTCACTAATAATTTTTCTCACAAGATAAACCAAAAGATGAAAAATAAATTGGAAAAGAAGCCAAAGAAGCTTTTAAATAAATTTATCAAAATGGATAGCCTATTTCTATAGTTGATAAAAAACTTTTATAATTGTTAACTTTTGGGAAAATTAACTATGATAAAGAAGGAGACATAAATTAATCTAATAAAAACACTTATAACACTCACTAAACCTTTTTATTCGATCCTTAAGTTATTGATACTAATTTAGAAATATAAAGATAAAATATTAGCTTAAATAATGAGGGTAAATTTAGCCAAATTATGTTTTTAAAATGATAAACATTAAAAAAAGTTTATTTTATATATTTGAGTAGTCCTCCCATATAATAGATATCCGCAATCCTGTGTCAGTTGGATAAAAAAATTCTTTGACATACAGGGGAAATACTTTAAAATATTTGTAAATTTGACAATATGGATTACTATTTTACTGAAGTAGCATTCTTATTATCGTTTGTATGAATAATTTATAAAAAATGATGACTGTTGTTTTATAGTGAAAAGTTTACCAATTTATTGGAGAGAATTTCTCATAAACTAAAAAATGATAAATATTAATTATAAGAAAATAGAAAGAAATTTTATAATTTTAAATTCTAAAAATGATATATTAATTTAATAAATAGTTGATTTAAGATTTAAATGAAATATCTATGAATAATTTATTAAATAAATATTTAGTTACAATAATATTCTAATATTTATATGATACTATTTGCAAAATCTTCAGATGAGTTTTTTAGATATAATAAAAATTAATTTTATTTTATCAAAAACTCATAATTAATTATTAATTTTAAGCTTAATTTAATTAATAAAATCAAAATTAATTATATTATTTACTATTTTTTATTTAAAGAAAATAATTTCACTAAAGTAACCTAATATTTAAAAAATTAAAATAAATTTAAACCTTTTAATAATTTAATTTTTAGTAGAATTTTAATATTTAGTAATCATATTTTATATAAATATGCTTGCTCTCTTTAAATATCTTCATTTGTAAATTAAGAAAAAATATAATGTTTATTATAATAAAAAAATTATTTCACAAAATCTATGTTTTTATGAAAATTTATGTTTATTTATTTATTTATTTATTTTGTATTTGCTTCTGAAGCTGAACTCAACTAGAACTAAGATTTTATTAGGTTAAAGTAAATCTAAGTAGTTTCCAGCGATATAACTATATGTATAAGTATATAATTAAGGTTATACATTTTGTTAAAATTAAGAGCAAATTTATTTTTTAGGATAATTACATTATCTTTAATTCATAATTTATCCAATTTAAGTATTTTTAATTTAGCGAAAATTTAGAATATTTAATGACATAATATTAATTTTTAATTAAAAATATTTATATTAATAAAAGAAAACACTCTCAATATATTTAGCTTTAATTTTTATAAACAAATTTTAAGCGTATTTTAAAAAGTGCATACATACATAAGTAATTAATTAAATAATTTATCAGAAAAATACATTTTTAATAATCAAGTGCTTGTTTTTTGAAAAAATACAATTAACCATAAGGAATTATTTAATTAATTTTCTGGTGGATTAAGAAAATATAAAATATAAAAAAAATAAATGGAAAATTCAATAAATTAAATGGATAATTATTTAAAATTAACTTTCAAAAAACAAAATATTAATGATTATAAAGTAGTAAATGTTGAAATAAATGAATTAAATATTTTATATATCTTGATTACTTATTCAATAAAATCAAATTTATATTTTAGATTAGCGAAAAAATATTTCTCCAGTAAATCCAATTTTTTACTTTTAATTAGCATAATTTTTCATTATTATTCTTGTTTTACATAAAATTATTTACATAAAAATTGTGGCTAATTTATAGTTTATACAAAATGTATATCAAATTTTTTAAATTTTTGTAAGGAGTAAAAATAAATAAATAAATAGTACCTAAAGATTACATTATTTAAATTAATATCTTCAAAATGAAGTTCTATAAATTTAAATAGATTTTCTTTCCAATCAAATAAAGACATTTAGTTTAGAAAACAAATAAAAAAAATAAAATTAAAATTAATACAATATTTACTTTTTTTAAATAAATTTTTTAAAGAAATGCTATCATTTTTGGATATCTTTGGGATACCTATTTAGATGAGGCTCTCGAAAAATTAAAAGCATAAAACAGCTTTTGGAAGCTTAATTACTGTAATTATAGTTAGTGTCGTGAGCGTTTACTCATTTTACATTCTTAATTAGTGCTTTTAATATTCAAACCCAAATATTGTAAGTTAAGATTATATAGTTTAGCAACCTGATGAAGTAGTCTTTGATTAATAGCAATATACTATAGCAATGGGAATTTAGGATTAGAACTTAGTTCACTTTTTAGATGAGTCTATTTATTATTTAGAAGTTTAAATTTTGGAAACTACCAAAATTTATAACAAAACAACCAATTTATATGATCAAATAACAGTAGCTGAATCAATAAAAATGGAACCTTGTACATTAGACCACTTCCAAGTAAATCAAACTATAGATTACTTCAGCTCACTAAAGTTTAATAATATCTATTGCTTCCCATTAAATTAAAAAATAAATTTAGCAGGTCAGTTTGGGGCTATGCAATATAAAAGGCTTTATATTTAAGTTAAAAGTTGTGAAATTAATTGCCAAAACTAAACTGTAATTCAATAAAAATTAAGTGATGTAGCCTTTTAGCTATATTATGTCAATTATATTATATCCCCTAATGATTTAAATAACCCATTTAAGCCAATAGGATAAAATACATTCTGGTAATCTGGTTATTCTTTGTTCAAAAACATTAATGTTTATTTTAGGAAAAATACAATAAGGACAGATTATGGTCTGATTAGCTAAGAGTTCTAGGATGATTATCGCATGATTTACAGTAATGATAGAGAAACTTTAATAACAAAAACAGATAACAAGCTGTATGAAATATATATAGGTCTAGAGAAAAATAAGTAATCAGAATACATAAGAACTTACCTAAAATTATTTAGTGCTATTTCTTAAATCGGTGGTGTCTATAATGTATTTTTCCTTCTAGGTGCATTAATTTGTTTTCCAATTTAAAGAATATCACTATATTACAAGCTGCTGAATAGCTTATTCGATTTTAAAGAAAATAGAGAAGAAATAAGATTCTAATTTTTATCAAATAGAGACAGCATTTCAGGTGAGAGCAAAGCTTTACACTAGAAACTTATTTCTCCAAGCTCTTAAAACACAAAATCAATTAATTTAGAAAAAGAAATTTTCGAAAAAGATTATGCTATATAAAATTCGATATAAACTTCCACTAATAAAAAATCAAAAATAAACATTCCATATGTAAGTAAAAATGGAATAAAACATAAAATGTAACTTGAAAGTGCTGAAATCACTATTTAACAACCTCCCCACTCTTATCTATTAAATACTTTAAGTGTTGAAGATTTTTAGGAAAAAAATTTAAGATAAAAATAACATTAGCAATAATTATAATAATCGATAAAAGAAAATTAATAAAGACTAAATGATTCTTTATCTATCAAATATTATATAGAACGAATTTTTGATTATTTATTTTAATCATCTCCAAAAATTTCATTTAATATTTTTAAAATGGTGAAGTCTTAAATTCAAAAATCTATGAATTTAGAAAAACCTTACTCTAAAATGATAAACTCAAGTATAGACAGACTACAAGAATAGCTTGATTTAAGCTATATCTTAAAAAAAATTTAAGATATAGAAAAGCTAAAATATTTATTACTGAATCAAAATCAAATTAAGCTTTTTGATAGCATTTCTAAACAGGCTTTCTATCTCTCAGACTTTAATAATAAAAGCAATAATGAACCAGGTTAAAATAATAATAACGACAAGGGAATTACAAGATGTGAGTCTTTAAACTAATAAGAATAAAATTAATTTAACCAGTAATTTTTCTTACAAGATAAGCCAAAGAATGAAAACTAAATTGGAAGATAGGCTTAAGATGCTTTTAAATAAATTTATCAAAATGGCTAATCTATTTCTATAATTGATAAAAAGCTTTTATAATTGTTAACCTCTGGAATAACTAACTTTGATAAAGAGGGAGACATAAATCAATCTATTAAAAACAATTATAACACCCATTAAACTTTTTTATTAGATCCTTAAATTATTGATACTAATTTAGAAATATAAAGATAAAATAATAATTTAAATAATGAGGTTAAATTTAGTCAAGTTATGTTTTTAAAATAATAAACATCATCTGAAAAAGATGTTTAAATTATTTAGCTGAGTAGTCCTCCCTAAAGCTATAAAATTCATTGAATAATTATTAAGCTTCAAGTCATTACTAAAAAAATAAAAATTTATATAATTTATCTTCCACTTACTCATAGTAAGTTTAGTTATTTACTAAAAATTTTATTTATTTATTTAATTATAAGTTATCAAATAAGAAATCAAAAATAAATTATTTATCACCTATAATTTTATTAAAGAGATTCGTCTTTATCTTTATTGTGTTTAAATTGTATTTTTGGAGATGAAGTTAAATACTCCATTAATACAAAGTAAAATATAATATTAAACCCTTACTTTTATATCAATTTCTTTTATATTTTCTTAGTCTTTGTATAAAGTATTGAATAAATAATTTATTTATTTAAAAATTTGTAAAATATTAATCATGCCAAATAAATAAACAGCTTAATTAAGGTTAAATATTTTATTTTGCTAGTTTCAAATTTAATAAATAAAATTAGCTATAAAAAATTTCTAAATAAAAAAAGAGGTAATTTAATATACTTATAATGTAATTCAGTAAATTTCATTGCTAATCTAATTCATACTGATATTTATGTAAATATACTGTAATCCCCTATAGTCTAGCAGGTTAGGATAGAAGGTTTTCACCCTTCAGACCCGGGTTCAAGTCCCGGTGGGGGAATTATTTTTATTTTTTTCAAAATTTAGTTTTTATTTAAAAAAACTATTTATTATCGAAATGTATGTTAAAACATATTTTATGAAAATTAACAACAATAATTATTTTTTATAAATTAATATGTACAAATTATATCAACAAAAATATTAAAGAAAGTATATTGATAATTAAATAAAGAGCTACATAGTTTTTATTTTATAAAGTTAAATTAATATTTAAAATATCATAAAAGTTTAATGGATTATTTAGTAAGTAATTCTATAAGTTCTAAAATTTAATAGATTTTAAAAATTAAAAGGATATAACATTGTTAATAATAAAGTAAGAATTTATTTCTAGCCAAAAAAATTAATGTATTATAAAATATTTAGAAACAAAAAATATTTATTTTTTTATCAATAAACAATTACAAATTATTAATAAAAATTTATAAAATATGCCGATTTTATATTAAAACTAAATAATCAAATTTAGGAATTTATTTCTAAAGTTATAGAAAATCAGAGAGTGGAAGGCTTTAATAGAGGGCAAGTTTCAGTGTATAAGTTGTAATTTAATGGAGAAAGCAAAGATCCTTCAAGGAAAGATATTTCTTCTTTAGGAGTTTTCCAGCAAATTTCTTTCCATTTAAATTGGGTAATTTTTTCTTTAATGTTCTTAATGTTGCACTTAATGTAAGAATAGAATGCACCGATTTTGTACTCAAAAGGTATGAGATGTGCATCTACACTTAATAAAGCTTATAAATTAGATCTGTCTAATTGCAACAAGAAGTCTAAATAAACATTAGCAACAGAACCTTTAGCAAATACACCACCTTCAGCTACCTTCCAAACTGAAATAGAACCTTCAACTCCGAGAGTAGGCTTAGCAAAAGGATGGAATTAAAGAGTGCAGAGACCTTACTCATCCTTAGAAGTATCAAAAGACCAGCCATAATAAAGTTCAATACTAGCGGTGATTGGAATATTTAATACACCACCTAACAAAGGATAGACAACCTAGAAAACAGTCTTTTTTAAAGTACCCTTATCGCTAGAGTTCTTGGCTTCGCAAGCATACCAAGGATGATCAACACGCTTGCCATAAACGTTGAAGACCTTTTAACCGTTTAGGTAGATAGCTGATTGAATTAAAGAGTAGTTTTCGTAATTCAAATATTCAATTGTTAAACCAAGGGTATTACCAACAATTTATTTACGGAAAACATCAAACTTTTTGTCAATCAAAGGAACTTCAGTACCTTCACCGAGTAATTAATTGTTTTCGCCTTGGTTATTCTTATTTTTGATTATCTTTAATTTACCACCAGTTTCTTCAAGATTTACTAATTCGAAAGAGTCGCTGTTGTCATAATTCTTAATTTCTTCTATCAAGGTTTGGTTATATCCAGTGCTGATTAATTAGAAGTTTGATTCAATTCTTGTGAAAGCTTGACCAATAAGCTCTTCGTATTCTGTAGAGTTATTAATTGGGATGGAGTTATCAGCTGAAAGTAAAAATTCATCATGAGAATGAGTAATGTTAAAAACCATAACTTCAGTGTTTTATTCAACCTTACCATCACGAACGAGGAAGTTAGATTCGAATGTAATATCAGGGATTTTTCCTCCTAAGTTGTAAGCGAAATTGACGAAACTTTCAGAATTGTAAGATTTGCTTAAAATGATATCTCCTTAAGGTAAAGAATTGAAAGTGTATTAGGGATTAATTTAACCAAGATATGTGTCTTCGATAATTTATTGGATGGATTCTTCTTAGCTAGAACGTAATAAACTATTAGAAGAAGAGCTGTTTTCAAAGTAAAGGGTAGAGTTTAATTAAGGGAAATATTATTCAATCAATCTCTCTGTTAAACGAATAGCAATTTGAGAGACATTGTTTCCTTTAGGTTATTCCAATTTCAACAGAGTACCATCAGTAGAAATAGTGGCTTTGAAAATGAGGGAAATTTCATTATTGAAAACTTCAGCAAAGGAGTCTTCATCGGGTATAAGATTTCCTTGGGGATTGAACTAAGAGAGAGATTAAAGGTCTCTGTAAACAATATGAGCAATAATTTTATTATCACCGTTATTGTATGCGACTATATCTTAGGTAGATGAGTAGACAGTGCATTATTCTTAAATAACTGGTTAGTGTTCAGCCTTTTGACTGGTGCAGACAGTCATGTTTCTTTGTGATGTGATGACAAGTTCATTAGATTTTTCGCTAAGATAGACCATATTGTTGATTACCAAGCTATTAGAATTTTCAGATTATGAAAACAAAGCAATTGTTCCAAGCATACCAACTATAACAATAGCTAAGAGAGCTACACGAGTTATAGTTCTCTTTCTGTTTTGATTTTATTACTCAGTATCAATAATGAAATAGTTATTCATTTTAGTGCTTCGTTTTTTTTTATTTTACAATTTTTAATTAAAAATATTATTATGAATAATTTAGAAAAGCTTATATCTATTTGTTGTTCAGATTTTTTTAATTATACCTATAACTCAATTTACTGTCTCAGATAATATTTAATTTTTAAAGAGTTTGAGTACGTGATGAGTAAATTAATAAATTTTTTGAATTAAAAAAGCCAGAAAAATTAAAAGCTCAAAGGCTAAATAAAATCGCTATTAAATCATTTGATAATTAATTAATTAGAAAAATTGTAAAATAAAATAAAAAAGTAATGATTCAATTATTTTCAAATTAATTAGACATATTACAGAGACTATTATAACTAATTTTAGATTAAATTTAGCTTTTATTCTAATAAATTGATACATAAATTCTAAATAAATTAATTATTTTAACAAAAATTTGTGTGAAATTGAAGAATCAAAAATAAAGCTAGGCTAATTTATTGAAAGTTAGTAATTAGATATTTTTGAGTTGATTCTTGACAATCTAATATATATTTATATTCACATGCATTCTCTAAAACAGTAAATAGTTTTTTATTTACAAATTTTTTTATTTATACAAAAAAATTTTTTAACAAATTTAAACTAAAATAAAAATTATTTATCTATTTCTAAAATATTTTTATTCTTCTTTTGATAAAAAATAAAAATATGTATGAAATTTTCGACTATATTCTCTAAAATAAATGAGATTTTTAGAAATATTAGAAATTTCTATTGATGATTATGATAGTTTTGTATTTAATTCAAAGTTATTTGGCTGGCTAATATGATGAAAGGCTCACAGATTGAAGCGATGAGCTGATAACTTGCATTTACTATATTTCGAATTATTTATCTTTAAGATTTTTGAGGAATTTTATTTTCAGCAATGTTTTTATTTTATGATGTTTTCCATCAGAGTAGTTTTGGTTACACTCGGGACTCTCTATCCGTTCTACCTAAATAATATTTAAAGCATATTGAATTAAATTGATTATATTAGTTAAGTATATATATTACCAATTTTTTTGTTAAGACAGAATCTTTATTGAATTTGATAACTAGCTATTTGATGAGAGTAATATTTATTAGCAGAGGTACATAAGAATAGTTGAAATAACTAATCTTATCAAGGACTTTTTGAATATGCTAGTAATTAACTTTGTCACTAAATTATAAACAAATTAAGCACTCTACATAGCCTATTTTAAATGAAAAATTAAAATATTAATTCAAATGCTGCTTAAAATTACATTTTTAGTGGTATAGTGAAGTAGCTAACATAGAGTTTATACTCTCTTTGGTAAATATTTCTTGGTTTTTATATTTCTGTAAGAAATTTTAATTCATCAAACTGATCAACATCCTAATTAATTTATTTTACAGTTAAAATAAATTTAATTTTAATATTTTTGAATGAATACCTTAATGATTTGGAAAAGTTTCCACTTAAATAATAATATCTTATTTTCTCAAGAGCATATTTTTTGTAACTTTTATATTAGTTTTGTTCCTTTTTACCCAGAAATAATAATTTGTTTTCTAAGGTTTGATCTTCTAGATCTACTCCTTTATTGTTATTAGAGCTTGTTTGTTCACTATTGTACTATTTAAGCATCTTTTTTTCTTACTTAAATATTTGGCTCAGCAAAAATTCAAAAGCCTCTTCTTCAAAGTTTTTTCTTTATAAAATATTTTGAGCATAAGAATAATTTTTTATTTAATAATTGCTTACACCGAAAACTGAGGCGCTAATGAATTAATCATTAAATACTCTTCAAAATCTTCAAATTTGAGAGAAAAGGTTGAAGTATAGTTAAAAAAATCATACTCAGTTTAGAGATAAACTTCTTCTTGTGCTAAGATTTATCCAATTTAATTAAGATTAAACTAATACTTATAAATTTGATGAGATGGACTGTTTGTCAATCTTTTTTTATTTTAAGTATGAAATGCCTTTTCAAGGAAATAACGTGTCCAATAAGTAAATATGACTGCTTTTATTAATTACAGACAAGTATAGTTATTAGTAATTTAAATAAACTAAGCTATTTAAGACTTTTTAGTCAAATTAAATTGGTATAAAATATTCCATAGCATAAAAACATTTTTGAGAATGTCATCGTTTTTAGGCTATTCGAAATTCAATGACAATTGAGAGGTATCTTTTTAATTTTTCTTATAAATAGCTGCTAATCTTAAATAGAAAATATTTTTCAGCATAATTAAAGTGTACACTGAATATATTTCTTAATAATTTTTTAGTCCTGCTATCCCCTCTTTTTTTTCATTTCTTTCTTTTATGTTTAAAAAATTTTGAAATTTTTAATAAATATAAAAAGAATTAATTTTTTACCATAGCCTTCTGGCTTACTTAAATTATCATAAATAACTCCTAAGTTAAGCTAATTTTATGAACAATAATTTTTGAGTATATTTTCTATACTCAGAATAACATATTGAATATTATCTTCGAATTTCTAAACTTTAGCTAGAGTCATGAAAAATGCAAAAATGCTACTTGGGATAGGTATTCCCTTTTGTTTTATAATATCTTCACATTATAGAATATAATTTTCAATAGTGTTTTATTGAGACCCTTCAGTTTAAATTTATATTGTAATTAAATTTAAGCTGAGATTAGTATCACTTGAAAATTCTCTATATAGTAGCTCATGAAACTCTTTTTAGTTTTTTAGATCAATATTATTCTGATGGTTTAAATTTTACTGGAGAAGACTGTCAGCAATTTTCACTTATTCGTTCTCTACAAGTGCAGTAAATGAGTTATAAAAATCCTATTCAATTAAGCGATATTCTTCTTCATTCTAGCTTCTAAGTCTACTATACTATAGATTATTCTATTCTTCAATATCTTGACTCATTATTTTACAAATACTATTTTTCCTAGAGTTTCTTATAAATTCACCTGCTTCTTCTTAAAATGATTCTTTTCTTGAGTGTATTTCTATATCAGCTTCTGTTTCTTATTACAAATCATCATTATTAATAATCCCGCTTTCTTATTAACTTAATTTCTATCTAATTTTTTATAAACTAGATTTTCCTTGCTTTGCTCCTTCATCATCTCCTTCTTCTAAAATATCTTATGGTTATTATATTTATTCATCTGATATATTATCCTCCTATTCCATTTACTATTTTTTCAAAACATTCTCTTATTTAACTTATTAACAAATATCTTTGATGCCTTCATAAATATCTTTCTTAAAAAAGGAAGTAATTTCATGATTGTATGAAACTTATTCTTCTTCTTACATAGCTTCATTTGTATCTTAATCAAGTAGTTATAACTCAATTTTGTTTACATAGTACTCAGCCTGTTCATAATTTTCTTAGACAAAATAATAGTAGCAAATAGCATAGAGTGATTCAAGGATTCCTTACTTGCTTAGCACCTTAAAAAGAAACAAAATTAAATAAAAATAAATTAATTTTAAATTAAATTACCTAAGATTCATTTTGAATTATATTGCTTAACTAGCTAACGTTTTCTTCATTATTTTCTTCTTGGGTAGTTTTATGTGAGCTTAGTTAACCCTCTAGATTAAAATGAATAAAATATACTAACTTTTAGCAAAGAATCTATTTTCTAATATTATTTTTAAAATAAAATCTTGATATAATTAAAATGTTAAATTTTTACTCTCTTGCTTAATCATTTTTAGACTTTGCATATAAAATTAATGAATCAAAATAAAGTTCATCAAAGTCTCTTATTTTTTCATTTTCCAAATATTTTCTTATATTTAATGTATGTTAGTAAGAAATCTAGTAATAAAATTAAAATATGTTTTATTTAATTATCAGTTTAACTTTTTAAAAAATAAATTTTTACGATCACTAAAAAATGCAGCAGTCTTTTTAGTTTTTTTTATTTTTCCACCAAAGGAACCAGTTTTAAAGAATTAAAAGTATTATGAGTATTCTAATCATTATTCTAAAATGAATAATCGCTCAATACATTCTACTAACTTTGTTATTATTGCTGTTTATAAATGGAATCTTCTCTAAGATAAAATTAGTTGAACTAATGCAGATAGCATAGAAAAATTTGATCGATTTTATCATATTCCCTTTCTTCTTTCAGTAGCTAAATCTTTTAAAAATGAATATTAATTGACTAAAAACTACAAAAATCGTGCTTATTTTGAATTTATATATTTTTAAACAAATTTTTAATAGTATGTAAAAATATAAATTATTTTAAAAGCCATACATAATGGGTGAGTAATGCAGGCTTTAAAGAAAACTCATGATATGTATAATAATCATATTTCTCGATAAGAGAGAGTCTCTATTATCTTTAATCTTCAATTTCCATAATTATTAATATATATTTTATATATATAAATTCGCGCACTAGCAAACTTATAATTAATTAATTAATGATTTGTAAATTAAAAAGATATTTTTTTAAACTTACTGATAGATGTAAAAATTATAAAATAATCATTTTTTGTAAATTAAAATGTTATCATCAAACTACAAAATATTTTTATTATAGTACAATAAAATAAAATAAATAATTTTTATCCTGAAAATAACAAAATAATTTTTATTCTGAAAACAACAAAATAAAAAACTTGACTATTTGCAAATTTAAACAAATAATGATTTTGTTTCTAATAAATAAAATAAGAATAAAAAATTTTTGTTAAGAAATAATTATACTTATTTCATTTTATTAAAAAAATATAAATAAAATATTATCATCAAATCACAGAGTATTAAAACTTATTAAAATAAAAATGAAGAAATCAAAAATTTTTCTGAAAATAAAAATAATTAATTTGAATATTGTGTATTAACAAGAATAAATCAAAAATTATTTTAGGTAATAAAAATAAAATAAAAAAAATAAATATTTTTTTTGCTATTTAAGTCATTTTATTACATTGTTTCTTATATATTAACACTCATAGAAAAATAAATTTACTAAAAATTTTAGAGAGAAAATAATATCAAAAAAAAAAAATTTTCTATTAATTAGGTCTTAATTAAGGAAGATTTACTATTTATAATAAATTAAGATAAAACAAAGAATAATTTTTTCTCCAAAAATGATATGCTTATTTTCTTATTTTGATTCATCAATTTATTAAAATTGAATATTTAGAAATATTTCAAAATTTTTTAAAGCAGGTATTATAAAATTAGTTTCTCTATTTATTTCATATTAAAGATTTATAAAAAATGAATTTTTACTATCAAATTTAGAAATTATTTGCATTTGCAAGATTATTGTTATTATTGGTGTTAATACTATTACTGATTTAACCACTTATGCTATTTTAATCAAAATCTTCTATTTTATGATGTTTATAATATTTGTACAAAATTCTTTAACAGTTAGCAAAATAATCACTCTTTTATACGTTTGATTTCATCACCTCTTTATCTATAGAGCAAATTTTATGGAAATCATAACGACTTAGGAACAAACATTTTGCAGACTAAGAAGAACAAACTATTTAGCCAAACCTAGATATGCTTAGAGAAGGGAAAAGTAGGTTTTCTCCTACAAAGTTATATGGACGTAACACGTAATGCTACCAGTCATTGTATGCTTTTAATTCTAAATTACCTTCCTAAACCAAGAAAAATCCTTAAATTTAGAGTTAAGTGTGAGGTAAAATATCTATTTTGTTAAAAATTCTATTTTTTAAATTTTTTAAAGCTTTTGGGTCCTCTTTAAATAACTCTATATAGTGATATTTATGAACAGATTCTCCGTCGTTAAAAACTATGTCTTTGTTTTAAAATATCTTTTCTTTTAATAACTCAAATGCTAGCCTATATAAAGTAAGCTAAGAAACTCTCTCAAATATATCTATTTACTTTATAAAATTGAGAATCTACTTGTGATGGATATCATTTTACAGGTTCCAAAGATCTATAAAATCGCTTTCATTTATTGCTACGTACTCTACACGAGTTAAACTCAAAAACCAAATATCTGGATGAAAGCTTATTTTATTATCCTTATCGTTACAGCCTATTATATCTCCTTCTGAGTAGTAAGCGACAATGTCTGGCTCATTAAACTATTTAGAGTGATCGAAAACTGTAAGGTGACCACCTGTTATGATATAAACCTCTCCCTTTTATGCAAATAATAGCTCTGATTTTTCTATATAGCGTAACTCAAATTATGGAAGGAAATTAACAATAGTTTGACTAGGGAATCTTTTAAAAAAAGATAGTTCAGATAGTTTTTTAACCAATTCATCTTTTCTACGCTCGAGTAATTATAACTTTAGTCCTACTCCTGGTTGAATCAAAGGAGGATATGTTGCAACTCTTTTATCTTTTTCAAATCCAGAAGGTACTTTTCCAATATGAATGGGTGGAGCCCATCCATTTTAAATGGCTGATTGTTCATTTTTAATAATTGGTTCAAGTGCAGGCTCATAAGTTTCAGCAGCCAAAATTTATTTAACTAAAGAGAAAAACTCACAAAAAATATGAGGAGGAAATTTAATTTCCATTTTTCGAACTTTCTTAAAAACAACTGCAAACATAAAGTGTTTTAAGAGCATAAAATTTTTTGGGCAAGTATACTTAATAAATGCTTTGTAATCTTCTGATGCTCTTTTGTAGTATTATTAGAAAGAAGGTTATATTTAAATTTATAATTCTCTCTTTTGCTATTTATCATCTTCTATTGCCAGTTGAGCTTTATCATTTTATTTTTCAGGAGATTTTTAATCTCTATTAACTTAACTTGAAAAAATATCCTTCTTTTTATTTGTTTGTTTTTGTGGGGAAGTATTCTTATCCTCTAGGCTAACAATAGATTTAGCCAGCTTATCTTCCTATTTAATATTGTCAAAAGCCTTTTATCCTAGTTTCTTACCACATAATGATCTTAAGTATAAGTGGGTTTGAGGAATGCTTTCTTCTTCCTCTAAATTCTTCGCTAATTCTTCAATCAGAGAATCTATTTTCCTTTTTTAATTAAATTAAATTAATCAATTGAAATTTGTTAATAATTTACTTGTAGGCTTCTTCAAATCTCTAAGTTTTGTAATAAATGATTGCAAAACCATAATTAATATCATTTTTATTTTTTTTAAACATATTTGCTATTTCTAACCAGCTTTCTGCACATTTGAATTTTTTATTTCTTTCGTAAATGCATGCTAAGTTATAAATTGTTGGAAAATGAGCCTTGTCAAAATTCAAGGCTTGCTTGAAAGCTGTTATGGCGCTTCTGTCTTTATTCTTTTTCATTCTACCTACTCCTTTTAGAAAAGAAGCTTGAGCACTATCCTGCTAGCTTTTAGATTTGCTTATTTCTAAGATCTCATTCAAGTGCTAATTAAAATTTTATTCAAAGCAGCTGGAATCATCTTACTTGTCATTTTAAAGAGCTAACCTATCATTTCCATTATTTTTTTATTCTATCTCGCTTGGAAGTTTCTCTTCTTTTTCAGCTAGAAGCTTTTCTACCTTTTCTATAACTTTTTTTATGACATCCTTATCAACTGACTCTTCTTTTACATTTTTTTTATTTAAATTTTGTCTAAAAGAAGGAATCTTTTATGTAATTTAATCCTTATTTTAGTTATTGTCGTTTTGGTTTTGTTGTTAAATTGTAAAAGGATTTTGGGCATTATCTTAACCAATTCTTTGATTATTCTAATTTTATGCAAATTAAAGATTTATTTCAAATGGATTGGTAGTTATATTCTTTTACCCACATATTTGTATATAAGAGTTCTTGAACTATTCTTTTCCAGTAGTAAAGGGATTAGGCTTATTTAGATTGCTTTCAAAATAATTTTACTAATTAGGAGAAGCTGCTGATTTTTACTTCAAATTATTAAACATATGATTATTTTCTTAATTTTATTCGTATTCTCTGCTAAAACTTTAGTATCTTTATATTGAATTACCTTCATGTGTTTTATTAAGCGACAAATTAAAGTGCCTTTTCATAACACTTGAGGGTCTACTATTATTTAAGCTCATTTTTTAGGGACTTTAAACTTATGTGTATAAATTGGAGCGATTATAAGCCTATGCTGATTAACCTCTCAATTATAAAAGATTATTATTCATGAAAATTTGCTAGTGGCGATTTGCATTAGATTTAAAAGAAGGTCTTAATGAAGAATTAACAGATCCATGATACCTGAATCTATTTTGTAAGTCTTTTATAACTTAAATTTACTTTTTATCATATTTGTTGAAATTTATATCTTTATCTGGATCATACATATGCATTTAAGAAGATTCATTTATATCCATATTATGTTACTTTGATTCACTTTCATATCTTTTGTTAGCGCTACTGCTTATTTAAGTGTGTTGCTTTTATTTCAAATAAGTATTTGGTGTTCCATACTTCTCTACATTACCTGCATTCAAATAAGAGTTTATCTTTGCACTATAGTTATGCAAATTATCATGAGGTTCACCATAAGGATTTTGAAATGAGCTTAAATTATTGCTAATATTATTATTAGCATTATTTAATGGAGTTAAATTACCTATTTTTTTTTCTCTTACTCTTATAGATGTTCCTGATATTTTTTTTGGACTTAAATTATTGTAATTAAATGTTAGGTTTAAATCATTTTGCTTTAAATCAGAAGATAACCCTTGGACTTAAGATTAGTTTTATAGAGAATAAAGTCTATTTTAAGATATTTTTTCATCCTACGAAGAAAAGTATAATCTTTTACAGTTAGGATCCCCATTTTTAACTTTTTACCTATATCTTCTTTTTAATTAACTGAGTAAAGAAGCTGGGGCAGAAAATTTTTTGTAAGGGTCTAAGTAACTTGAAATAGGACGGTTGGCACTTTAGGCAATCCAGTCATCTAATTCCTCTTCTGTAATACCTTCTATATTTACATCATACTTTATTCCATCATCTGTTCTAATTGCCTGATTTGAATCTATATAACCACCTTAAACTGCCATATTTGGCTGTTAATTAAATGCCCACTGTTTATTCAAATCATGTATCAAAAGAGGTGTGTCATCTAATTCGTATTTTTACATATTATGCAATGAGTGTTTCAAATTATTTTTTGCATTTGAATCTTTGTTTTAATCCTGCTAAGGAGTTGTATCGCCCATAGTTGAAAAATTAAATCTTTATAAATATGCTATAATTAAATAAATATTATGTTGTAGCAGTTTTAGTGATTATTAAAGCAATTTTGCTTTTTCTTACTAAAGAAATCTCAAATGCAAAAATATAAAAATAATAGTCGCTTATTTGCCATTAAATAAATAATTAAAAAATATATTCTTAAAAATGATATTAGGTAAGCTTTAGTTATTCTTTTAGCAAATAAAATTATGATTAAATTATAAACATACTTAATTTTAAGCCTATAAAATAGAACAAAATAATAAAAAGTATATCATTTTTACAATGATTTAAATATTAAAAAACAAAAATAATTTAGTTGATAGCTTTTAACGTTTTTTTTTTATGTGTTTAATTTTATCAAAGATAATATATTATTTTTTAAATGAAATAAAATAATTGGTCTTAATTGGAAATTATATATTAATTTAGATATAAAATTAAAAAAGAATATAATAAAAAAAAAACAAACCAAAATCATATAAAAATAATAGATTAAAATATTTCAAAGAATATTGTTTTTGCAAAGAAAATAATGATAAAATTATAAAGATACTTAATTTTAAGCCAATATATTTAAAATAGAACAAAATAATAAAAATAAGATCATTTTTACAATAATTTAAATATAAAAAAACAAAAATAATTTAGTTTTAAGCTTTTAACATTTTTTTTTCTTTCTGTGTTTTATTAAAACTAATTTTTAATTTATAAAATGAAATAAAATAATTAGTGTTTATTGTAAATTGTGAAATTATATAAGTTTAAGATCTAAAATAAACAAACAATATAAAAAGATATAGAAAAAGAAAAAAAGAAAACTAATGTCAACTATTGAAAATAATGGATTTAAATTTTTCAAAGAAGTTAACATTTTAAAAAATTATAAATGTTTTTAAAAAAATATATTTATAAATAAATCAATAGATTTATTACTGATTTTGTTTTTTATGCTCTTTAATTAAATATCAATGTACATCTACTTATTTTTCAATTATATTTAAGATTTATTTACTTTTATAAGTATTGGCCAATCAATAAATTCTATCAGATTTTTTAATTTTTTTATCTGATTTGGATATTTTGTTATTTGTTTTTATATTCTAAAAAAAATTATCACTAATAAATAATGTCTAGTATTGTTTCAATTGCAATAGGATAATGTGGTATTTCAATATAAGAAAAACAATGGATAACTCTGCTTTAAGAGTATGGGATTGATGAATACGGAATAATCAATAAATTGGAAAATGATAAAAAATTAGACTCATATTTTTATGAAGTAAAAGAAAACGTTTACAAGCCTAGAGCTCTTTTTACAGATTTAGATGATCATCGTATTAATTCCTTGCAGAATGCTGGTCTAAAATAACTATTTTAAGGAGTACCTACAGTTTATTCAATTGATGGTAGTCATAATCTGTTTGCAAGGGGAATGTATTCAGTAGGAAGTTAATTAAAAGATGAAATTTAAAACTAAATTACATATTTATTAGAATAATGTGACAGTGTAGACTCTATCTAAATTTAAAACTCATTATGTGGAGGAACAGGTTCTGGGTTAGGTAGTTTAATATGTGATATACTATATGAGGTTGCTCCATAATACATAACTAACAATCTTGTGTAATATCCAGATTTAAGCACATCAAGCTAAATGATACTAGAAAATTATAATACTATCCTTGGTTAAAGTAGATAAGATGCTTTAACATTAACGTTACCCTTTTGCAACTAAAATTTATAGTTTTTGAATGATGGCTCATATAAAATTTAAAAATAAAAAGGATTTGACAATATAAATAATGTTATATCACAAATTCACCCACTCATCACTAGTGGATCGAGATATCATGGCTCAATTAATGCAAGCACTAGAAAAATATGTACAAATATAATACCTTTTCCAAGATTAAAACATATGAGTATGATCTGCTTACCTCTTAATTATTACAAATAAAAATAGTAAACATAATTAGATTATATAGAAATGATACATGATAGTGTTAATTAAGAATATTCTTTTTTCAGTAAGGATACATTTAAAATATTGTGTTCTCATCATATGATACGGGGAGCTGATATTCATTAAGAAGAAATAGAATCAGAGTATAATAAATTATACAGATCAAATAATATTATTGCAACTGATTGGATACCAAATTCTTGCTCAATTTCTTATTGCAATGTTCGATGTCAATACAATTCAAAATTAATTTTTTCTATAATTTCAAATTAGAATATAGCTCGGTACTTTGAAAAATACACTTAATAATATTCATAACTATTTAGAAGAAAGGCATATTTGCATTACTATCTATAAGAAGGTATGGATGAAATGGAGTTTACAGAAGCAGAATCAAATTCTAATGATTTAATATCTGAATATTAACCATGTGGATACTATGGTGAATATGAAGATTAAGATGAAGATGGGTATTATGATGATGATTAATAAATGTTAAGTTATTTTGATTGATTGTAATAATATTTAGTTAATTACATTTTGAAAAACTCATATTTATAAATAACTACATATTATGCAATGAGTGTTTCAAATTATTTTTTGCATTTGAATCTTTGTTTTAATCATGCTAAGGAGTTATATCGCCCATAGTTGAAAAATTAAATCTTTATAAATATGTTATAAATAAGTATTATGTTGTATTAGTTTTAGAGATTATTAAAGCAATTTTGCTTTTTCTTACTAAAGAAATCTCAAATGCAAAAATATAAAAATAATAGTCGCTTATTTTCCATTAAATAAATAACTAAAAAAATATATTCTTAAAAAAGATATTAGGTAAGCTTTAGTTATTCTTTTAGAGAAGAAAATTATGATAAAATTAAAAACTTACTTCATTTTAAACCAATAATTTTTAAGAAAGAACAAAATAATAAAAAATATAACATTTTTACAAAATTTTAAATATAAAAAAAACAAAAATAATTTAGTTTAAAGCTTTTAACATTTTTTTTTGTGTTTAACTTTATCAAAAATAACTTTTAATTTATAAAATGAAATAAAATAATTAATATTTATTGTAAGTTATGAGATTTAATATGTTTTAGATCTAATATATAAAAAAATATAAAAGAAATTTGAAAAAAAGCAATTAAAATCCACTATGAAAATAATGGTTTTAAATATTTCAAAGTATTTTCTTTTAGCAAAGAAAATAATGTTAAAATTGTAAAAATATTTAATTTTAAGTCAATAACTTTAAAATAGAACAAAATAATAAACAGTATAAAAAATATACAAAAATTTAAATATAAAAAAATAAAAATAATTTAGTTTAAGCTTTTAATTTTTTTTCTTCTGTGTTTAATCAAATAATATTTAATTTATTAAATGAAATAAAATAATTAATGTTTATTGCAAATTGTGAGATTAAATAAGTAGATCTAAAATAAGCAAACAATATAAAAGAATATAGAAAAAAAGTAAAAAAAAACTAAAATCTACTATGAAAATAATGGATTAAAATATTTCAAAGAATATAGATAGCATTTTAACATATTAAAATTTTTTTTTTAAATATTAATAAATAAATAAATAGATTTATTACTAATTTTGTTTTTTATGTTCTTTAATTCAACATTACTTATTATCCAATTATATTTAAGATTTATTTTATTTTTCTAAATATTGACCAATCAATAAATTCTATCAGGATTTTTAATTTTTTATCTGATTTGGATATTTTGTTTTTTGTTTTTATATTCTAAAAAAAATTATCATTAATAAATAATGTCTAGTATTGTTTCAATTGCAATAGGATAATGTGGTATTTCAATATAAGAAAAACAATGGATAACTCTGCTTTAAGAGTATGGGATTGATGAATGCGGAATAATCAATAAATTGGAAAATGATAAAAAATTAGACTCATATTTTTATGAAGTAAAAGAAAACGTTTACAAGCCTAGAGCTCTTTTTACAGATTTAGATGATCATCGTATTAATTCCTTGCAGAGTGCTAGTCTAAAATAACTATTTTAAGGAGTACCGACAGTTTATTCAATTGATGGTAGTCATAATCTGTTTGCAAGGGGAATGTATTCAGTAGGAAGTGAATTAAAAGATGAAATTTAAAACTAAATTACATATTTATTAGAATAATGTGACAGTGTAGACTCTATCTAAATTTAAAACTCGCTATACGGAGGGACAGGTTCTGGATTAGGTGGTTTAATATATGATATACTAAATGAGGTTGCTCCATAATACATAACTAACAATCTTGTGTAATATCCAGATTTAAGTACATAAAGCTAAATGACACTAGAAATTTATAATAATATTCTGGGTTAAAATAAATAAGCTCATTTAACATTAATTTTACCCTTTTGTAACTAAAATATATAGTTTTTGAATGATGGCTCATATAAAATTTAAAAATAAAAAGGATTTGACAATATAAATAATGTTATATCACAAATTCACCCACTCATCACTAGTGGATCGAGATATCATGGCTCAATTAATGCAAGCACTAGAAAAATATGTACAAATATAATACCTTTTCCAAGATTAAAACATATGAGTATGATCTGCTTACCTCTTAATTATTACAAATAAAAATAGTAAACATAATTAGATTATATAGAAATGATACATGATAGTGTTAATTAAGAATATTCTTTTTTCAGTAAGGATACATTTAGAATACTGTGTTCTCATCATATGATACGGGGAGTTGATATTCATTAAGAAGAAATAGAATCAGAGTATAATAAATTATACAGATCAAATAATATTTTTGCAACAAATTGGATACCAAATTCTTGCTCAATTTCTTATTGCAATGTTCCATGTCAATACAATTCAAAATTAATTTTTTCTATAATTTCAAATTACAATATATGTAGGCACTTTGAAAAATACACTTAATAATATTCATAACTATTTAGAAGAAAGGCATATTTGCATTACTATCTATAAGAAGGTATGGATGAAATGGAGTTTACAGAAGCAGAATCAAATATTAATGATGTAATTTGTGATTATTAGGCATCTGGATATTATGAAAATGTTGTTGAAGAAGATAATCATGATGATGATGATCAATATATGTTAAATTATTTTGATTGATTGTTATAATATTGAATTACTAATTTATTTTGCAAACTAACAAATTTTAAATTTTGGAGAAGAGGGTAATAAAAAAAGTAAACTTTATCTAGCTGTTTCTGCAAACCATTATAGCCTTATCATAATTCTATGGGATATAAAATTTGGCATATATTTTACACCCTCGTTCATTGATAAATATAAATTATCTAGTAAATTTTTAAGAATTGAGCTTATATTTTAAACAAGCCAAACACAACAGCAAAAAAGATCACTGAAATTTTAAAATGAAAATTTCATCTTAATCCAGTAATATATTTTTAAAAGTATAAGCCAAAAACTGTAATTAAATGTAACTCTAAATTAACTAACTCTCTAATCATATATAACATAAATTTAATCTAGTAAGTTGTGTATAATATTAGTAAATTTAATAATTATAATTTATATCAGTCTTCTAATTTTACTCCGAAATCATCACATATCTCCTGAATTCTTTTACCCTTTAGGACTGCTATTCTTTCAAATACAGTTGATATGACTTCCTAATTGATAAATTTACATGTTTTTAAAAATATATTTTTATATTTACTAATTATATATTACCTTCATTTCATTCCATTATTGTATTTTCTTAAGTCTATCAGAAGTGGGGTTGGCATTTTATTTTTTATCTAATAATGCTTGTTTTCTCAAGTTTAATTCTTTTTAATAACTTAGGAGCTGATCATCTGTCATAGATTCATACTTTTTACGATCACCTGCGTTTTCTATTTTCAATTCTTACTTTTCAACAGTATTTTCCTTTTATTCTTCTGTATGCTCAGGTTCTACTTATTTAGGCTTAGGAGGTGGTATTATCATTTCTACATAATAATAATCGATTCTAGCACTATTGCATTTAGCATATTTTGGTAAAAACAATTCTACAATTCCTCTATTTTTAATATTATTATTTTAATTTATTTTTTAATTGAAAAATATATAAATACATTTTTTCTTCTGATTTGAAATCATGCAAAGCAGTATGAATTTACTCATCTGTCAAATTTTAAAATTAATCTTTAATAATTAGAAAACTAGTTGGTTAATCTAATTTATTTAGATATTCATATAACGGTTTTAGAGATTCATCCTCTATCTCTATGTCATCAGATTTAATAACTCTTTCAGATTCAGCTATGAAAAGCTTAGGTTCTTTAAAGCCAATACTTGCTGCATTGATAGTTATTTAATCAATTTATGGTTCTTGAGGAGGTTCAATTTTTGAAGATCCAAAACTAGTTGTTAATCCTTTTGTAGGAGTTGTTATCATCTTAGGTGCACTGAAGTTATTTTTAGGTTATATATAAGTTGTTTTTTTATTTATAGATGATCCAAAACCGAATAAACTATTGTTTGATTTAGATGAGAGTGTACCACTTCCTATTTTTGATTTTTAATTTGAATTTGAAATTTTAGATGATAAATTTTTCAAGTCAGAAATATCATTTTCATCATCACTTTCTTCTTCACTTTCAGATCCAGACTCTTCTTCACTTGATTCATTATCTTCTTCACTTTCTTCATCCTCTGAGCTATCAGCTTTTTTATTTCTGCTTTTTTCTAGTGGTTTCTTAGCCTTTTCATTATCTTCTTTTGATGTACTCTACTTTGTATCTTTTGATTACTTTTACACTTAAGATTATTCTTTGGTTATTTTATTTACTGGCTAAGTCTAAACATTATTTGAAATAGAGGTTAATTGCTATATGTTTGGGTTTACAGTAATATTTGAGTTTGTAACTTTAGCTAAAATATTAGTAACTTGCTATAAGTGATTAGGAATATGAATAACTGAATTTTAAATAAAAGTTACTTAGTTTTACAATTAATTTATTTGTTATTAGATATTTGCTGAAGTTTAAAACTATTCTGGTTATTACTCAATAGTTGTATTATTGTTAAGAGACATATTAATCATACTCTAGGGAATTATCATATTTTAAAACACAGAAGCTAATTACTAGAAAATGCTTGCTATTGTCTAAGGTGCTTCGCTTATACTTTTTTTAGGAGGATTATTATTTTCTTCTGAGCATTCATTCTAAGTAGCTATATATTAAATTTAACCATTGTTTGGCTATTTAGCTTATAGAGGTTCTTCTTTTTGTTAATTATTTTATTATTTACCTTCTTATTCTATTGATTATTCTTTTTCATTAGTTTACTTATCAGTGCTCTATTAGTATTCAATCTCCATTTTTTTACTTTCATTTTCTTTGACTTATAAATTATTAATTTCGCTTTAATGCTCTTGTGAATTTATTCCTTTATCTTATTCAATACTTTGCTTTAGAAAAATTTAGTTATTAAAATTATTTTCTAATTCATTTTTTTATTCTTCATTTTAATTTTTTTATTATGTTTCGTTTTAATTATTTTACTATATTTCGTTTTCATCTATCATTTATAATCCTTCCTATCTTGCTTCTTTCTCGTGCTTTTATAATAATTCGGAATTTGATTCTTAATCTTGCTACATATCTTGATTCTGATTTAACAACTAATAATTTTCTTTAGTTAAATCTTATTCTATGATATCTTAATTCGTTATCAGATTTTACTTATCTTCTTGGATTGTATTTTAAATCTCTTGTTGGTTTTTATTTTCAAAAGTTTCAAATTCACTATTTTATTATTGCTCTTATGATAAATTTTGCTATTTGTGTTGAGTTTCTTTTATTTCTAGTTAATCAACTTAATCTTATTGATTTACTATTTTATTATTTTATTCAATTTATTAAAAACTTTCTTCAATTTGCTCATTATTTTCTTGCTTTTTATTTTCATTTTCTTGCTCAATTTATTATTTTTAAGGAGATTCTTTTTCCATAAAAAATTATTTTTATTCTCCTTAACTTAATTCTTCTGATTATTTTTGTCTTTATTAAGAATGATAGGTATTTGCTATGTTTTTAAGTAGAATCATTTCATCTTCGTCATCGTCTTCTTCTTCTTCATCCTGATTTTCTTTAATAATTTGGTTTTATTCTATTAATAAATTATTTTATTAGCCAATCAACTTATCTTCTAACAATAAATCTTATTTTTCATTTTCAAAAACAGGAAGTTCAAGTAAATTAGATGATTCATGGTCATTATCATTATTTACAGCATTATCTTCTTCACCGATATTATATGTTTTTTTTAAAAAGTTTTAGTTTTCCTTTTCTTCATACTCAGCAAGCTAGCTTTACTGCTATTGATTTGAAGAATCTTAGTAGGAAAATATGTTCTACTAATTTTTGCTTTAGATATTTAAATTATTCATATCAAATTCTTGCTCGAAGTTAGATGTAAATTGATTTTATGAAGAAAAATTATTTAGCTGTTAAGAATTAACCTTTAATTAATCTTCTAAACTTCCTTAACTTGCTGCAAGCTGCTCATCTTTTTTAGCTGACAATTTTTTGAATTCTTACTAAAGTTAATTTCTTTAGAAGATATTCAATCCACTAAAATCCCCTTCTTGTTGAAGGTTTTCTTCATTATAAAATATATTTTATGATTTATTTTAGTTGGAGTATGAGAATGAATTGTTAAGATTCTCATTTTTTTAGCTTAAAGTATTTTTGCATTCAGATTCATCAATTTATTCTAATATATCCTCTCTAAAAGAAACAATTTCTCCTTCGTGATTTAGGTTCTCTAATTTAAATTGGTTACATGATAATTAAAATATTGATTAGGTAGATTAAGCATTAAATTTACCTTAGTCATCATTTTATTCAATTCCTTACTAATAATTTTGACTTTAAATATTATTTTATTGGCTGTTTTTGATCTAATTTTAAGAATTAGTCTGCTAATTTGCTACATTTTAACCTTTTTTGAGTTACTCAATAAATTGCACTTCAGATAAATCATCTTCGTCTTCTACCTAATTATTTACATTTATCTCAATCAGATCATCATCGAAAGCGAAATCTTAGGATTCGCTAGCATCTTGACTGATTTTGCTCATATCAATAAAAAAACTTGTGTTGATTTTTCTTAAAAATATCCTCTATAAAATACAATATTTTTCAATAATATTAAGTATATAAAAATTAATAATTAGCTTTATAAAAGGAATTATATTGGTTTTTATATTTTATATCATTTCTAAATCTTTAAGAAATTGCGCTAATCAGATATATTTCATCAGATTCTACAAAAAAGTTATAAAAGAGCGGTTAACAAAAAGAAATTATAAGGAGCAGCTAATACTATACTTTTTTGATAAGCTCATTTTTTTTTTTAATTTTTTTAAATTGTTAAATTAGATTTAAAAGTTTTAACATATTTGAGAAATAAAAATATAGTTTTTATTAATCAAATTAAGAAAGTTTATTTATTTTATGAGAGATCATAAAAAATTTTTGGCTTATTTCTGTCAGAAAAAAATATTTGCTATCATATTTCAATTTAATATTTACAAAAAAAATTATTTTTGAATAAAAACACTTCCTTAAAAAAATAGATTTAGAGATTAAAATTTAATTATTTTGAGTATAATTTCTTTAAGAATTCTGCTTGAATAATTAAAATTATTTTTTTGAATATAAAACCTGTTTGAAGAATAACATTATGTGTAAAAAATACTGAATTTATATCTGAATATTTATAAATGAAAGACTTATAACATTGATTTTTAATAGATATAATTAAAAAATAAAAGTTTTATTCATGATTTTATTTTTAATCAATTTTAGAATTTTGATAAATAAGTTTTCAAGGTTTCGTATAAGTAATCTACTTCTTTTTCTCTAGTATAGAAATGAGTAATAACTCTATAAACTCCTTCAGAAGATGCACCACCAAACTTGATCTTATGTTCAAGTAAATATTATACCAGATCATTAGATTTTATTTCAGGGTTTTTAATTGAAAAGAAGATCATATTTATCTGAATATTAGAATCATCAATTTCAACAAATGGTAAAGTCTTTAAGTTCTTTGCCAAACGAATTATTACTTCTAAGTCTTTTCCTAAATGTTTTGTTTACTCTTTTAAAGCAAGTAAACCAGGAGCAGCTAAAACTCCAACTTGTCTCAATCCACCACCTTTTTACATAAATATTTTTGTTTGAATATCAATTTTAGAATTTTAAGAATATAAATATACCCATCATTTTTCTTGAATAAGTTGCCTTTTGGATAAATTCTTTGGTTCCAACTATCAAAGATCCTACTGGTGCACACAATCCTTTTGATAGACACAACATTACACTATCGCAATACTTAGCTATCTCTTTTGCTTCTACTTTAAGATAAGTAGCAGCATTGAAAATTCTAGCACCATCCATATGAACTTTGATGTTATACTTTTAAGCAACTTCGTAGATTTCTTTTAGAGTTTCAAGAGGATATACTTTACCTTAGGAGGTTGGTTACTCAACTGAAATGAGACCTGTTTTTGGATAAACAATCCAATCTGTTTTTCTGATTAGGCTTTCGACCTATTTAGCTGTCAGTAATCCTCCTGTTTAGGAAGTATCAATACATCTAAGCTAAGCATTTGATATAATTGAAGCAGCTCCAGCTTCATACTATACTATATGGCATTCATTAGCTAATATTATCTCATTACCCTTTTACACATGTGTAAAAATAGAGCATTAGTTACCAAAGCATCCTGATGGAACAAATAAAGCAGCTTCCTTACCTAATAACTATGCAGCATATTCTTGCAATTCAATTACAGTTGGATCATCACCAAAAACATCATCTCCAACGATTGCATTAGCCATAGCTTAGCGCATTTCAGGAGTAGGCTTAGTAACTGTATCACTTCTAAAGTCAATAAAATCTTCCATTTATTTTTTTAAAGTTAAAATTTTGGCTTTTTAATTTGTAATTTTATTTTATTTTTAATATCTTTTTTTGATAAATCTTTTGTAAGTTTTTGAATAGATACTAAAAGTGAATCTAGTATCCAAAGAATATTATTATAACCACATTTTAATATTCAGTAGCATATCTTAAAAATCACATAAGAACTTTTTAATTATTATTTTTATGGATTTGCATAAATTTTAGATTATAGATTTATTTCTTTTATTATTTAATTTGCTCAATAAGAGTTAACAATTGTTTTAAGAGGAATTTTTTAAGATATAGTAACATTATAAATTAGTTAATTACTGATTGTAAGTAAATACATTAATTTTAGATCATTACAACTAGCACTTTTCAAATCATTAAAACAAAACACTATGAACTTATTTATGTTTAAATCAATTTAGCTTATAACCTTAAATATGCTGAACAATTTATTTACTGATTTAAACAATTGATACTATATTCAGGTTCTAAAAGTGAATTAATTAAAGAAAGATCAGTAAAGTTCTACTTATATTGAAAGGTAAATAAATGAAATATTTATTCTTTTGAAAATAAAATAGAAATATAATCTATAAAAATTAAGATATGAAAAAAAATAATCTATATTTGTAGAATCTAAATCCTAAAATAGGATCATTAAATAAATTCTAAAGAAAAATGTTATTCTAAGCAGAAAGAAAGAATTATTCTTAATTTGAGTTGTTATATGACTAAAAAAAAATAATTATCAATTATTTAATTAATTAGAGGAAGTTAATAAAAGTAGAGCACATATATAATTAATAATCAAATAATATCAAATATAAAATTAAAAATTTTACAGAAACTAAAAAGTTAAATAAAAAGAATCAGTAATTATGGGAAAAGACGAATTTGGACGTAATAGAAAGTTTACTTAGAGAGGTAAGGAAAAACACTTCGATGATGTGTAAGAAAAAGACATCATAGACGCCACAAGTAGATTGGGAATCTAAGAAGATAGTGGTGATGATGAAAATAATCAAAATGATTCTAAGAATGCTAAGGAGGTTAAAAAAACATAAAAATAGCAAGATGAAGACTAAGAAGTTGAAGAAAATAATAAATTCTTTAGTAGAAAGTAAGGTCCTAGAACTTATGAAATGCCTTCTTCAAGCAGTGATGAAGATGAAGAAGAAAAGCCTAAGGTGTAAGAAAAACCAAAGGTCGTAGAAAAACCTGCTAAATAATAGGAAAAACCTAAGAAGCCTGCTAAAAAGGAAGAATCTGATTCAGAAGAAGAGATTCCAACCTAAAAGAAACCAGCTTCTAAGAAGCCATAAACAGGCAATTAAAAGGAAGGACCTTCATCGGGAATTAGTGCTGCAGATAAGTAAAAGGCTGATTTAGCTAGATTAGCAGAAATCAGAGCTAGAAGAGAAAGAGCTGCTAAAGAAAAGGAAGAAGCTCAAAAAATAGAAAGCGCTAAGCAAGCTAGTTTAAACCAAAAGAAAACACAATTCTGAAAATATTGTATTAAGAAAACATATGTTCAAAACAAATATATAATTCTATAATCAAAAAACCTAAACATTATCTGGTATTACTTATTTGTACAATATATAACTTTCTCCTTGAAGAAAAAACTTCATATTTTTTTGTAGTTATAGTAGTTTATCAAATTTACTTTACTTAACTCTCTTTCTAATTAAATCTAATTAGAAAATAAAAAATCCAATCCCTTTTGTTGCTATATTTGGATAATTAATAAATAGACAGTCAACTTCTAAAAATTGTTTTTTTCATGAGTTGGCAAAAAAATATTTTTAAAAATTTAAGTTATTATTTTAATTTTTTAATTTAATTAATCAATAATTATTTAAATGTGATTTTTATAAAATAAATTATTCATTTTTTCTTTGTTTATTGGTAGTTAATTCAATAAAAATTTGATTTCATACTGAAAATTTTTAGATAAAAGCAATATTATTATGTATTGAAATGATAAATTGTAAGTAAAATATTTAATCAATATATTATTATTATTTTAATCATTCATTTAAATCAATAATTATTTAAATGTGATTTTTATAAAATAAATTATTCTTTTTTTCTTTGTTTATTGCTAGGTAATTCAATAAATATTTGATTTCATAATGAAAATATTTAGATAAAAGCAATATTATTATGTATTGAAATGATAAATTGTAAGTAAAATATTTAACCAATTGATATAACTATGTAAATTCAAAAAGAAGATTAACAAGCAGAAATTAAGAAGAAGAAGCATAAATAGGTTTTAAACATGCTAACAAACAAACTCTTATTAGGATTAATAAATCATTTCAAATATTATGAGAAATTAATTATTCATATTGATTGTATTTTATTTTTAGCGTTAGTAGAAACTTCTTAATAAAAACTTCTTGTCGTCTAAATATCAAAGCAGCTAGCTAGATAGAGACAATGAGAGTAGAGTTCTTTCTTAATGATATAAATTTGATTAATTTCTTAAAAATCCATTTAAATAAAATTCATTTTTTTTAATTGTAGCTGATTTTGGAAGCTTAAATGAAATTTTAAACGATTTTGAAATGCTTGCAATTATTGTATCAATCAATCAATCAAATTTAATTTGCTTAATCCATAGTATGCCTCTTCTTTTTTATTACATTTTTTCATATCTTCTTCCTTTTGACTTGCTATAATAAGCTTACTAACATAATAAGATATGAAATTAATTGAATTAGGTAAGAAGTATTCCCCTCAGTTTTTGGTATAACCAAGAATAGTAGCAGCTCTTTAGAAATCAGCACCACCACACTTTCTATCTAAACAGAATTCAATATATCTCTTTTGGCTTAATTTGAAGCAGTTTCTTAAGCAGAGATCTATTTTAGAATTATTTAAAAACAAAATTTTTACAATTTAAGATAAAATTTTTTAAATATTTGAAGCAATAACATCAATTTTTAATTTGAAATGTCAAATATTAATATTTATTAAAATATTTTAGATTTTTTTGATTATTTTCTACATTTTATTCATAATTAAATTTTCTAAAAAATCTCAATAAATAGTTGAATTTATTTCCCAAATCATTTCATTCTTTATGATAACTAATTTTGTTTAATACCTTTTTGCTTTTTATAAACTATTTTGCTCATTTTTATAGCTTTTTAAATGTTTAGAGAGATCAGATGTTATTGCTCAAAAATACTTAGCTTTAATAAGTATTCTAATTAATTCCTAATTTATTACTTTATTCAAGACCTTATTGACCACTAATCAATTATTCTCTGAGAATTTTTTGATTAGTAATGTGATTTTCTTCAAGAGTGGGACCTTCTTTAAGCTTAGGGAAGGAGTCGATATAATCGAAATAGTGAGTGTGTCCCATATGAACAGGAACGTGAACAATATTGGTGGTGTTTTACATTTCCTCTAATATTAATTTGTTTTTTCTTTTCTGCTTTTCTTTTTTGTTTTTTCTTTTAATTTTTCCTTTGATTTCTTGATCCAATAATATCAACTTAGATAAATATTTGTATTTATCTTATACTCCTTTATTTTTCAATAATTTATTTATTTTTTATTTCATGCTTAAGTCCTTCATTTTACGCTATTTTCCTTTATTTCTTAAAGAACATCAAAAGGACTATCGAATTCTTCTTTTTTTTTCATTAAAATTTTTAAACTAAGAGATTATGCATAAATTTTGGATATTTCTAATAAATTTTTTTATTTTCATTATTGTTATCATTCGCTTTTGTTAACTCGTAGATATTTCCATTAAAATATCTTGTCAAAAACTAACAAGAGATCTTTAGAAAATCTTAAAATCAAAAGAAGAAAAGTGTTTTCTGCAGCTTAAAATAATTTTAAACTTAATTAATAAAAAATTTCACAATAAATTTTGAGTTCATTTAATATAATTTTATAAAATATATGATATTAATTAATTGACAAATAATCATTTTTATTTTTATTAAAATTATATAAAATTTGAATATTGATGTTTGGTTTTTAATTTATAATTTAATTTAAATGCAATTTCAGTTGAATATTTTAAAGACATAAGTTAATATTTACATAAATTGAAGATGTATATTAGTAACAAATAATAAATTTAATTCAAAAAATAAATTTGAAAATTAATATGTATGTTTTTAAATATTTATTCAATCGTTTAATCATAAGTTAAGTTAGTTAGCCACAAATTTAGAAGTCTTAAAAGCAAGTGGTGCTTAGCTAGGAGATTTTGAAGTTTAATTTACAAATTATTGATCTTAATTTTAGTCTTAAAATGAAATATTTAAATTAAAATTTTATGATCTTTTAATTGGCTAAGAAATTTCCTAGAATATTCTAGTTTTCTAAAATTTTAAAGGGCTAGGAGGCGATTAATCTCTTGAAATTTATTCATATTGACTTTGAACAAAAGGATTAGGTTAAAATCTTTAAGATGATAAACCATATTCAGAATAATTTGGTCTATTTTCTTAATTAAAAATGCTACTTTATCTTTAAGAATTAATATAAGAGTTGTTGAGAGAGTTATTTTAAGAGTTTCTATTAGGTGAATATCTAATAACAGAATTTTATTATTTTTTAATCAATTCTCCTAAAGTTAGAGACTAAGGGTTAAATGACGGAGAGTAATATTTTTGTTATCCTATTTACATTTTAAGCTTTTCACTATGTTATTATTATTTTAAATTTGCTTCGTTATCAATTTATTAGTAAAGTCTAGAAGGAGATTCCTTTCTTTCTATAAATATTGAACTATTTAATTTAGGAGTTTCAATCCTACTATTTAGAATAGGAGCTGAGAGATCTCTGTTTGAAGTAAATATATCTCTCTTTTTTTGTTAAAATTTAGATTAATTCAATTGTTATTAAGAATTTATGTTTTATTATTATTATTAGCTATCTAAGATCGTACTACTATTTTACATTTCCCTTATAGTCGATAATCTAAAGCTAGATTAGGAACAATCTTGAAATATGGGAGAATACTTTCTTGTCATCTTGCTATTTTGCATGGTTTAACGAGAGGGACTCATCATAATAGATTTTTAAATATTTTAAGGAGATTGATTCTATTAAACACTTTGATTTCCATTAATTTATTAGCTAATTTTATGATTACTCATGCTTTTATCTAAAGATTTTTAAGGAGAGAAAATTAAATTTCTCTGATAAAGAGAGTTTGTTGATTGATTTATTTATTAGCTATTTTTTAAAGGGCTTTGGCCAAAAATTTTGCTTTTAATAACTTAACTTTTTAAAGGTGATTATAAATTGGATTAACTCTAGATAAATGTTGAATTATTATTTTCTGGGTTATCATATAACAATTGCATTTTTATTTAATTATCAGTCATACTTTTATTCTCAATCAACTAACTATTTATTAACTTTTTTATGGAAATATTCTGATTGTTACTAGAGTTTTGGGATTAATTGAAATATGTTGAAGTATTTTAATTGTATAGATTTTCATTAAAACTTGTCCTTGGATTTGCAGAAGTTCGATCTGTAAGATTTTGTAAACTATTACTATTTTCTATGCTTTTAATTAGCCTTTAAGACTATGACAATACTTCTTTTTAATAACTACTACTTAGTAATCTATCATAGACAGGTGATCTAGACTATCTACTTTGGGTAAATATTTTTGAATTTTTCTAATTACTTTTAGATTAAGATGTTGATGGTCTTATGGGCGAATCTTAAGGTTCATTTATAGTATTTTAAATTAAGTTAGAATCATCTTGAATTTAACTTTAAACCATATTAGTAAATGGTTAAACTTTAATCATCTTATTTGTGTTTTAATTATATATTTAAAATTTGGCACCTGCAGTATTATTTGATCCGTTAGAACTCTTTCTATAACTTGCTATGCTGCTTTACTCCTATTAAATAAAATCAGCCTTTTTTAAAATTTAATCTTCATCTTCTATGGCATCGCATCTGGAAATATCAAAGAACTGATTCCTTTATCTTTTTGCATTCATTATCATATCTTCTTTTATAGATTTGACTATGTACTCCAAATTTATGTTTATTCCTTTAAAATTTATGCTTCCATCCAAATATTCTGCACTTTTTTCATGAATCTTTTACTTCATTTTTCTTATTAACTAAGTTGGATAGTCCTAGTCTCCTTTTATTACTTTAATACACTCATTTCTTTTAAAATAAGCATAAATATAAGTATTTGTTTGATAAGTATAATATATTCCCTATCCTTCCATTTAATCTCTTCTAAAGTATCCATCGTAAATATCACCATTATCATGTAAAGTTCTACCTAACCCTTATATTTTTCCTTCTTCATAAGAGCCACACATCTAATAAAATTAAAGAATTAAAATTTATTATTTGGCAAAAAAATAAAATGATTAACTATTTATTTTTTATTGTAATTTTATATAGTAAATCTGAAATTCGAAATTCTAAATTTACATTATATACATGAGTAACATATGTTTATTTGTAAATTATTTTACCTGCAATAAATCGTTCGTAAAGATGCATCCTAGGCCATTTAAATTACCTTATTTGTCTATATATCCTACATATTTTTACCTCGGATTCTATTCACACTCTAAAAGCGAGAGAGAGTTATTGACATCTTTTTTAAATATTTATTCTATTTACAAGTCTAAAAAATTTATAAATTTGGCAGATGCTTATTAATCTTTTATCAAAAAAGAAGGGAGTTGCCTTATGTCTTCTACGGTTTCTTCTTATATTTCTCTTATTTTTTTCCCTTACTAATATTCACAGAATTTCCAGACTCTACTTGATGAATTAAAAAGATAGACTCGCCCATTCATTATGCTTTACGAAAAATACCCAACAACAAAACTCTCCTTTAGTTATAAGCAACCAATTCCATTTACTTTTCCTCTTTAAAATTATCCATAAAATATGCCTCCTTATTTAAAGAGGATTACACCTTCTCCATGGAAATTATCTTAATAGAATCCTCCAAAGTAGACACTACCTTCATCATGAATAAACATGCCTATACCATCTTTACGGTATTATAAAATATCTCCTTCGTAAACACCATTATTCAATTCGCATCTATAGTGCTTGCGCTACTTAACTTTTTAATTTGGACTAACACTTCTCTTAAACATTCCAAGCTTATTTTCAGCTCTAAAGGCCAAGATTCTATTTTTAAGTTCTTTGTTGATTATAATACAATATTTATGAATAAACTATTACTGTTTAGGTGTTAATTATTAAGTTTATTTTAACGCGGTTAACAAATTAAATTTTAACGAAATTGAATATTTATTTTTATGCATTAGTGGAATCTAACAAGCTTTTTTCTTTTAACATATAAAAATAAGGAATAAAAAGATTAAATAGCAATCATTCAAATTAATATTAAAAAATATTTGTTTCAATTATCTGTACATATATTTTACAATTTATCATTTTTTTATCATAAACTAAATACATTGTTACAATATTTTGTTTATTTTTATACAAATATTGTTTTTGATACTTTATTATTTTAGACTTTATACATATTTAAAATAATAAAATATTTTTTCATTAAATTAAATACAAAATAATAATCAAACGAATAAATAAATAAATTAATTAATTAATAACTAAATCAAACAAGAAAATTTAATTAAACCATTCATAAACATTTTTATTTAATATTTATTTTATCTAAATTAGTTTATAGGTTAAAACATAAAAGATATCTTACTATTAATCTATATTAGACTTTTTATTTTTACTTTAAAAGCTTTGATTAGAAATTGAGATAAATAAATTAAATGCAATTTAAGAAATATCAAATAAATATTAATTAATATAAATATAAATTTACACATTAGGTATATTTTCAATTTGTTTGATAAAAATTACTATTAAAATAACAAATTTTTCTTTTTTTAATGAAATAAAATAAAATTAAAACAAGAATTAATTAAAATGTTTTTAAATTTTTTATCTTTTAAATATTAGCCAAAGTTTAATATTCTTTTAAATAATCTATGATATTAATTTAAAAAAATATAGGTAAATTTAAGATTATGATTTCTAGTAAATATTATAGATTAGTTACAAATAAAAAACAACTAACTTGTATTAAAATCATCTTCAGCAATAAGTTAAAGATAAATAGATAAGCTTATATATAATATTAATGAAAAATAATAGAATCAAGACATAGAAAAATATTAAGCAAAAAATTTGCTGAATTATATTCAGTTTAAACTATTTCTACTTTATATTTATTTTAGTTAAATAAGTCAATTTAAAAGTTCATTTTATGGCTTAAGCTATCATAATGTATGCCTTTGAATTATTTACACTAGATTTACTAATAATTAAATGTTTTCTTACTCTCTTTTAATAAATTCATAAAATAATTTTATATCAAGTAGTATATGTATAAATTAAGATGGAGTGGATTTATTAAAATTTTTATTTTTAGTATAAAAAATATTTTCTATTTTCATAAAATCTAAAGCTCATAAATGTGTCATCCATATATCCTAACATTTATAATAAAAAGAATAGCTTTTAAGTAAACTAAAATGAGTCTATATTTTGGATTAATTAAAAAAAACCAAAATTCCATTAGAATTTATTAGATTTATGCTCTATAAAAGTTTTAAAATATTTATACTTTTAAAAGAACATTTTTTAATATATAAATTTTAAATTTTAAATTCAAATGTACTATATAATATATCTATTTTAACAGTAATAGATTCTCTATTTTGAACATTAATTAAAATTTTATTAATATGATATAATTCAAATTTACTTTTTTAAAAGTTAAAAATAAAAAAGAATTTAATTACTTTTCAAAACAATAATAGAAAATTTTCTTCATTTAAAAAAATTTATAGTAAATTCAAAAATTAAATTAAAATTTTGTTATTATCTATGATAATCAATACAAAGAAAGGAAATTATAAAAATCCTTAATTTCAATTTTAGTTTTTAATTAAACATTTTTCTTTATTAAGATTTTACTTAATTCTATTGAAAATTAAAATGTATCTTCATTTTTAATAGAAATGAAAAAATTTTTAAAAATTGGACAAATTTAATTTGATAAAATTTTTGAAAAGACTGAGTAAATAAAAAATCACTTTCGAAAATATATTTATTATCAAATAAATTTTAATTAAAATGCTAATATAAACTTAATATTATTTTTTTAACTGCAATATTAAAATATTATTAAATCTATTAAATTGTAAAACTACATTTATTTTTAATAAAAATATTTATAATTTTTTATTGGAAAAATAAATAAATTAATTAAAAATTTAGCTTAATAAAAGCTAAGAAAAAATAAGCTCATTTATTTCAAATTTTGTTTACTATACTAGATTAATAATTAAAAATTTCTTAGCTTTTAATTATGTTTAATTTTTAAAAATTTAGAATTAAAATTGTGAAAGAAATTAATTTTTAAAAATAACAAACAAATTATTATCAAAAAAGATATTTTTCATGTTTATAAAAAAATTTTATAATCAATTATTTATATTTTTATTAAATTATTAGCTTACAACGCTAAATGAATTTATTATCCAAATTAGTAAAAACTAAAATATGTTCGTTTCATAAATTATGGTAGACAAATTTTGTAATTACCAATTAACATCAAGCTAATTTAAAAAAAAATATTAATTTTTATTATATCCTTCTATCATTTTTAGTATAGATTACATCTAATTTAATATAAATAATGAATCTTTCAAAAATCGAACGAACTAATTTCTGAGCTTAAAGAGAGGAAAAAGTATATCAAAAGGGAATAAAGATCAAATAAAAAAAGGCAGCAAACAAAGAATTTGAAGTAAACTAAAATTAGAATAGACAGTAAAAAATATTAAATTATAAAAAAATGATAAATGAATTTTTTTACAGTACCTTCCTTGATGCTTTTTTGATAATTTAATTTATAAAGCTTCTAATAAAAAAAAAAAATCTAATTATATTTTTTATTTGAGTCAATAAATCAAAAATATTTTATCGAATTTGCTTTTTGATTTAAATCAAGCATCAAGGATAAAGATCAGAGAGAAATTTAAAATTAAACTCTAAAAATTTAAAAGCATCAAGCAAGAATAAGAAGGGTTGTATTTGAATTAGACCAAAAAAGATGATGAAAAAAATAATTATTAAGCATATTAATGTTAATTATTTTTTCATAACATCTCATATTTAGAAGTATTTTTTGTATTGAATGGAGGATAGAGTTTATTTATGTTTGAGTAATATAACATTGTTAGTGTGTAATTCAATCACACAAATAAAAACTTTTTTATTTTAATATATGTTTATTGATTCGTATTTATGAACATCGTATTACGAATATTTAATTTGAATCACTCAAATCATCAAATATTTAAATAAATGCTTAGTTACATTTGTAAAAAAATTATAAATCTACTTTTGATAATATATCGATCTGTAAATATGCATTTCAATTTCAAGACGAGAGAGAAGCCACTAAAATAAATTAAGATTGAATACATCACAAATAGAAGTCAGAACATTTATAGATTTATTACAAGATATATTAGATAAAATTTTAAATATATTTGAATTTATATTATGAATTTCTTTTGTTTGATCCTTAAGGATAGCATACAAAGTAATTCAATAATTATATTCATTTTTATATATTATTAAAGTTGGGAAAAATTAGATTTTAAAATAGCTTTGAGTAAATTTGTCAGAAGAAATCAGTGTGAAAATTAATATTGGTTGTTTTTCATATTGATTTTGGTTATAAGATAGTCATCAATTTATATTGTATTTTAGATAACATTAAGTCTATTTATTGAAAAATTTGTTCTTTGTTAATTTAGAGAAATCTATAATTAGATTGTTAAAATATTATTATCTCTATTATTATATATTAGTTATTATAAAAAGATTTTTATTATATTTTATTATTTATTAGGGTTTATTATATTTTCGATTTTTACTTTTATTAAGAAAAGGCTTAATTAATTTATTATTTAAATTCTATTTTTAATTATTGTTGAAGAGTAAAATAAAAAGTAATTTATTCATCTATTTGTTCTTCGAGAGAGAAGATATTAATTACTTGATACTTTAGATTGTGTTTAAATTTTTTAATTAGAATCTCAATCAATTGATTAATGTCAGCTACTGTTTATAGATCTTCTAAAAGGAAGATTATTTATATTAGATTTTTGTAATAGATAAAATTAATCAATGTTTGAAACATTTTTCTATTCTATGTTAAAGTCAAATACATTTTCAAACTTGGAGCAATTAACTTTGTTATGCATGTCTGCTAAACAGCAATTTTGATTATTTGTGCTTTTTATGGGAGAAATAGATGTAGAAGTAGCAGACACGATAGTATTTATAGAATTTTGATTGAGATACTATTTATATTATTGTAAGTTGATTAAATTTTGGCTGGGAATGGAGCAGCAGGATGTAGAGATTTTATCATCTTTGTTTTAAGATAAATTGCAGCTATTCTAAGGAAACTAAACAAACTAAACTGTTTATGAAGATTATATTAAATTTGTGCTCGCATCTTTAGAATTAAATTGTTTAGCTCCACAATTATCCTATTAATTGTCTATTTCTGTATTAATCTTTATATTTAATTCAAAGGTTATCTTGGGACCAAAGTATTTCAATTATTCTTCATCCTTATTATAGCATAAACGAAATGAAATTTTAGAAATTCCAATTTAATTTGGGGCAACAAAGTTAACTATCGATGTCACTACTGATTATGTTTATGCACTTTCAATCGATTATGATTATCCTTCATAAACACCTTCTATGCATTTAAGTAGAACATTTTAAGGCCATTAAAATTCACCATTATTCTTGAGTTAAATAACCTCAGTAAATGAAGCATTAGGAGCTACAATAAGCTGCTTTTTAGGGGAGTTCATTACCTTAGCTCTATAAGAGCAAACTTAAAACTTTTAGCTTTAACGCCTTCCTCTATCGTTTTCTAGTGTGCTTTCAGGTGATAAGGTGCAGGTGCTTTATTTTGCATAGTTATTATTACTGTCACATGATACTGTAATTTTATTTTACATTACTTACAAGTTGTTTTTTTAATTCTTAAAATCATCAGCATTAGATGAATTATAAAAATTATTCATCTGGTGACTTTAAATTTTTTAAGAGCAGTAAATATTTAATTGAGGGCTTTGTTTAAGAGTTAAATGTTAAGAGCAGTGATAGGGGTATAATTTTTAAGTATTGTTAATATTAGCTTCATTGAGTGTAATGGATTGGTTTAGGCTTTAATCAGGAAATTTACCAACTTTGCGAGATAGGATAGAGTTTGTTCCTAAATTAGTTTAGTTGCTCCCATTTAAGAATGAAATTTGGGATTGATCAACAGTGCTTTAATTACCATTATCAACAAAAATACTATTAGTTAATTTGCTAGGGATAGGAACATGCGTGATGGTAGTTTTACTTTTTCTTCTATTATTTGCATGAGGGAATAATACTTATTCTTAAGCTGTTTAGGATGTTGTGTTGGAGAATTCTTCGTGATTTGCTACTGCATTTGTAAAATTTTAATTAAAATTCTAACTAATCAAATTCTTTTTTTGGTTTTGATTTAATAGCTAAGAGCAAATTGGGCTCTGGCTAAATGAATTAGATTGGTATAATAATTGTTAAAATGGTTAGCTTAAAAGCTAATCATTTTAATGATGCAGCTCTTGCTCTTTGGTTCTACTGTGATTGGATCTAGTCGACTTAGAAATAGAAGAAGAGAAATTTTCATCAAAGGGCAAATCATTTTATTTTTTGATGATATTTTAAAGATTAGAAATTAATGGAGTGAATTAAGAAGCAGAGTGAGGTAAAATTTAATTAACATAAGAGGGTATTTCAATTGATTATATACAATCTAAATCTTAGTTCAGCAAGCGATTGTTTAAAGAAGAAAAAGATGGAATTTTTGTCTATTCTAATTAATTTTCATTTAATTTACAGAAGAATTTAATTTAATTATCGCATCTAATGAATTATTTCATCTAAATGTTCTCCCCCTATTAAGTGGATTTTTGTTATTTTTCCATGCAACAATACTTGCAGCTGCTAGCTGCGATGTGCTCACTGTTATTATTTACTCTTTCTTATAACTGACTATTTCCGATAAGTTCGATAGATTATTCTTACTCTTAATTTAAAGGCATGGGTGAGTAATTCTCAGATCTAATAAAAATAATAGCTGATTCATCTAAATTAATTACTCTTTCAATCTTTTTTTCGTTCTAAATCAAAGCACTTTCTAAATTACAATCTGTATCTCTATTATTTTAGCATGTGTTTTCAATATTATGAGCATCAGCCTGGCTAAATGCCATTTCTAATTAATTTAATTTTTCTTCTAAATCGCACTAGCTTGCAAATGTTTTGGCATTTCCACCTTCGCTGAAGAGGCCAGCTTCATTATTTACACTCTTGTCAATGCATGATAAGCTGTAATTCTAATTCAGTTAAGGGTCTTCTAAATCAAAGCAGTCCATTAGCTCACAAAGATTAAATAAGGATTCATCTAAATCATTGAGTATATTATCTTCATCTGTTGATTCAACAATTTTTAGCTTGATATTTTTCATGTTTCTTTCAGCGGCGCAAGCTATCAATTGTTTGAATTCTTATTCGCAAGATACAATTAAAGATTATGAATCATCATTAAAAGAATAATTTATTTTGAATTTAAGTGGAATTCTGTCTTTAAAATTTTATTTAATCTGATCAACAAGCTATGCATATGTAAGAATTCTTCCAGGAAGCTTATAAATATTTGACTTGATTTCAATTTTGAATCCTATATTCATGTATTAAAAATATCAGGGCTTATAAAAGCAGTTATTGCTATTGGTAAAGTCAAAAGGTATGTATGAATTTATGTTCAAAAATCAGTAATTATATAATATAATAGCTTAAATAGATAATTGAAAGAGTTAAAAACAAAGTTATTTTCTTTGTTTGTCTTTTGAATTGATGATATCTTATAGTAAGTAGTATTTATTACAAAGTTAAGAATTGAATATGAAGGTTTTCTTTAATTTTGTTTATTTTTAGTAATTTATCTTCAAAAATATATTTATTTACAAAAATTTAATTATTAGTCTGCTTTTTAAAATATTAATTTATTTATTTACTATTTTTCTTGCTTGCTTGCTTGGTTTCTAAAAGTACTTCTATTTATTGATATTTCAATTTAATTAATGTTTTTTATTAGCTTAGCAGTGATTAATCACTAATTGATTAAGAATGAGTAAACTTATTCATATCAAATTCTTTGAATAGCCAAACTAATATTTTTAAATATGCAAAAAAATAAGTAAATCTCTTTAAGGCTTCATAAAAGATTGGTGATACATTAATCTTTTTAGTTGCTTAGATAAAGAAATATAAGTAGCATTTAGCAAACAAACAAGCAGTCAGTTATTAATTTTGTTCAATATTTTTGAGTTTGGATAAACAAAAAGAATAATTATATAATTATTTTTGATAGTATTCGCTCATTTTGTCTATTTATTATTATTTAATTTCTGATATTTTATATTAACAACAATAATTTATTGGAATAGATTTTAAAAGAAATCTATTTATTTTTTAGCTATTTAATTATTTTTAAAATTTATATAATTTAAATTTGTATTCATTCAAAGATTCAATATCTTTATTAATTTCTTATTATATCCCATCAAAAATGTATTTTTAGATAAGATTACAGAGTATTTAATAATATTCGCGCTAAAATTCAGATTAAGAAATTTTTATCATCAAAATAAATTAGAAGAATAATTTCTCAATTTCTAACTCGGTGAATTGATTGATTGATTTTAACTGTCTATTTTAAATTTAAGAAGACGCTATTTCAGAAGAACTGATTTTTGAAAAATACTTTTATACCATTTCAGCTAACTCAATAAGCAAAATATTTCATTACATAGCATATTACAAATTTTTTCCTTCCAGAATAAAATTAAATTTTTGACCTAATACCGATTAAGGTAAATATATAAAAAGAACCAGCTTTTTGTAATATGTAAAATGCAAAAGTATATTTTGATCAAAAATATATGATTCTATCTATTTCAAGTAATAAATATTTAATTTTGTGTATGGCCTTTTTCCAAAACAAAATATTTTTGATAAAATAGACTAGTTTTTATTTGATTTATTTCGTGGTTTGTTTTGTGCACTTTCTCAAAAATCAATAAAAAAGAAACAGTTTTCTAAATTATGTTTATTTTTCAAATTAAACCCACAAACGAGTATTTGTTTTCAATAAATTCGAATGCCTTTTAAATATATACTTTTTATAGTGCATTTTGTTACTGATGAAATAAACTTTAATTAAGAAATACTTGCTATTATTTTATATCTATCTAGATTAAATTTGACTAGTATCTAAAAAAGAAACCTACCTTAAATAATGATTAACTCATATTTTTAATATAGGAGACTTTTTGAGGTTCTACTTTAAATCAAATATCATTTTCACAAAAAACATCTAAAAATACATATTTTAAAGATAGAACATGAAATTATTTTTTATTAAATTTATTTATTTATTAGCATAAAAATTAATAAATTAATATTAAATAAAGATAAAAACAATCAATTTTTAATTGTGAAAAATATCTTTTAAATTTTTGAAATTTATTTAAATTTTATCTTTCAAAAACTAAAAATAGTTTAGATTACAATTTTTTCTATTTGATTTTTAATTTTTACTTAAAAATTAATAAAATTCATCAATTTTTAATTTAAATGTTGAAAATATTTTAAGCAAGTCTATTTTTTTCTAAATAGAAAAAACAAATAAGATTGATTTTATATGTTTCACTTTTAGTGAAAAAATATTAAGAAAGAATTAGAAATCTATTTTTTTTATCTTAAAAGATTAATATTATTTTAAAATGAATACAAACCATATAATAAAAAGCAATCACTTTGAATCTCATATGAATACATTATTTATATTAATTTTTAATAATTGAATTCTGAGATAAATAGAAACTTTACTTCGCTTTCTAAGTTTGTACATGTTTGTCATGTATATTATTTTATACCTTAATGATTATCAAGCTAGTATCTTTCAAATTTTAAGCTATTAAACTAATTTGCCACCAAATAATCTTTTAATTAATATTGTATTATTTAAATAACTATTATATTATTTAATAAATTTGGAATTACTAATTAAGGCTGTCCTTTGGAATATTTTCATTTGCAGCAACACCACCTAATTTTGCAAAGTTTTCACTATGTTTCTTTTATTTAAATAAAAATAAGCTATTAATAATTATTTGTTTTTAATTATTTACTAAGCTCTATGTAGCTTTAACGATGTCTCCATCAACTAAGAGAAGGGCATTATCGTAGAATCTAATAGTTTGACCTACCTCATTAAGGTCTTAAGCTCCAGTATAAACAGAGTAGTTACCATGTAATAAAGAATTTAATATACCTATTTTAAAAATTAAATTATCACATTTATGAAATTTTCCATCTAATTTAAATCTCTTTTTAAATGAATCATAAATAAAGCATTTGTTAATGTAAAAAACACTCTTATTTTAAGTTATTCCAAAATCAAATTAACAATCATATTACCGAGAGAGAAAGAGAGAGGAGAACGAGAATCACCAGTAACAAAAACAGGTGTGTTATCATTTAATTTTGAGGTTTTACGATTTTCTTCAGTCTTAGAAATCAAATCTTTCAATGTGTAAGTTTAGTTACCAGAAATAAACAAAGGTGCATTTAATTCAACATTAGGTAAGGTCAATGTATTAAAGTTTTTACTTGCATATACCATAATTTGCTTTTTTTTGAAAAGTATAAAGTTTAAAAAATTAATTTATTTAAGAATCATTAAGTTACTCTGAATTTATAAGTACCAGGGAATGTGTAGAAACCAGTGTGGATGATATGTTATAGGTTTGCGAATTTAGTTTTTAAAGTAGAGCCTCTACCAGCTTTAATATTTTAATAAAAAATATAAGGACTAGATATAAACATTTTTTATTGTAATTTCAAATTCCAAAATTATATATAAGTGAGTAAGATTGTAAGTCAAATATTTTATTAATCTATTTACTGTTGTATAATTCTGGGATAACCTTGTTGACAACTTCAATATATTTTGAATTTCCAGCTTTGCTGTTGGGACTAAGTAATAAACCCTTAGCCTTAGTATCATTTAAAGCTTTTTCTAATTCTTCAGCAGAGTGAGCATAAATTGGAACCAAAGTAACACCAGCCTTAGCAGCACCAACTTAGGCAGTAGTGATTTCAGAAGTATGGTTCTTTTCAACCCAAAGCAAAAGTTTATCACCTATTTTAAGATAATATGATTTGTTAAAAAGAAAGCTCTTTTCATTTATATCCTTATATATATTTATTGCTGATAATTAATTTGATGTAAATCTTAAAATAAAATACACAACTCATTTAATATGTGCTTAAATAATCCATTTATGCAATAAGACTCTAAATGGTAGAAATAAACAAAAATTATCTTAAACCATGATTTAAACTTTATGATTACTGCAATAATGATAACATTTATAAGCTGCTTTATTTGAAAAGTTAATATTTTAAGCTTGAAATGACTATAATTTGTATTTGCATAAATTGTATCTTCCCAATCACACAAAACATTTTAATTTTCTATTTTTGTACAAAAAATTTTGCTAAATGGAGAATATTTATCTTTTTTCAGCTTTATTTATTCGTGAAGAAATTTCTACAATAAATCCTTTTTTTTAATTCAGCATATTTTCTTTTGTTTTCAAAAAAACTTAATTCTTAAATCGAGATGATATTATTCTAAGATTTGCAATAAAATGAAAGTAGAGAAATATAATTATTTTTTATTACCAGCTTTCCATCCTAATTCAGTTAAACCATAAGCGAAAGCATTAGTATGAGCCTATTTGTTTATTTATTAAAAAATATTTAAAACTAAAATTAAAATTTTTTTTGAGCTTATATAGTCAAAAAATAGTGCCATGATATTAGAATTAATCTAAGAATAGATAAGAAGGAGAATAATCAAAATGGCACTCTTCAGTAATCAATACGATTTTACGTCTAATTCATTGAAAGTCCAGGTACGATTTTAATTTTCATAACGAACGGCATTACGGTTACCATTGATAGCTAACTAAGCAGCCAATGGAGATGCAGCCTTATTTGCAGTAGAAAAAGCGAATCTATTAACTTAACTAAATAATTTCATTATTATTTCTTCTCTTTTTCGAACAAGAATACTTTTTTGCTTTATTTTACTTTTTGATAGGAATGATAAACTTTATATTTATTTATTCTGTTTTAATAGTTTCTATTCATGCAATTAATTATATTATTTTTATTTTTCCTGCCCTTTCTTTTAAATATCTTTTAGGTAGGTACATCAACATAGATAGATACATACATACATACTTAGTATTTATAAATCTTTTGCAAGCTATCTCTTTTAGGTAGCTAGTTTAAATAAATGAGAGTTAACTATCTATCTATCAATCTACTTAACATTTTTATCAAATAAATATTATATTATTTAGTCTAACTAATCCATAATATTTATTTACTTAAAATATTTTACTTTATTTATTATTTGGTATAAAATATTTAAATTAATTAATGAAAAAAATTTTTTATTACTAAATATTAGAAGTAAGTGAGCAAATAAAATTCATAAATTAAATAAAATTAATTTTATTAATTTGATTTAAATACTAAAAATGATCAAATTAAATAAAAACTTCTAAGTATGATTTGGAAAAAATACAATAAATATTATTTAAATAATTCTAAATAATAATTATTTCGGACCAATAATGCTTTCAAAAAAGAGACTAACTATATTTAATTTATTTAAGCAAATAATATCATTTTAAGTGCTAAAGTCATCTTAATTTTTTTTAATTTGAGTTTCTGAAATTTAAAATTAACAGAAAAATTACATTGATGAAAATGCTCTGCATTTTTATAAAATAATGTTTATGATTTTCCTATTTTTATTTTTATTGAATTTATTTGATTTTTAAATGTTATGAGTTAATTGAAAATCTATTGCTTTTTCCAAAATTTATTTTGATTAATCATTTTTTGTGTATGTTGTAACAATCTACTTAAATTAATTATTAAAAATGCATAAAAAATCAAACATTTCTTAGATTTCAAAAGAAAAAAATCAAATTTTAATATATAATAAAATCTTAAAAAGATAAATAATTAATATTTGAAACAAGAATTTAATTTAAAATATCCAGTTTTTAAAAATGGATTACAAAGTAATAAGCTCAAAACCAAAATTTTATGCAGATGCAAATTTAAAAAAATCAGCTGAATACTATGACTATGAAAACTTAGAAATAGAATGGGGGTAAACCTTTTTTAGCAAATAGTTACTTCCTTAATTTGATAATCCATAAAATAATCATTACCAATTTAGTTTTTTTACAATAGCTTCTATTAAAAAAATATTTTTATGGAAATGCCTTCTCTTTCAAATGTTTAATTTAAAGGCATAAGTTGGATTGAGAGAAAATTTTAAGATTTATATTATTAGCATGAATGAAATTTATGTAAAATAACTAAGAATTTTTTAAATTTATTAGTGAATAGGAAAACTATGAAGTGATAAGAAAGTTAGGAAGAGGTAAATATTCCGAAGTTTTCGAAGGAATCAACTCTTTGAATAATGAGAAATGCGTTATTAAAGTCCTTAAGCCAAGTATTATTTATTAATTTCACCTTGTTTATCAATATAACTGTTTATTATGTATTTATTTTAGTCAGAAAGAAAAAAATAAAGAGAGAAATCTCTATTTTAAAGAATCTTAGTGGAGGCCCTAACATTGTTTAACTTCTTGACATAGTAAAGGATCCTGCTTCTAAGTGCACTTCATTTGTAGAATAGATTATCGTTAGGCAAATAATAATTAACTTTATTCTATATTTAAATAGGTTTTTGAGTATGTAAACAATATTGATTACAGAGAGCTTTATCCAAAGTTAAGCGATTTTGATGTTAGATTTTATATTTTTGAAGTGCTAAAGGTAACAAAAATATAATATAATATGATTTATAGTTTTTAAATTTCATTTATTATCTATTTATAGGCTTTAGATTTTTGTCATAGTTAAGGTATTATGCATAGAGATGTAAAACCACATAATATTATGATAGATCATGAAAAGAAATAACTAAGACTCATAGATTGGGGTTTGGCTGAGTACTACTTCCCAGGAAAAGATTATAATGTAATGGTTTTTTTTTAGAATTTAGCATGAAATTCTTATTCAATATTTTTAAAATAGGTAAGAGTAGCTTCAAGATATTTTAAAGGGCCTGAATTGTTAGTAGATTACTAATACTATGATTACAGTTTGGATATTTGGAGCTTGGGTGCTATGTTTGCTGGTATGATTTTCAAAAAAGAACCATTCTTCTAAGGAAACGATAACTATGATTAACTTGAAAAGATAGCAAGAGTCCTTGGTACAAATGAATTATATGATTATCTAAATACATATAACCTCGAGTTAGATCCTAAATTTGAAGGAATTTTGGGCAAGCATACAAAGAAACCTTGGTCAAAGTTTGTTAATAATGACAATAAGAATTTAGCAGTAAATGAAGCAATTGACCTTCTATCAAAGATGCTTGTTTATGATCATGTATTTTTTAAATTCATAATAAATATAATTAGTTACTATATCTTAAATTTTAAAATAGGCTTAAAGAATAACACCTAAAGAAGCCATGCAACATGCTTATTTCTTCCCTATCTTGTAATACCATGAAAAAAACTCTAAGCCTGAAGAATCAAATAAAAAATGAAAAACTAAAAGATATAAAAATAGTATCATTTTAAGCAAATATTTTTGCGCATCTTGATCTAGCTCAATAAATTATATTGATTGCTATCTGCACAAAAATTATGACATTAAAACTTACTTACTTTTTTAACAAAAATTATAATAAGAGTTAATTTTGATTTGTAAATCCTTTTATATAGTAATTAATATTTTAAGTTAATTTTCTTATTAATTCATTTCTAGCCTACTTATTATATATGTATTTATTATTATAAATCCATTCCAAATATAATTAACTCTCCCTAATTACTAATTTATCTATGTGTGTGTAGATAGTAAGTAAGTTTTTTATTCACATTAATTTTTAAAAAAGAATTTTTTATAATTTACTTAGAAAGCTTTTATTTTTTTAAGAATAAAAAGCATACATTTTAATATTTAATTTTTTTGTGAGTTTTGAGAAAATTATAACTTAAAATAAAAATGGTTGATTCAGTATTCCAAAATAGCATCATTAGTTCAGTTGATAGTTAGTTAATGATATGATTCTAGAATTCTTTTAATTTAAAAAAAATTTTTATTTAGATTTTATAGTATTAATTAATATTTATTATTTGCTAAATAAAATAGAAAATGAATAAATATCCTTTTTTCAATCTCTATTATCTTTAAAGATAGTAAAACAAGTGTGAGATAAGAAGAATAAGATTTGATACTATCTATGTTAAGAATGTGTAAAAAGCAAATTAATTAATTTATCAATAATACATTCATTCATTCTTGCCTGATTGATTGATTTATATTTGGAAGCAGCTTATTAAACTCTATAAGAAACGTCATAAATATAATTAATTGATATTTACATAAAATATCTTAATATAAAATATTAAAAAGTATGTTTAGCAGTCTTTTAGAGAAAGGAAAAAATTTAACTAACAAGGCAAAAGACCTTGTTTAGTAGATTGGTAGCGAAATAGACTAACAAAATCAAGCTTAATTGAAAGGATTAACAGGGTAGTCTCCTGCAAATAGTACTCCTTAGAACCAATAAAGATCTCAATAGCAATAGCAATAATAGTAATAATCACAAACTAATAAGAACAAATAAGAAGACTTTAAAGATTAATAAAAAGAAAAATTATTATTAGATCACATTTAATAGCTCAAACAAATAGAAAAAAGCTTAAGTGAACCTCTCTAAAATAGTACTCCTGAAGATTAAAAGAAAAAAATCACTTCTATGGTCAATACTATTTTAAAAGAAAATATGATGAAATTTATAGAAAAGGTAAAGTAACAAATCGTTATAAAGATACACGAAAGAGTAGTTAAGCTTATAGATGAAAATTTAGGAGATGATATTCCAAAAGATTAGAAAGACTAATTGAAAACTATTTTCAATGTCGACTATGATGAGAAAGATTTGATGCAATAAAATGAGGAATTCAATTATGATAATATTTTATAGCTTTTTGTTTAAAAAGAAGACTATGAAACGTTAAAAGTTTAATTAGAAAAGTCAAATAGCTTATACGCTGAAGTCAGAAAAATTATAGAAGAATAAGAAGCCTATATAGTTGTAGAGAAGAAAGAACTGCAAGAAAAATAGCAGTCTCAAGAAAAACTGATTCAATCTTTATAATAAGAAGTTAAAAGAAATGAAGAAAACCTTATTCAGAAAACCAATGAGCTGCTTAAAACTGTCGAAGATAACAATGAATGGTAAGAGAGATTTTAGAATATCAAAAAAAGTGTATCAGATTCAGATAAGCTTTTAAAAGAATAAGAGAATATTGTCAAAAATTTAGAATAGTAGCTTCTTAATAAGTCTGAATAAATAAATTAATTAACATAGCAAAATGACTAACTGAGTGAAGCTCTTAAAAAACTTAAAGCTTAAGCTTCAAATGAGAATTAAAATATTGACCATTTGAACAAAAAGATTGAAGAACTGAATAGCTTGATGCAATAAAAAGAAACAGAAAAAGAAGTTGCTAAAGAAGAGAAATAATAGTTATAACTTAAAACAGAAGAATAAAATAAGCAAATAGCTGAAATGTAAGTTTAGATAGAAAACTTAAACTCTGAACTTAAGGTTAGCAAGTAAAATTATGAAGAGTCTATGTAAAATAAATAAAACAGCCAAGAGATTGAGGATAAATTAGAATCAGAAAAAAATGCATTAAAAGAACAGCTTGAAAATAAATATAATGAAATTTGTGGTTAAAAAGATGCTTAAATTTCATAATTGTAAGAAGAAATATAAAAATATAGTCTCGAAATCTAATAGTTAAAAGAGCAACTATAATAATAGATTAACAAAGAAGCTTCATTAAATGATTAAATTTCTTAATTACAAAAAGAAAGTGAAGAAATAGCAAATTTAAAATAATAGCTAGATTAAGTATAGAACAAGTAGAATGAAATTCTTGCTTAAAAACAATAGGAAGTAACTGATTTGTAAAATTAATTATAAGAAATGACAGCTCAAATAAATGAGGGAACTAAAAAATTATTAGATTAGGAAAATAAAAATCACAGTCTTTCTTAATAAATTTAAGAATTGGTTAACGTTTAATAAAAAAATATTGAGTTATAGAATTAAATAGTTTAGCTTTAAGAAAATGAATAAAAGTAAGGCCAAGAAAAGCATTCACTTATTTAGAAAAATGAGCATTAAGTTAATGAAATTAACTAATAAAAAGAATAAATTACCAAACTATAAGCTGAATAAAGAGAATTAGAAGAGAAGGTTTAAAAACTTAAAGATACGATAGAAGAGAACGAAGATATGATAAACAAGCTTAAGCAGAAAGAACAAAATATTACTAATGATTCTTCTTCTTTGAAACAAAAATTAGAAGAGGAGATTGAAGAGTTAAAAAGACATGCCCACGAAGTAAAAGAATAATTTAATGTAGAAAGAGGAGAAATTATAGAAAAACACAAATAAGACATACAAAAATTATAAGAGTCATTATCAAAGGAAGGCTAAGGTATATCTGACGAAATTGCTAAACTCAACGAGGAGAGAACAAAACTTAGTGATGAAAATTTTGAATTGAAACAAAATATAAAAGATCATCAGAAAGATATATAGGCTAAAGAAGAGGAAATTAAGAAAATTATGAAAAATTTAGAAGAATAAATTCAATAATTTAATAATTTGAAAGATAGTTACAATAAATTAGAAGAGGAATCTAATAAATCCAAGAAAGACTTTGAAAAAAGAATGGAAAAATTATCTTCAAAAAAGAAAGAAGCACTAGAAAAGTTAGAGAATAATATAAAAGAACTAAATATCCAAGTATAGTAAAAGGATGAAGCCATTTAAAAACTTGAAACAGAAAAGACAGAAACAGAAAAAAAATATTAATAACTTAAAAAGGACAGTTCAACTCAATCATCTATTCAAGAAGAGCTTAATGCCTAAATAAATCAAATTAAATAAGAATATGAATTGATAAGCCAAAAATTATAATCTGAAAATAATGAACTGAAACAGAACCATGAGGCTTAAATTAAAAAGTTAAATGCAGACTAAATTGAAGAAGTTCAAAATTTGAAAGATTAATTCTAACAATAAACTGAATAGCTAAAATAAAATCTTAGTCAACAGGAATAAGAGTTAACTTAGCAGATAAAGATTAAAGAAGAAGAGTATAATGTAAAATTAGAAGATGAAAAGTACATTACAGTTGATAATAATAGAATTTTGGTAAGAGAATATATTTAATAGCTTCAATGTGAATCTGAGTAAAAGAGAGATCAAATTAAGTAATTAGAATAATAATTGCAAGAAAAAAAAGATTAAATAAGTAATTTAGAAACATAAATTCCATTATTAAAATAAAAAATAGAATAGTTAGAATGTGAGCTTAATTCTCATTTAACTGAAAAACAAAATTAATAAGAATCTTAAAACTCTTCTTTGTCACAAAAAGATGAAGCAATTAAGCTGCTTTAAACTTAAATTAGCTAATAAGAAGAATAGTTAAAGGAACTCATTTAGCATAAGGAAGATAATTTATAATCTCATTCCGAAAAAGACTCTTAAATTAATTCATTAACTTCTTAAATATCAGATTAAGTGTTAAAATTAGAAGAACTATAAAAACAAAAGGATGAGTTGCAAAGAGAGAAAGATGAGTTGTAGAAAGAAAAAGAAAGTTAGCAATAAGAATCATAAAATTAATTGATATAAGAAATTACTTTACTCAAGCAGTAATTATCAGATAGTCAAAAGTAAATTGAAGAAAATGAAAAATAGATTGCATAAATAAGTTAAGAGCACAAGACAGTTGTGGATGGATTATAAGAAAGCTATAATAGAAAAGAGAAGGAGGCTAAATAGTTGGAAGATTAACTAATTAGAATATAGTAATAACATTAGGAAGAACAAGCAGAGTTGTAAAAGAAATCTTAATTAGACAGTTCAAACATGGTAAAGTTAAATGAGAAAAACCAAAAAAATATAGAGGCTCTAAAGAGAGGAAATAGAGAATTAATTAACATGATTATTGATAGCTATTCAGCTTTATCTAATTAACTAGATAATGCCAATATTTAGAGTTAAGTTAACGCCATTACTGAATGTATTAAAAATACTAGTCCAGACATCATGAAAGAATTTTAAAAGTTCTTATTGGAATCAAGAAATTTAATTTCTGAGCATTACTAAAACTAAATAAATAATGTCAAAAATTAAGAAAAGCAAAGATACAATAAGTTGTTAGAGCAATTTAATAAGAGTTAAGATGACATAAAGTAACTTAATTCTAAAATAAAGGCTGCAGAAAAGCTAGAAAGACAAGTCTAAGAATATAGCGATATTATAGCTCTTCAAAAATAGACTATTTAGAAAAAAGAAGCAGCATTTAAAGATCTCCAAATTGAAATCTCTTCATCAGATGCTGATAAAAGAACAGAATTAGCAAACTTGTAGGAAAAAGTTTAGTTGCTAAAACAGAAAAATGAATAATTAATATCAGAGAATACAGCTTAAAAAGAATTAAATGCTAAAATTCTTCATGATATTTAAGACTTAGAATAAAGCAAAGCTTAACTTGAAGAAAAGGCAAATCAGGGTAGTGATTTGATAATGCTGATCTAAGAAAAAGATAGCCAAATTTAAGCCTTGGAAGAAAGTCTTTCAAGCTTATAAACTATTCACGAGGATTTCTAAAAAAGAAATGAATAATTAGCTAAGAAGTATGACTTTGAACTAAAAAAAATAAGAACAGAGCTTGCTTAATCTAAAGAAAAAATTGCACTTGTTGATGAATTGACTGCTCAAATAGCTTAGTTGGAAAGTGCTTTTAATGAAAAGAACTAAAAGTATAACACTTTATAAGAAAAGTATGCAGAATCTGAAAAGGAAAGAGCTTTAATTAAAAATGAAACAAATTAATTACTAAATAAACTAAAATCTGATGCTGTAAAGTCTGAATACTAAATTGATCGTAGAGTAATTTCTAATTTCCTAGTTTAATACTTTGACACAAATTCTAGTAATCAAGTAAAATTGCAAATTCTAGAAACAATGTCTTCAATCTTGCAATTTAATGAAGAATAAAAAGCAAAGATTGGCATCTAGAAATAAAAATTAGGATATGTATCTGCTCCTTAAAATTAATAATAAGATCAAAATAATGGATAGAAAAGTTTAGCAGATAAATTCTTCTCATTCCTTCTTTCAAATGATGAAGAAGAGTCCAAATGATAAAAAGTTATATTTTAAAAATATTTTTAATTTTGTAAATTTATTTAGAAGAAAACTCATGTTTTTATAAAAAAAATTTTATATCAAATAAATTTATTTCTAAATTCATTTTAATCTTTATTTTTTAATTAAATTTAAATTAAAAACTAATTGTTAAAAGTTCTTTAAACTATCTAAAATTTTATCAATATTAAGGATACTGTTAGGTTTATTTTTAAAGAAAATGATTAGCATTAAAGATAGGAACGTTACAATGATTATTTTTTAAGAGATCATTTATTTTTAAAATATATCTTTTTAATTTTGTAAACAGTTTAATAAAAAAATTGTAACTTTCAAATTAAAGTAATAAATTTAACTCTTATGATTTTTTGCTAAATATTATAAAAATATTAAATGATGTTTGTTTGCTTTTTTAAATCCTTTTCAAAAAATATAAATAATTAAAATTACAAATATTTATTTTTTAAGTTAATAATATATATGTATTATTTCTATATTTAAATTAGTTTAACTAATTTTTTATGAATTTTCCTAAAATTTTAATTGATTTGAGTTAAGTTAAAAAACTATTTTATAGATAATATTTGTTTTTAAAATATGTTTTAGAGAATTCTATTAAAATTTAAAATGAGGATATACTATATAGATATTTATTTAATGATTATGCTTTTCGATTGAATTTTATTACTAAAATATGTTTTAAAAAATTTTTTAAACAGTTTAAAGAGACTATGAATTTTAATTTGAAAAAAACTCAAAATTTTAAAAATGAAGAATTTATTTTAGATGTTTTACTTGGCTTAAATAATATTATAAAAAATCAAATATATCTCCTTTTTTAGTTTTTTTTAGGGTTTGAATAATAAAGAATACAAGCATTTTCTTTTATTTCTTAATAAAATAATATATTTTCAAATAAATTTTTAATTTAGTTAAATTAATTTTGTATAAATTTTGGTAAGATTTAAAATTGATTTTATTGAATTGCTATAAAACAATTTTACAGATTTTTTTAAAAGAAATGAAAATTTATTATGAATTCAAATGTATATATACTATTACCATAAAGCTAACATCTTGAAATATTTTGTATGTAGAGTTAATTAATTTAAACCAATTTCTCATATTGTTTATTATAGACTAAAATATTTTTTGTATTAAAAAATACTCTTCTAATTTCAAAACATTATCTTTCATGAATAAATTTTTTAATATGCTTGTTTGTTTATTGGTATGGTTTTATCAGATAAAATGTTTTCATTTTCATAAATCTATATTCAAAATACCCTTCTTCTTTTAAGGATGTAAATTTGAAATAGCTTGAGGGTTTGTGGCGTCACCATTATATCTTACATATCTACCTGTTCTGTTTTGAGTTTTTCTGTAATTTCCTTTTAATATTAAACCACCTGCAGTATTTTGATAAGCCTAATGAATAGCATTAATTTAAGAGGATGGAGCGTAAAAGAATTAATCAATAACAACCCAGTTGTAAGAGCCAGAGCAATAAGGATAAGTAAGAGAACCTGCGTAATAGAAATAGTTCATTTAAAAGCTATCCATTGTTAAATATCTGCTAATATCGATTTCTTATGAAGTAGTTTCATTGTGTTTGGTATTGATTACTTATTCAAGCAAAGGATCTAAAGGAGCCTTATCGTCTATTTTAAAAAGAAGAGCAACTACAACCTTATCATTAACAGGCTTCTTAAATCCATACAAATGGAAAAGTTATACCTCCATATCAGCCTAATATCCATTGATAGTGTGCTCTGCAGGAGTTCTAAAACGAATGTTATCTAGACGGAAAGTACCAGCAACATTAAGAGTGGTAATGTAGTATAAATATCCTAATCCATCATCATTTACAGCTGTCATAACAATAGTTGTATTGAATTTACGGACAAGCATTTTACTGGTTTCATAACGAGCAAACATATACTAGTTAGGAGCAGTTGAATTACGATCAGAAGATAATAAGTCAATAGGACTTTGAACTTATGAAGTAGAGCATGTCTTTACTTATTCCCAGGTCCAATTAGCACCATAATCTTTGTAATCAAAACCATTGAATTCATCATAGACAACTGATGCCTAAACAAATCCAGCAAATAAAAATAAAGCTACAATAAGCATTAAGTTATTTTAATTCATTTTAACTTTAAAAATATCCTTTCGCAAATGTGGACTTTTTTGTTACTACCTTATTGAAAATTAATTAATTTTTCTTTTAAATTTGTTATTGAGTTCAACCCCTTTATTTGCAATTTATTATTGAAATTATATTGTAATTCTTTTATTCTTTTTCTTGTTTGCAAAATCAAGCAAAGATTCTAGTTTTTTTTTTCTTGGTTTTCATTATTGATAATATGCTGAGTTATTTATGCAATTATCTTCATATAATAACTTGGTATGGCTTATATACTGAAAGTGAATAAAAATGAATAAATATCCTTCAATGTGTACCTTTAGAAACTCTAGCTTTGCTCAATCGCAGCTTTTGCATGCTTAAAGTATTGACTAAAATTAAAAGATTATGCGTCATTTAAAAAATTTTTAATAATATTCTTAAATTTTATTTTTAATGATCTATCCCTTAAATAATTTAAAAAGTACCAAATATCTTACAATTTATATTTGACGTCCGTAGTGAGCGAATATAATCCATAAATAATAAACCCTTAATACTTTTAAATAGTTGAATTAATTATTTTCTTTTGTTAATCCCCCTATGGAATTAAGTATTACTCTAATTGTTTACATGACAATATATAATATTATTCATCCATTCTTTGTTATATTAACAAAAGAGTTGGACTATACATACAATTAGAAAGTGTAAAAAAAACTTTAACTAATATTAAATATTAAATTTAAAAACAAAAAATAAACAAAATAATAATTTAATGAAACTCTTTAAAATTTATAATTAATTATATATAATTACATAATGAATCTCTACATAATAAAATAGAATTAAGTAAGAATTATTTATATAAATTAATTAATCAGCTAATTATATTTATAAGAAATTTTATTGCATAATTATTTAACCCTATCCAAAAAATATTGAATTAGTAATATATTATTTTATTAATTAATTAATTAGTTGTTTATTTGTTAGTTAGTTAATTATTTATTTATTTAGATAGATAGTACTAACTGTCTTAGTAAATTTTTATTCTTTTTCAATTTCCATAATAGCTTTCTTCACAAACTATTAGTTAATAAATTAATGGTAAGAATTTAACTTTTTTCTCACCTATCAACCTAGTTATCTACTTATTATCGTCATTACTTTAATTCTATTTTATAAAGTTTCTAAATTAATTAAAACTCAAAAAAATTAAATTACTTCTATTATAAGTCTATATACTTCCATAAATTAATCAACTCCTATTTCTTTTTCTAAGTAGTACCTTAGTGCCTCAATTTTAGAGCCAGTTGTATCTTTATTTGATATACCAGGTACAATAAATGGTTTTCCATCAATTTGCAAGAACCTAAAATTAAAAATATTTAATATTTATTAACAAATTAACAATAAAATATTATTTATTACTTTGGGAAAATTTAGAATTATTAATCTCCGAAATTTTCTTCCTCCTCATCTTTTTACTTTGAATTTGATGGTTTGTTAGCTAAACAATCTTAAATAGACTATAGTAAATATCCGTATCCTTATTCTTCTAAAGCTATTTTGAATAAAATATTATTTTAAAATTAAAAAAAAAATAAATTATTATTAATTTATTTAATCAAATAATTACTTTCATCGTCATCTCCTCTTTAATTTCCATTAATCATATTAGGGGCAGCAATATTGACTTAAGAAGGTTTTTTAGAAATCTAATTGCTGCTAACAGCACTATTATTATTGGTGCCAAAAGGAGAAAGTGTTGGTTTAATAGCAAGTTAGCTACCAGATTAAGGAAGCAATGATTTTTTCTCAATTTTATTTAAAATATTCTAGCTACTTGTATTATCTGATTATGTAATTACATTATTAACAGAAATGTTTGTAACATTATTATTCACTTTAAGAGCTTCTTTTATAATACTTGAATTATTGCTGTTTGGAATACTTGAGGATGGAGTTTAATTCTATCCTTCTTTATATTTATCAGTGATGTATTTTAAGTTTTCATTAATTAAATTTTAGCTGCCTGGCTTAGAAATAATACTATTCTCTTTTGATTACATTTATGAAGGCTATTAGCTGTTAATTTTATTCAGCATAGTTAAATAGCTATTGCTTGTGTTTATACTGTTGCTTGTATTATCTTAGCTTTACACTTAATTATTCATTCCAAATTAACGGTAAGGAGAAGATCCTCTATTAAAATTTTCTTTGTTAAAACTATTATTGTTGCTATTGTTTATGCTATTATTTTATTATTAAGATGAATATTAGCCTCTCAAAGGACTTTTATTTATAAAATAAGATTATTATGGAAGTATTTGAGACTTTTATATAGAATCCATAGGACTCTTTGTAATTGATTATTATTGTTATTACTATTTTTATTACTGCTATTATTGTTACTAAAGTTAGCTTTTTTGAAGCAAGGTTAATTAAGACTATGATGACTGTTAAGAAGGGTTTTTAGAGCTGAATTATGACCCTGCTTAGAACAACCCTGAATTAATTTGTGATTATTATTATTACTGTTATAGTTGAATTTATGATTGTTATTATTATTAAAACGATTGCAAGCTTGGTTATTATTACATAGGAATTGGTTTTGCAAACTGTGATGATGAGTCAGTTTGACCATCTTTTTTGAGTAAGCTAGAACTAGGTTTTTACTAAGGTAATTCAACTTTTGGATTTTAGTCAAGCTTTTTAAAATTCTCATTTATTTGTTGTTCTCTGTTTTTTTTAAATTAATTTTTCAATAAAAAATTTTAATAATTTAATAAAAATGTTTAATTTATTTATTAGTTACTTTTATTTTTCTAACTCTTACTAGTCGTTTTATTGAGAAATTTAATCTGCAGGATTTCTGATTTCCAAAATTTGAGCTCCTGACTAAGGATCATTTCTTTGTAATGTATTTGAGAATAATTCACTGATACGATTCTAAATTTAATAATTTTTAATAATCACTTCTTTGTTTGTTTATCCAAATAATTTACCTTTAAAAAATCTTTTTCCAAAATTTTGCGAATAGATGGCCTTTATGTGGGATCTTTGATAAGCATTTCTGAAATTAGATCTCTTAAATCTTAAGAGTATTACTCTGGAATTGGTGGATATGTTCCTCTTAAAATTTTCAAAACTAAACCTTTCATACCTAATGTTATTGGTTGAAAAATATTTTATGCTATTTTAAATTAAAATATTATTATACTGTTAGCATCAAATGCATGATTTAAAGTAGTCATTTCATATAAGATACATCCAAGAGACCAAATGTCTGATTTTTGATTGTAGGGTTTTTCTTAACAAATTTCTGGGCTTAAATAGTAGGGAGTACCTATAGCTGTTTTTGCGCAGTCATATGTATGCTAAAGAACTCTAGCAATACCAAAATCACCTTTAAAATTTTACGTTAGAAAAAAAATTAGTTGTTTGAAGAAATAAATTAGTTTTTATATTTGAATTCAAACCTTAAATTAAATATTTATTTTAATTAGTGTTGTTTTAAAAAAACTCTAGCTTTTAATTGATTTAAAGTTTTTTTAAAGAGCAAGCATGCGTGAGAAAACAAAAAAATATTTTATTTAAAGTTCATTAACAGCATACCTATTTTTATATCTCCCTTTGCATTCAAAAATATGTTTTGCGTCTTTAAATCTCTGTGTAGAATTTTTCGATCATGAACGTGTTTTATTGCCAAAGCCATTTGAACAAACCAATCTATAATTTATTTTTCGCTAAAGAGCTGTCCTTTTTCTTTTTGTTTTGCTATTTTCGTATACAAATCTCCCCCTTAAGCATATTCCATAATTATACACAAACACCTTTGTTATATTAAGTTAGATAATAATTAGCAAAACTATTAAATATATATATATACCTTTTTTCTATAAAAGATTCTCTATAAGTAATAATATAAGGATGTTTCATAGCTTTCAAAACATGAACTTCATTCAATGCTTCTTCTCTTTGTTTTCTATCCATTTTTGATATATCAATAATCTATTTAATATTAATGTATATCAGAACATTCAAATATTGTTATGAGTAATATCAATAATACCTTAATCACATAGTATTTTTTGTTATTTTCAGTGTTTGATTAAACAAGGACCGCATAACCAAAACTACCTAATAATTAATTATTTTTGAAGGGTTTATAGATTTGATAATATGAGTGATTAAGAAGTGGTTACCTTTACCAACAACTTTGATTTTAGTATACTTTTCCATATTTACTTATTATCTTAATTTTTTAATTTATTTTGACAAATTTGATTGATTTGAACTAATTAATATTTTTAAAAGATATAAGCATATATCACTGATATTTTTTGTTTTATTTTTGAATTTCCAATCTCATTTTAAAATTAAATGCTTTCAAATTTAATAACGAATTTTTTTTTACTTATCTGCTGATTGTTAAATCAAAATTTTTGACAAAAACTTTTAAAATCTTGAAATTATTTGGTAGATTCAAATTTCATATAACAAATTAGCTTTAAAAATATTATAAATATTTATATATCAATACCATTCCTTTTATCAATTTTTTTTAAATATGTTGTAAAAATTTTTGAAAATAAACAAAAAAGTTATAAAAATTAGAGTTATCAACTTATGGAAACACTTGAATTAGAATTTTTCTAAATAAGAAACTTAATTGATAAAAAATTTATTTATTTTAAAGTAAATAATTTTTTTCATGTTTGTAATTAAATTAAACAAAAAAGGGTTGGGGTTGGGGTTGGGG